TCGTAACCAATTGATTCGTATTCAGAATTTCCCAGAAATCGGTTTCCGAAAGTTTAAAAAATTTCAATCATTTATTTCTAAATGACGAATTTAAAAAAATATATCATTATTGTCTTTAATTCGCTGAATATTCATGATTTTTTTAAAAATATTTCTTCCGCAATTGACAAATTTGACGACTGAAAACGGTGGAATCTATAGCGCAATAATTAAAAAATTGCAATTATTAAAAATTACGAGCATTTTCTATAAATAATTTATAAACAATCAATTTTCCACCATAAAAATCATTTGTTCGAAATCGTAACAAATTTATTCATATTCAGAATTTTCCAGAAATCGGTTTCTGAAAGTTTAAACAATTTCAATCATTTATTTCTAAATGACGAATTTAAAAAAATGACAAATAAACAAATTATTTATAAATAAATAATTTATTGATAAAAAACGAATTTAAAAAAATTTATTATTATTGTTTTTGATTCGCTGAATATTCATGATTTTTTAAAAAATATTTCTTTTGCAATTGACAAATTTGACGGCTGAAAACGGTGGAATCTATAACGCAATAATTAAAAAATTGCAATTATTAAAAATTACGAGCATTTTCTATAAATAATTTATAAACAATCAATTTTCCACCATAAAAATCATTTGTTCGAAATCGTAACAAATTTATTCATATTCAGAATTTTCCAGAAATCGGTTTCTGAAAGTTTAAACAATTTCAATCATTTATTTCTAAATGACAAATTTAAAAAAATGACAAATAAACAAATTATTTATAAATAAATAATTTATTGTTAAATAACGAATTTTAAAAAATATATCATTATTGTTTTTGATTCGCTGAATATTCATGATTTTTTAAAAAATATTTCTTTTGCAATTGACAATTTTGACGGCTGAAAACGGTGGAATCTATAACGCAATAATTAAAAAATTGCAATTATTAAAAATTACGAGCATTTTCTATAAATATTTTATAAACAATCAATTTTCCACCATAAAAATCATTTGTTCGAAATCGTAACAAATTTATTCATATTCAGAATTTTCCAGAAATCGGTTTCTGAAAGTTTAAACAATTTCAATCATTTATTTCTAAATGACAAATTTAAAAAAAAAGACAAATAAACAAATTATTTATAAATAAATAATTTATTGTTAAATAACGAATTTTAAAAAATATATCATTATTGTCTTTAATTCGCTGAATATTCATGATTTTTCTCAAATATTTCTTGCGCAATTGACAAATTTGACGACTGAAAACGGTGGAATCTATAGCGCAATAATTAAAAAATTGCAATTATTAAAAATTACGAGCATTTTCTATAAATGATTTATAAATAATCAATTTTCCACCATAAAAATCATTTGTTCGAAATCGTAACAAATTTATTCATATTCAGAATTTTCCAGAAATCGGTTTCCGAAAGTTTAAACAATTTCAATCATTTATTTCTAAATGACAAATTTAAAAAAATGACAAATAAACAAATTATTTATAAATAAATAATTTATTGTTAAATAACGAATTTTAAAAAATATATCATTATTGTTTTTAATTCGCAGAATATTCATGATTTTTTAAAAAATATTTCTTTTGCAATTGACAATTTTGACGGCTGAAAACGGTGGAATCTATAACGCAATAATTAAAAAATTGCAATTATTAAAAATTACGAGCACTTTCTATAAATAATTTATAAACAATCAATTTTTCACCATAAAAATCATTTGTTCGAAATCGTAACAAATTTATTCATATTCAGAATTTTCCAGAAATCGGTTTCTGAAAGTTTAAACAATTTCAATCATTTATTTCTAAATGACGAATTTAAAAAAATGACAAATAAACAAATTATTTATAAATAAATAATTTATTGATAAAAAACGAATTTAAAAAAATTTATTATTATTGTTTTTGATTCGCTGAATATTCATGATTTTTTAAAAAATATTTCTTTTGCAATTGACAAATTTGACGGCTGAAAACGGTGGAATCTATAACGCAATAATTAAAAAATTGCAATTATTAAAAATTACGAGCACTTTCTATAAATAATTTATAAACAATCAATTTTTCACCATAAAAATCATTTGTTCGAAATCGTAACAAATTTATTCATATTCAGACTTTTCCAGAAATCGGTTTCCGAAGGTTTAAACAATTTCAATCATTTATTTCTAAATGACAAATTTAAAAAAATTTATCATTATTGTCTTTAATTCGCTGAATATTCATGATTTTTCTCAAATATTTCTTGCGCAATTGACAAATTTGACGACTGAAAACGGTGGAATCTATAGCGCAATAATGAAAAAAGTTCAATTATTAAAAATTACGAGCACTTTCTATAAATAATTTATAAACAATCAATTTTTCACCACAAAAATCATTTGTTCGAAATCGTAACGAAATGATTCATATTCAGAATTTTCCAGAAATCGATTTCCGAAAAAACTGGTGTTTCAGTCGTTCAACTCCAGATGGAATGGATTTTCAGAGAAATTGGGGGGAATTTGGTGATGAGCTGGCTCATTAGAAAGCTGGGGAAATCTCCTATCCAAAATGCTATAAATAAGTCTTTTTTTATGCATTAGGTGGAGGGGAAAGGGAGATTGAAGGAGAGAGTGATTACGATGATTTTTTAGAAGTGAAAATTGAGAAGATGTTTCTTGTAAACCTTGTTTATTTATTAAAACGTCAGGCAAAAAAGCCCACCGAAGCCTACCATAAAAAAGATACAAATATATATGTATATATTGATATAACTTTTCTTCACACGAAAATTAATAATTGAAACACAGAAATCAAGAAACTATAGCTGCACAGAGAAAGGAAATTATATCCAAGAACTTATAGCTGAACTCACATAAATATCACCTAAAAATAATGAAAAAATAATTTAAAATATAGAAAATAACAAAAATAACAGGGAAAATATCTTCCGATATAAAAGTCTGATTTTCTCGAAAGCTGTGCGGGCTTTTTTAATGAGTCAGAGCTCGTTATAAAAGTGATAAAATTTCCATTATATTTTGCTACAAATAAAGGATTTTTTATGCAGTACGAGCTGGGATAATGGAGGTTTAATAAAGGAAAGAATTGGTGAATTCGAAATTCTTCGTCTCGAGATGTTAAAACTTCGTAATGAAAAAGTAGAATTTTCTTGAGAATCATCGGGAATTATTCAACAAATTACGTCTCATTCCCGTTGTGATTCACCTCAAATAAAATTCTTTTGAGCCATTCCAACCTGAGATGATTGCAATTGAACGAAACAAGAAATTGTGAAAATACAGAATACTCTAATGAAGATGTTGCAATCTTCCTAAAGCAAAAATAGGATTTCCTGGGGAACGATTGGGAATTTTCCAACGAGTCGAGGCTCATCTGAAAGCTGACAAAATTTCAGTTAAAAATGACTCTAAACTAATCTCTTTTGATGCATCCCAACCTGAGATAATTACAATTGAACAAAAGAAAAAATGTAAAAATCCAGAATTTTGTTCTGAAAATGTTGGAAACTTGCTAGTACAAAATTAGGATTTTCTCGATAAGTCTTTCGATTTTTCTGATGGATGACTTTGCATTTCAAAGCCAAGAAAACTTCTGTTGTAATTCACTCCCAATAAAATACCTTTGAATGCACCTCCACCTGAGAGAATAAGAATTAAGCAATAGAAAAAATTGTGAAAAATCCAAACTTTGTTATAACGATGTTAAAATTATTGGAAATTTTTCGCGTCAAAGCTCATTTGAAAGCTAATCAAATTTTTGTTACGTTTCACGCTACATAAATAAAAAACATCGTTTTTGATGCATCCAAACACGAAATAATTACAATCAAACAAAATGAAAAATTGTAAAAATATTGAATATGGATTTTCTCGAAGACTATTGGGAATTTTCTAGTCAATAACGTGTCATTGTCGTTATAATCCACATTAAATAAATACCTTTGAAGGCACCTCAAGCTGAGTAAATAATTTAAAAAAATAAAAAATTGTAAAAATACAGAATTTTGCTCTAAAAATGTTGGAAACTTCCTAGGACAAATCTAAAATTTTCTCGAGAACTATTAGGAATTTTCTAACGAGTCAAGGCTCATTTCAAAGCTGATAAAATTTCCGTTATTGTCCACTCTAAATAAATCCCTCTCTATGCATTTCAATCCGAGAGAATCACAATTAAACAAAATGATAAAAAAACATCATTTTGTTCTAAAAATGTTGAAAACTTCCTACGACAAAATGAAGATTTTCTCGAGAACTATCGGGTCTTTTCTCATGACTCTCATGTCAAACATCTCATGTCAGAGTCCAGTAAATTTCGGTTATAATTCACTAAGTGACAATTTTGGATTACGAAAGATAAAAAAAATCCAGATAACAATTCGATAGTACCGAGTGTACTATCCTGAATCTCAATAAAAAAAGCTCTTTGAAAAAGTTCAGAATTTTTTCCATTTTTTTAAATCATTCTACCATAATTTTTGGGAATTTCTACATGATGTACCCCTCAATTGACAATTTTGGATTACGAAAGACGAAAAAAATCCAGATAACATTCGATAGTACACCCGGGCCTTAAGGATGTTCGACACCCTTTTAGCCAAAATTGACGTTGTTTTCATTTTTCTGGCAAATTATCGATGGGAGTGACGTGAAAAAATATAACGATTTTGTGGTTTCTCATTCTTTAATGGCTCACGAAGTTGCGTAGTGGTGCGATAATTTTCATGCGTTTTTTCTAGTTTTGTGATTCTTTTTAAAAGTTTAGAGAAAACGCAGGAAAATGTTCGCACCACCTTAAAATTTCGTCAGTCATTAAATAATGACAAAACGCAAAAACATTATATTTTTTCACGTCAATTCCATCATAAGTTTGCCAGAAAAATTAAAAAAACGTGAATTTTGGCAGAAAGGGTGTAGAACATCCTTAAACAAAAGAAAAAATTGTGAAAATAAATGGTCAAAAGGTGAATTACCTTCGTCCTCCCATTGATGTTGTAATTCCCCATCTTGCCATTGTCATCCATCTTATTGGCCCTCATGACAATGGCATCGACCTGCGAAATGAGCATTCCAATGTTGGGGCACTGTTTCTCCTTGCCATCGAGCCACGTGATCTGGTCCCCCCTGATGGTCTTCAAGTCCTTAGCACCAGCTTTGTTAGACACCAACTGTCCATCCTTGAACACTCCAGCGCTGTACATATTCAGCACCTCATCCAACACTGTTAAACACTTGTCAGCCCCCAGAAAATCGTCCACAACACACACACCGTACTTATTCATGTCCCTGATCACATTTCTGCAGATGTCGTCGATGATAAATTCCTCGAAATTATTTCGGTTTCTGTGGAGGAACGGCGGGAGGAAGTCGTCGTCACGACTGAGTGACACCTCGGGGAAGGTTTTCATACCGTTGTGGAGGTGGGGATGATTGTCGGTGATTATTTCCTCGGAGGAGGTGGCACCGAGGGTTGGGTTCAGGGATTCAGCTCTAGCACCAAGAATCGTGTCCTCTGCACTTCCCTCGTAGAGAATTGGCGAGCTCCAGCCACTCTTCGAGGCCTTTCGGGCTGTTGAGGTGGTGGTGTCACTGGGGGGTTCCTCGGGGGTGGAATTCGAATGGCTCTGCTTTGAATCTGTTGGATAAATCGAGGGGAGAATTTAATTTAAAGGTCATGGAGGGATTGTTTTAGTTTGAGGCAGATGGAGATTTTGATGGGTTTATTGTGGGATCAAATGATGCGATTTTGATGAGTTTGGGCTCATTTTGGAGGGGGAACAGAGGACTTTTAATTGAAGTTTGATTTTTTTAATTTTACTCAGCCAATCTTGAGATATTGGGAATTGAACATGAGTGGTAAAATGAGTTGAGTCAATTTTTAGTGGATTTCACTTTGGTTTTTGTTGAATATTTTTGGAATGAAAAGAGATTGAAAAATATAGGTACCTTTTTTAAAGATATTTTTAAAGGCTAAAAAAGGGCCGTATGGAATTTTTGCATCTCGTTTATTCAGGAGAGATATTTTGAAGAAAGTGAAATTAAAACAGAACTCTTGGGATGGATTCATTTATTGTGAGGTGATAGATATCTTGGGATTAAATGATGCGATTTTGATGAGTCTGGGCTCATTTTGAAGGGTGAACAAAGAACTTTTAATTGACGCTTGATTTTTGAAATGTTACTCAACCAATCATGAGATATTACGAATTGAAGATGAGTGATAAAACGAGTGGAGTCAATTTTCAGTGGATTTCACTTTGGTTTTTGTTGAATATCTTCGGAGCGAAGCTTGATAGCGAAATTTTCATTGAAACCTTTTTTATAGATAATTTTAAGGGCTACAAAAAGTCTCCTAACAAAAATTTTTGCATCGCCCTTCGATTCCAAGATATTTCCAAAAAACTCCAAAAAACCCACTTCACAGCAAAAAAACATTCTCCATCATTTCCAAAATACCCACTGAAGCAAAATGGGTTCACGACCAGTGGTTTCCACCGCAAATTTCCCCACCTGTCGAACGCAAAAATTCTCGCTCCACCATCTCCCCACCTCCCGGAGATATCACGTCTTTCCCAAACCCAAAAAACCAATAAATCGAAATCGTCATAACTCCCACACAACTAATGACTCAATTATTAATTAATCATCACTCACTGGTGCTCTCGAGCTTCCTACTGTCCCCCTGTATCCTCTCAATCTCCTCGCCAATGTTATCACTTAGGTTAGAAAGTCTACCGCTGAAGCAGGAAGACGTATCACCCGACAGTCCATCCTCGTTATTCTTCTGACAATGGGCCCGATGCCGCTTCCAATCCAATTTCTGATGCTCTTTGGTGCAGTAAACAACACTTTTGCAACGCGAACACCTCAGTAATCTATCCGTACAACCGCATATTGCGCACTCAACACTTGACACGACAACGCTGGCTGCCTGCGCACGACTGACTGTCGGTGCTGACATATTTTCAATGCCCAACTGCTCCTTCAATTCGCCTTTTTCCCCACCCCCACCTGTCTATTCACTTCCTCGAGAGCACTCGGACGACATTTTTACGTATCACTGGGTCACATACACCTCGTCGCCCCCTCCATACACTGAGCACGGCCCCTTTTTTCCGATTTTTCTCGATAAAAATTTGTTTTCTCCGAATTATCCTTCTTTTCACGTGGATCCACTGGATGACCTTGAGGGAATTTCCGGTGACTTTGGGATTTTTTATCAATGTCAGATGAATTTTCCCGAGATCCGAGGTTTTGTGTCAAATTTTTTAGGTTAAGATGTTTTTTTCCTTTTTTCCGATTTTTCTGGATAAAATTTTTTTTCCTCCGAATTATCCTTCTTTTCACGCGGATCCACTGGATGACCTTGAGGGAATTCCCGGTGATTTTGGGATTTTTTATCAATGTCAGATGAATTTTTCCGAGATCCGAAGTTTTGTGTCAAATGTTTTAGAATGTTTTTTTCCTTTTTTCTGATTTTTCTCGATAAATTTTTTTTTCTCCGAATTATCCTTTGTTTCACGCGGATCCACTGGATGACCTTGATGGAATTTTCGGTGATTTTGGGATTTTTTATCAATGTCAGATGAATTTTCCCGAGATCCGAGGTTTTGTGTCAAATTTTTTAGGTTAGGATGTTTTTTTTTTCGATTGTTTTTATTTTGACGGCGCGGGGAGCCAGGGCGATGGGGGTGGGGAGCCCCCGGGGCGAGGGAGAAGTTTTTGAGGGGGGCGAGTGTTTTTTGGGGGAGCGAGGGCTCACTTTTGAGGGTTAATTGACACTGATGGTGGCGGCGCTGCCTTATCGACTCTGGAGCGATCGCGGGACTGGTTCCGTCGGTAAACAGGATTTTTAAGGCGTTTTTTAAAGGGGTTGGGGTGGAAGGGGGTTTAAATGTCTTCGGAGGTATTTCTAAAATTCTGTATTGTTTAGAACTCGCTTTCAGTTTTCTTGCTCCCGAACGCACGCATGGAAAAGTCGTAGGGGAGGTTGGGGTAAAACGGACACTTTTGACTTTTTTAAAAATGTTAATGAGGGGTTGAAATGTTGATAAAATTTAATATATTTTATTTCAATAGAAAGAACAATTCTTCTTGTTCAATAATTTGGAAAATTAGTGGCCGTCTGTTACCCCTTAATTTAATTCAGTAGCGAAGTGGTAAAACGGTACAAGTCAATTTTGACTATTGGACAGTTTTCAATGAATATCTCGGAATCCAAGGAAGATAGCAAAATTTTTGTTATAACCTTTTTTGTAGAGCCGATTGAAAGCTACAACAAATGTAATTACGAAAATTTCGCTATCTTCCTTAGATTCGGAAATATTCCTCAAAAACTCAACTGGGTGATCAGTCGACTCGAACCGTTTTATTGGATTCGCTCCTGAATTCCAATTTAAATTTAGGCGGTAAGAATCTTCTTACCGACAAGGGGCGAGAGCTACCGGCTTCGTGAGTCGTGACACAGAGAACGGTGTCTGCCGTCACTCTCCCCAGGTTTTTGAGAGTCATTCTCGAAAACCATTTGTAGTTTTTGAAGGACCTACGAGATTTTTTGAGAAAAATGGAAGAAATGAGTGTCATTGTGCCTGACAAGGTATTTACATAAATCAATAACCCATCTGTTGATTATTTAATCGTTTATTTTATGGAGATTTGAAGGGAGAAGTGATCTTTTGAAGGAAGAACATTGATTTGGGGTTAAGTGTTTGATTAACAAAGATTTCAAGAGTGTTGAAAAGAGATTTTGGTCTGCCGATTCAATTATTTTTGCTGCAGATTATTATTGCTTCGTTCATGAGAATGTCGGCTCAGGCTTTTAAAGTCCATTCTGAAAAACATTTGTAACTTGTGAAGGATCTAAGGGATTTTTCAAGAAAAATGGAAGAAATAAGTGTCATTGTGCCTGACAAGGAATTTACATCGATTATTAATCAAATTTTTAGTATTTAGAAATGATCTTTTAAACGAAGAACATTGATTTGGGGTTTGATTAAGTGTTTGATTAGCAAAGATTTCAAGATTGTTGAAAAGAGATTTGACCTGAAGATTCAATTATTGTTGATTTTTTTAAATGAGAATGTCTCCTTAGGTTTTTGAGGTTCACTCTCGAGAACTTTTTATAGTTTTTGAAGGATTGAAGGGATTTTTTTTTAAGAAAATGGAAGAAATAAGAGTCATTGTGTCTGACAAGACTTAATAACCCATTTTTTAAATTATTTAGTCGTTTATTCTATGGAAATTGAAGAGGGAACATCGATTTGGGGATTTTTTTAATGAGAATGTTGTTTTATTCTTTCTTTTTAATCAGGATGTGTTGGAGTTGGAGCCAAAACCAATGGTGGGACATTATTCCTCAGGGGAGGAGCTGGATGTCGAGGATTTGTACACAAAATATAAGGTAAGACAATTTTTAACAAATAAAATTTTACTAAAAAGAGTAGAATTTTTTTGTTGAGAATTTCTTCTAAAAATGATTGAAGTTCTGGAAAAAGTTAATTCCAAGCGTTTATTGAAGAACGAGCTGGTGAATAAAGATAAAGAAATCTCGGTATTTTTTTTGTTAGGGAGGAAAATTCGCTGCAAAAGAAATTCTCATAAAAATCAAACAGGATAACTATCTCTTTTATCTCCTTCAGATAAACATATCTTCCACAAACGTTTTTTAATTCGCTTTATCACCCGGTGCTTTAATCAGTTAATTATGCCCTGAACTACCCATTTTGTTGAAAAATGTCAAAAGACTTTTTTGTAGAGAATTTCCCGCTCCACAAAAAAGTTCATTACAAAAATCCCCCTATTGTCCTTCGATTTTCAGACATTCTCAAAAAACTGAACGCAAAACTAAATTCATTTATCTCTTCTTATCACTTTTCCCTAATCACCAATTGAAATTAATTAATGGTGAATATTTCCACCAAAATAAATCAATAATTTCTTCTTCATCTTCTGTAGAAATTCCAAAGAATAGAATTCCTCAAAGTCCAAAACTAACAATTAAAAAGAATAACTAAACATATATTCCTAAAACGATTTTTAATTCTTTTCACCATCCAGTGATTTAATCAGCTAATTCTCCCCTGAACTACCAATTTTATCGAGAAATGTTAAGACTTTTTTGTAAAGAATTTCCCTCTCCACAAAAAGTTCTTTACAAAAATCTCTCTATTTCCCTTCGATTCTCAGACATTCTCAAAAAACTGAATGCAGAATAAAATTCATTCGTCTCTTCTCATCACTTTCTTCTAATCACCAATTTAAATTAATTCATTTTCAATATTTCCACCAAAATAAACAAATATCTCTCCCTTCATCTTCTTTAGAAACTCCAAAGAATGCTGGAATTCCTGAAAGTCCAAGAGGAATACATCAAGGACGAGCAGCGAAACCTCAAGAAGGAGTACCTCCACGCTCAAGAGGAAGTGAAACGCATCCAGAGTGTTCCCCTGGTGATCGGTCAGTTCCTGGAGGCAGTGGACCAGAATACTGGGATCGTGGGGTCGACCACAGGGTCCAACTACTACGTTCGCATTCTGTCGACGATCGATCGAGAGCTGTTGAAGCCCTCAGCCAGTGTTGCTCTCCACAAACACAGCAATGCTCTCGTGGACGTTCTCCCCCCAGAGGCAGACTCGAGTATTTCGATGCTCCAGGCAGACGAGAAGCCTGACATTTTGTACAGTGACATCGGAGGGATGGACATGCAGAAGCAGGAGATTCGAGAAGCTGTCGAACTGCCACTGACTCACTTCGAACTTTATAAGCAGATTGGTATGGATTTTTTCAATGCAGAATTTAATTTTTTACTAAAGAGGTCTCTTGATTTGTTTATAATCTTTATTCAAAATATTGTTGTGTCGATTTTTTATATTTCTGGGATAAATGTCATTTCGTCTGCAATGTTTCACGACTTGGGAGTAGAATAATGTTAGAACAGAAATTGGATTTAGAGATATTCTTCAAGAACTTAGAAGAAATTTGGTTGAGAAAAACAATTAAATTTCAAATTTCACTGAAAATTCAGTGAGATTTCAAGGTTTTGAGCAGCCGGAAGATGGGAATTCCTCAACTTGCTTGAATTTTTAATAACAATATGAATATTCTGCACCAAAATACGCAGAATTTCCAATTAATTGAAAATTGAAGAATATATTTACCTGAATTTTCTGATTTCTATTGGTTTTTTCATCAAACTGTGAATTTTCAATGATGGAATCTTTCGAAATTCCAGTGAAATTAAATATAGAAATCCTTCAAAATTATTCCGAATTCTAATTTTTCAGTTTTATAATAATTTGATTATTGGTTAAGCTTTCTGTGATGAAAATATTCATCGAATTATCTTTTTTTTTTCAATTTCTCATCGACAATTTCCATTTTTCGAACTTTTGGCTCGTAAAAAGTTTTTTTGGTTGTTCAATCATAATTTTTGGAGACTCCAAAGACTCTTTTTACTAAAGAGGTCTGTCGACTTTTTTTATAATCTTTATTCAAAATATTGTTGTTTTGATTTTTTATATTTCTGGGATAAATGCTATTTCGTCAGCAATATTTCATGATTTAGGAATAAAATAATAATAGCATAGAAATTGGGTTTAGATATTCTTCAAGAAATTAGAAGCAGTTGGGCTGGGAAAAACAATTAAATTGCAAATTTCACTAAAAATTCAATGAGATTTCAGGGTTTTGAGCAGCAGGAAGACGAGAATTCCTCAACTTGCTTGAATTTTTAATAACAGTATGAATATTCTGCACCAAAATACGCAGAATTTCCAATTAATTGAAAATTGAAGAATATCTTTACCTGAAATTTTCTAATTTCCATTCATTTTTTCATCGAACTGTGAATTTTCAATGACGGAATCCTTTGAAATTCCAGTGAAATTGAACATAGAAACTATCCAAAATTATCCACAATTTTAATTTTCCAGCTTTATAATAATTTGATTATTAGTTAAGCTTTCTGTTCATCGAAAATTAGCATTTTTCGATGTTTCGACTCGTAAAAAGTTTTTTTGATTGTACAATCATAATTTTTGAAGACTCCAGGGCTATGTAAGACTGAATAGCAGTTGGAGATTATTTCAGATTATCAAAATAAAAAAAACAACCAAGATCACGTTCGAAAGATAATTCACCCGGGCCTTAATTAATTAATTTTCCCCACTCTTAAATGATATGCAATGGATAATAAGCCTGTCTCTGCTCCCCACCCCCAGGTATCGACCCACCCCGTGGAATGCTGATTTTTTTAGTATTTAATCGTTTATTTTATGGGGATTTGACGAGGGAAATGATCTTTTAAACGAAGAACATTGATTTGGGGTTTGATTAAGTGTTTCGAATTATCATTTTTTTTCGTTTCTCATCGAAAATTAGCATTTTTCGATGTTTCGACTCGTAAAAAGTTTTTTTGATTGTACAATCATAATTTTTGAAGACTCCAGGGCTATGTAAGACTGAATAGCAGTTGGAGATTATTTCAGATTATCAAAATAAAAAAAACAACCAAGATCACGTTCGAAAGATAATTCACCCGGGCCTTAATTAATTAATTTTCCCCACTCTTAAATGATATGCAATGGATAATAAGCCTGTCTCTGCTCCCCACCCCCAGGTATCGACCCACCCCGTGGAATGCTGATTTTTTTAGTATTTAATCGTTTATTTTATGGGGATTTGACGAGGGAAATGATCTTTTAAACGAAGAACATTGATTTGGGGTTTGATTAAGTGTTTCGAATTATCATTTTTTTTCGTTTCTCATCGAAAATTAGCATTTTTCGATGTTTCGACTCGTAAAAAGTTTTTTTGATTGTACAATCATAATTTTTGAAGACTCCAGGGCTATGTAAGACTGAATAGCAGTTGGAGATTATTTCAGATTATCAAAATAAAAAAAACAACCAAGATCACGTTCGAAAGATAATTCACCCGGGCCTTAATTAATTAATTTTCCCCACTCTTAAATGATATGCAATGGATAATAAGCCTGTCTCTGCTCCCCACCCCCAGGTATCGACCCACCCCGTGGAGTGTTGATGTACGGTCCCCCAGGATGTGGAAAAACGATGCTGGCGAAGGCAGTGGCTCGCCACACGACAGCAGCCTTCATCCGCGTCGTCGGTTCCGAGTTCGTCCAGAAGTACTTGGGAGAGGGTCCTCGAATGGTTCGAGATGTCTTTCGTCTGGCCAAGGAGAACTCCCCGGCCATAATCTTCGTAGACGAGATCGACGCCATCGCGACGAAACGATTCGACGCACAGACTGGAGCGGATCGAGAGGTCCAGCGTATTCTCCTCGAATTGCTGAACCAAATGGACGGATTCGATCAGACAACCAACGTCAAGGTCATCATGGCCACCAACAGGGCTGACACTCTGGATCCAGCTCTTCTTCGTCCTGGGAGGCTCGACAGGAAGATCGAGTTTCCACTGCCCGATCGAAGGCAGAAGAGACTCATCTTCTCTACCATCACTGCCAAAATGAATCTCAGTGAGGAAGTGGATCTGGAGGATTATGTCGCTCGCCCGGACAGAATATCTGGGGCTGATATCAATGCTATTTGCCAGGAGGCTGGCATGCACGCTGTCAGGGAGAACAGGTACATCGTTCTGGCGAAGGACTTCGAGAAGGGGTACAAGAATAATATCAAGAAGGATGAGTCTGAACACGAGTTCTATAAGTAAATGGGGAGGGTTTGGAGTGAAGTGGGGAGAGGGGTCTATTATCTTGGGAATGAGTGGGGATGGAGGAAAATGGCAAAGGAACTTTTTGTAGAGAATTTAATCGCGTACGAAAATGGTCTTTTGGTATTTTTTGGTAGAATAACTCGTTAACGGGGTAATTGAGAATTTGAAGAGATGAAAAATTTCGAATGAGATTAACTTCGATCTTTGTTAAATGGGAAAGTATCTCGGGGATGAGTGGATTTAGAGGGAAATGTTGAAGGAACTTTTTGTAGAAAATCTAATTTCTTACAAAAAAGGTTTTCTGGAATTTTTTGGTAAAACCACTCGTTAAGGAGATAATTACGGATTTAATGAGGTGAAAAACGTCGATGAATGGAATGAGTATAATTTTAATTTTTGTTAAGCATGGATTTATCTCGGGGCTGAGTCTAGTTTGGAGAAAAATGTCCTCAAACTCATTCATGAGATAATTAGAAAAATACATGAACCACTTTACGAAAGAATCATGGTATTTGCTGCTCTTTATTTACTAATTAATTAATTGTATCATTTATGTCACGTTTTGTAATTGAGGATTCCAGTTTATTATGTACTGATGCTATCGAATAAAGAATAATTGATGAATAAATTTGATTGATGAATACATCTGTACGAATTTGGTTGATGATTCTCTGAAGTTTTCGATGAGTTCTCAGGGTGTTTGGATTTTCGGATGAGCAGAATAAATCAATTTATCATGACGATAAGGTTTACGAATAAACTTTTTAAATTAGATAAATCCTCAACAGCATCTCGACTACTTGTATCTTGTTGTTACATTCATTTCCACTTGATGACAACATTTTTATGAAGAAAATTTCAGGGATTACAAAGTTCTCCTCAGGTATCAAATGCTGACAAAGCCAAAGTGGAAAAATCGAGTTTCGTATATTGCAATAGAACTGGGGAGTCTTTCCCTAATTTTTTATCCCTAATTTAGAATTTTTTCCATTTTTTTTTGTTGGAGGCCTTACCAGGTTTTTATTAAGCTAGTAAAACCACCAATAAATCAATAAAAACTTTATTGAATTTTTTCTGCCAATCTGAAGTTTTTGAAAATTTTGCAATCCATCCGTGCAGTTTGCAAAACTCAAAAAATTAAAAAATATCATAATCAGTAATTTATGATTAAATAATGGACTGAATGATGAAGCAAGCAACTAAAGGTTGCTCCCATTTTCAGTATGGAAAGATTCACAAATACAAATAAAGTCATCAGGGGAGGGTTTCAAAACATTGACGGAAATAATAATTGGAATTTACTGAGTAATTAATTGTAATGAATTAATTAAATATACGATGAATAGCTCTGGAAAATTTCTCAAAAAAAATCTTAACAGGAATTTCAATATCTGGCCTAAATACAGAGATATTTCCCAAAAACTGGATTGAAAAAGTGAACTCCCCTCGTCATTAACTCCTTAAAAAAATTCATTTGCAATTTTATTTCTATTTTAATTAACGAGTAGGTGTAAACCGACAATGCCTCAACCGCTTCCATATAATAAAGCTCCCCTCCCCCTCTCCACGCCAAACGATAATATTATGACTGAGTGAAAATTACAAATCATTCCATATGGAATTACCTTAAGAATGCTTTCCCGTTTTTTCTAAATATCTCAGAATCCATAAAAAACCCAGAAAATTTCATCTAGACCTTTTTTGTAGCTCTGAAAAAATCCTCCAAGAAATATCTTCACAAAAATTTCGACATCTGCCCTAGATACCGAGATATTCCCCAAAATCCGAATTGAAAAATTGACCTCATCCCCTCGCCATCAACTCCTCAAAAAAATTCATCTGAATTTTATTTCTACTTTAATTAACGAGTAGGTGTGAACCGACAATGCCTCCACTCCTTCCGTATAATAAAGCCCCCCCCCCCCTCCCCAAACGATAATATTATGACTGAGTGAAAATTACAAATCATTCCATATGGAATTACCTTAAGAATGCTTTCCCGTTTTCTCTAAATATCTCAGAATCCATGAAAAACCCCGAAAATTTCATCTAGACCTTTTTTGTAGCTCTGAAAAAATCCTCCAAGAAATATTTTAACAAAAATTTCGACATCTGCCCTAGATACCGAGATATTCCCCAAAATCCGAATTGAAAAATTGAACTCACCCCCTCGCCATCAACTCCTCAAAAAAATTCATCTGAATTTTATTTCTACTTTAATTAACGCGTAGGTGTGAACCGACAATGCCTCAACCGCTTCCGTATAATAACCCCCCCCCCCTCCCGCTCCCGAAAACATAATATTATATTTAAAATATACTCTCGCACGTCTCGGCATTAGAAAGCCGAAGAAAAGTGGGCAATGATCCAGACTTGTTCAGCAAAGATCCAAAAATAGATTAGATTTTCGACGTCCCACTGGCTTCCTCGAGTCTCTTCCCGCCTGCAAGCGCAGTCGAGCCCCAGTGGGAGCATCATCACCGTGTTATCATCATCCAGTTGCTATTTCACTGGATTTTTACCCGGCATGAGCGTGAGTGGACAAACAAATCATGAAAAATCATCTCGATCGATAGATAAATTTTAAAGATCCATAATCACTTCATCTTCGATTTCGCCTCGCGATTCTTCGTCGGTCTCAAAAATTTCTAGCATTTCTTCCTCTTCTCGGAGGGGGTGTTTTGTGTTTATTGATGGAGAACGGGTGCAACCAGGAAATGTATGTTAATTCATAGAAATAAACTGAGTAGCGCACGCTTGGCGATTTATTTTTGGAGATTGAGCAGCCGATGGCTTTTCCTCAGTTTCACAAATAGAATCGACGATCGACGCTCTCACCACCCCCCACCCCCTCACGAATTTCCGAATATTTGTGCGAAAACGATTGAGATGATTTGAATTTAACTTCATGATTTTTTTACTGGGTTTCGGGGGTAATTTGTTGAGGTGTTTGGTGGAGTTGAAGCTGATGGTTTAGCTGTGGGGAAAAATGTCTTGCAGAATCCCGGGCCGGAGAAGTGGCGGCCAATGGCCATTTCCAATCCGTCCACCCGACTGAGGATGGCGAGGACAATGCCCCATTGGGTCATGGTACGTTTTTTGCTTACGAGTGGAAGCTTTGTAATCGCTCAAATTTAAGTTCTCAATTCAGTAGCGAAGTGCACTGAGGAAAAAAATTACTTTTCTGTACTGCTTCTCACGATTTCTCGTCTGGGAATTGGTATTACATACTTCCCAAACTCGAAAACTTGAAAATCACTACAGAAAAATATTGTTCCTGGGCTGTTGCGATGGGGTTTTTTTACTCGTGTGGTGGGCCAGTTATTTTTCAAGAGAATGCGGCAAAATTAATATCGATGATTGGTGTTTGTTCAAACATGAAAAATATCCTACTTGTTTACTAGGATTTGTACTTAATTTCGAGTATACCGAGGGGAAAACTCAGCCAAGTTGAGAAATCATGGACCATGATTTACAGTACCAAATCATGGTGTCACTCAATCAGGGAGTGAATAGCCCCCCGGAATTATCAATGACGACAAATTTTGCTTTTTTTACTTTTTTAATTCAGTAGCGAAGTGGAAAGAGATGAGTCAATTTTGACTATTGACCAGTTTTCAATGAATATCTCCGAATCTAAGGAAGATAGAAAAATTTTTGTTACAAACTTTTTTGTGGAACCGATTGAGTGCTACAATAAATGTAATTACGAAAAATTCGCTATCTCCCTTAGATTCGGAAATATTTGGCAAAAAATCAACTGGGAGATAAGTCGAGTTATCTCCGTTTACCACTTCACTACTGAATTTATTTTTTCTCGTTACGCTCCCCGACTCAACTGGAGTTTACTCATACTCCCTTAAACTCCCCTGAACTAGGCACAGGAGCAGCAAAAATCGCCGGCGCACCCCCGCGGCCCCCCAGCCCCCCCGAAGGTCCCTCCGCCATCGCTGACCGGCGACTGCGGCGATCCAGACTACGAGGTCATCGAATTTCCCCCGCCGAATCGATCGCAGAATCACGAGGCCAACCTCCAGGCCCGAAATCCCCAGAATCCCCTGAAATGCGCGCTCTGCGGTGGCGCGAATCTCTTCGCTCGTTGCGACGTCTGCAGGGAAAACTTCTGCGAGGCATGCGACGACATGAATCACAAGCACCCGAAGAGACGCGGCCACACGAGGAGGAGAATTTTTAGTCAGGAGGTCTCCTGCAGGACCAGACCCCCGCTCCCACCAAAGGGGGAACCCCAGGCGCCACCAGTCCCGCCACCACGACGAAACCGTAGAAACACTCAGGTAGGCTGCGCACTGGCCTGACAACAGCCACCACTCACACCATTTCAGGAATTTCAAATTTCGAATTTCTGCACTTTTTTATGAGTTCCGAGGGTTCAGATGAGCTTTTGGATTTTGGAAAAACTTTAGATATTTTTTGGCTGTAATCAGGAGTCGGTACGAATACTTGGGGCCATTTAGGGAACTTATTGTTTCCTTTTTACAGAGGACACGCGCGAAAAATTTCAGAGAAAATGTAATGAATTTCATGGAACATTCTATTGGATTTGTATTGAAAATTTTATTAGTTTTCGGATGATTCGGTTGAAGAATTTTGCAAATTTACTCGGTGTATGTCCGGTAGAAACTATTTGATAGAAAAAATCTAGAATTTCATTTTTATACTTTTTCTATTGAGACATTTTCTATAGGAATTCCTCGACATGAATTTTCCAAGTTTTTCAGAGGACACGCGCGAAAAATTCCAGAGAAAAACTTGACAAATTTGATGGAAAATTCTATTCGATTTCTATTGAAAATTCTATTAGTTTTCGACCGATTCTGATGAAGAATTTTGCAAATTTACTGAGTGTATGTTCGATAGAAACTATTTGATGATAGCATTTCATTTTTATAATTTTTTCATTGAGACATTTTCGATAGGAATTCCTCGACATGAATTTTCCAAGTTGTTTCAGAGGACACGCGTGAAAAATTCCAGAGAAAAACTTAAAAAATTTAATGAAAAATTCTATTCGATTTCTATTGAAAATTCGGTTCGTCTTCGAACGATTCTGTTGAAGAATTTCGTAAATTTACTGGGTGTATGTCCGGTAGAAACTATTTGATAGAAAAAATCTAGAATTTCATTTTTCTACTTTTTCTATTGAGACATTTTCTATAGGAATTCCTCGACATGAATTTTCCAAGTTGTTTCAGAGGACACGCGTGAAAAATTCCAGAGAAAAACTTAACAAATTTGATGAAAAATTCTATTCGATTTCTATTGAAAATTCTGTTCATCTTCGGACGATTCTATTGAAGAATTTCGCAAATTTACTGGGTGTATGCCCGGTAGAAACTATTTGATGGAAAAAATCTAAAATTTCATTTTTCTACTTTTTCTACCGAGACATTTTCTATAGGAATTCCTCGACATGAATTTTCCAAGTTTTTCAGAGGACAAAAATTTGACAAATTTGATGGAAAATTCTATTCGATTTCGATTGAAAATTCTATTAGTTTTCGGCCGATTCTGATGAAGAATTTTACAAATTTACTGAGTGTATGTCCGATAGAAACTATTTGATGATAGCATTTCATTTTTCTACTTTTTTTATTGAGACATTTTCTATCGGAATTCCTCGACATAAATTTTCCAAGTTTTTTCCACTCAATACTTTTTCGCTTTTTATTAAAAAATTGGAACGAAAAACTAGGAAAATGGACCTTTTCATTCTGGAACTCTAGGGGAAATACTTATTCCGTTCATCGAACTGAAAAACCTTCGAAAAAATAATGAAAAATTCTGGTAAATATTAATATTGAAGATGATATAGATTTGAGCCCTCAAAAATGATGATTGATATGTAAATTCGGTAGAAGTGTTCGAAATTCCTAGGGGGGTTGACATGAGGAAAAAGTATCCGAAAATCTAGTGACTCTCAAGATGAAAATGTCTATTGGAGCTGATAGGAATTTCTATATAAAATCTCCCAATCAAATAAATTTTATAGAAAAATCTAATTTTATCTATTTCTTTTATAGAATGTTTTCCATGCAATGTCTATTTGAATCGGATAAAAATTAATAGAAAATCCAATAGAAATCTAATACATTTTTCTGTATTGTTATGTATTGCATATTTTCCAAACTCGGAAACATGAAAATCACTCGAAAAAATCTTGTCCCGGGCCTTTGCAAAGGGGTTTTTTCACTTGTGCGGTTGGCCAGCCCTCACCCTCGGCTTCTAACGTCGACTCCACACGAGTAAAACCCCCATCGCAATCGCCCGGAATAGTATATTACGATACAAGTGAAAAATAACTATTTTCATGACTATTAAGTACAGAACCGGTAAAACCGTTCAAGTCGATTCAGCCCTTAGCTGAGTTTTCGAGCAATATCTCCGAATCTGAGGGAGATAGCGAAATTTCCATAATCACCTTTTTTGTAGCCCTCAATTCGTTCTATAAAAAAGGTCATAACAAAAATTTTCCCATCTCTCTTAGATTCTGAGATATTCGTTGAAAACTGGTCAATAGTCAAAATCTCTTCAAAATTCTTACGAAACATCTTCCTCATCTGCAAGAAAAAAATTTAAAAAATCTTTTATTAATTTTTATATAACAACAAACGATTGCAGAACTTCGTACAGAGAAGAAATGATAATGTACGTTAAAGTGAAGAATTGTCACACCGAGGCGTCAGTTTTCTCCACACATATATTAAAAATATAAAACTCAATGTAATGAACACTTCAAAGTGAAATATTACAGGGAGAATATTCTACACGATATTAGTTGCTTTACTCCCCACCCCTCCTATCCTGAAGTTATCCTGTAGAAATAATTTGAGAGGAAGTAGAGGGAATCGTCATGAAGGGAAGTGTCAGTTCTGTGGGGATAATTTAATCTGAGGTTTCGGGCCCTAGGCGAGGGCTACGGTAAATCAGGATGCCGGTGTTTCGGTCGGGGTGAAAAGAAACATCAATCATCAGGAGAGGCCCTTGCCGTCAGCACCTGATGGGGGTTTTATCAATCAACGAGGGGCTCAGTCGCATTCGGCTTTGGATACTGTCGGCTCGGGGATGGATAAAATGTCAACTTTACAGGTGAATTAGCATTTTGATAATGAAATTAATGTCAGAATTTTGGTTTCGCAGTGAGGAAATTTTTATTGAGAGATTTTTGGAAGGAAAAAATAAAAATAAAAAGTCCTTCCTCCATTTTTGAAAAATGTATTTGAACGAAAAATGAAAAATGCATTTTTTTTATTTTCAGAGAATTCTTTTGCAAGAAAAAATGAAAAATTGAATTTGTAATTCAGTTTTTGGTGATTTTTTTTTTTTTCACCAAATAATCGAAATTAAAAGGAATCATTTGTTTTCTCATTTTTTAAATAATTGTATTCAACCAAAAAATGAAAATTCAAGTGTTTTCCATTTTTAAAGGATTTTTTGGAATAAGACAATTAAGGATTGAGAAAATCGTCATTTTTAAAAAATTTTTTTGCTACAAAAACAATTAAAAATTGAGTTTCAAACTAATATTTTTCAAATTCAGATTTTTTGGTGCAGTGTTCCAATGTTTTTTGCAACAAAAAAATCCAATTGAAGAGAAAAATTGGTTTTCTCTTTTTTAAATAATTGCATTCAACCAAAAAATGACAATTCAGATTTTTCCAACTTTTAAATATTTTTTTGAAACAAGAAAATTAAGAATGGAGAAGGTCAAGTCAGTTTTTAAAATTTTCAAAGAATTATTTTGCAACAAAAAAATTAAAAATTGAATGTGAAATTCATATTTTTCAAATTCAGAGTTTTTCGTGTAGTTTTTCAATTTTTTTTGTAAAAAAAACAAAATTGAAGAGAAAAATTTATTTTTCCCATTTTTTAAATAATTATTTTTCAAGGAATCGCAAGCAAAAAATAAGAATTCAGATTTTTTCAATTTTAAAAGAATCTTTTGCGACAAAAAAATTAAGAATTGAGAACAATCGACTTTCAAATTCCTATTTTTAATGAACTGTTGAATTGTTGGATTTTGAATCAACTTTTAGGTTTTTATTCAAGTTGTTTAATCGAACAATGTTTCAGGAGAGATATCGAAGATACCAGGAGGCGATGAGAGCTCAGGACGCGAGCAGAAGAAGACTAAACACCCCGGAGGGTTCCAGGGAGGGTAGCAGCCCCAGACCCTTGAGTCTGGGCTCCTCCCGACCAAATTTGCTCACGCCCCCACCCCCTCCACCCCCCAGGAGCATGATGGGATCCTCCAGTGTGTCGGATCTCTCCGCTCACCACCTGTGGAACCCGGGGATGCAGCAGGTGAAAATTCAGAAAACGAAATTTTTTATTCTCAATTCGTAAATATCCATTCATTGATAATTTCTCGACAATTATTCTGTGAATATCTCAAAAACAAATAGATTTATCGAAAAACGTCAGAAAAACTTCCTTATAGCCCATAAAATTCTCTACAAAAAATATTCTGGCCATTTTTCTTTTCAATTTATTCCTTCAAAAGATATTCACAAAATAATGTTTCTGAAAATTTTTAATTGGCGAATTGTCAACTTTATGATGTCTCTCCCTAGCTTATTTTGTAAATATCTTCTAAACTAATTAATTCACCGAAAAATGTCAAAAGGCCTTTTTTGTAGCCCACGAAATTCCCCATAAAAAATATCTGAACCATTTTTTTCTCAACGCACTCTCTCCAAAGATATTTGCTAAATAATTCCCAAACAATTCCAGAGAACTAAATTTTTCATTCAATGCCCTTCTCAATGGAATGCATCAACGATTAAATTAATTGACGCATCGAATTCTTCTTAGGCCCAATCAATGGCACATTCGGGTCCCCGCGGTGTCCCCATGCTGTGCGACCCCCCAGGCCCCCCCTAGGACACGAGCCTTCGAAAAATATCCACAAAATGTTTCTGAAAATTTTGAATTAGCGAACTGTCAACTTTTTGATGACTCCCCTACCTTATTTCTTAAATATCTCCTAAACTAATTGATTTACTGAAAAACGTCAAAAGGTCTTTTTTGTAGCCTATAAAATTCCCCACAAAAAATATTTGAACTATTTTTTTCTCAACGCACCCCCTCCAACGATATTCGCTAAATAATTCTCCAACAATTCCAGAGGACTGAATTTTTCAATCAATCCCCTTCTGAATGGAATGCATCAACGATTAAATTAATTGACGCATCGAATTCTTCTTAGGCCCAATCAATGGCACATTTGGGTCCCCGCGGTGTCCCCATGCTGTGCGACCCCCCAGGCCCCCCCTAGGACACGAGCCTTCGAAAAATATCCACAAAATGTTTCTGAAAATTTTGAATTAGCGGTCAACTTTTTGATGACTCCCCTACCTTATTTCTTAAATATCTCCTAAACTAATTGATTTACCGAAAAACGTCAAAAGGTCTTTTTTGTAGCCTATAAAATTCCCCACAAAAAATATTTGAACCATTTTTTTCTCAACGTACCCCCTCCAAAGATATTCGCTAAATAATTCTCCAACAATTCCAGAGGACTGAATTTTTCAATCAATCCCCTTCTGAATGGAATGCATCAACGATTAAATTAATTGACGCATCGAATTCTTCTCAGGCCCAATCAATGGCACATTTGGGTCCCCGCGGTGTCCCCATGCTGTGCGACTCCCCAGGCCCCCCCTAGGACACGAGCCTTCGAAAAATATCCACAAAATGTTTCTGAAAATTTTGAATTAGCGGTCAACTTTTTGATGACTCCCCTACCTTATTTCTTAAATATCTCCTAAACTAATTGATTTACCGAAAAACGTCAAAAGGTCTTTTTTGTAGCCTATAAAATTCCCCACAAAAAATATTTGAACCATTTTTTTCTCAACGTACCCCCTCCAAAGATATTCGCTAAATAATTCTCCAACAATTCCAGAGGACTGAATTTTTCAATCAATCCCCTTCTGAATGGAATGCATCAACGATTAAATTAATTGACGCATCGAATTCTTCTTAGGCCCAATCAATGGCACATTTGGGTCCCCGAGGTGTCCCCATGCTGTGGTACCCCCCAGGCCCCCCCTGGGACACGAGCCTGAGCGGTTCAACGATGAGTCTGAATCATCCCGCGCTGTGGGGCTACCCCATGGGCTACAATCCCCAGGCGATGCTCCCCCCTCAGTACCCAGGGACCCTGTCCCGGTGCCAGAGCCCCGCGAGGAGCTACAAGTCGAGGAGGAGCAGAGCGCCCTCACCCTCGCCCAGCACAAAGTCCAGGAAGTCGATGGTCTCGAGGTCGAGGTCAAGACCTCCTTCGGATTCACCGAGTGACGCCAGTTCTGAGGAGTCCGACGAGTCCGATTTCGATGACAGATTGTCCAGGTGCTCCAGGAGCCTGAGGAGGGGCAGTTTCGCCAAGGGGAGGGGGTACCACGATGACGAGAGGGCTAGTGTCTCGAGGAATCGAAGAGGGTGAGTTTCCAGAGATCTTTTGATTATTCAGAAAACTTTATGGGGAATTTCTTGCTGAAAATTTTCTGCTGTGAAATTTCTCTGCGGTACGATTTCGTGATGGATCATTTGATATTAATATAGGGGAGAGTGGGGCCAAATGAAACAGCCGAAAAAGCGACTATTTGACGCAATTCAAGCAAAAAAAAAATTTCAACTTTTGTTTATCAACTTTTTTTATTATTGGGAGTACTGATGAGAATAATAATTTTCTATTCGGTAGAAAAGAACATGCGGTGCGAAAAAATCAGTGATATTCGAAAGCCCTGTATAGCGTAGCGACTACCTCCACAGATGAATCCCACTCCCCTGTTAGATCTCGATCTCAACGTCCACTAGTCAGCTTGTCCCCTGACTCTCCAGCAGCCAAACTAAGACCTCGTCATCGCTGAGTCTATGGTCTCTCCTCATTCGAAACTCCCGAAGGTTTTTCATACCTTTCTCATACCGAGACGACAATATTAATAATTTTCACTAATTTCATCCACAGTTCTCTTTTCAAGTAATATGAAATATTTCATCTATAATTCAATTGATTAGATTATGGCGATTACACTTTTCTTTTTTCATTCGATTGAAATTCAGCATCACATTTTCCTTTTCCCCCTCTGGGTCTCCCCCTGGGCCTTCCTCTGGACTTTGGATCTTACTGTTTCATTTTCTTTTCAATTAATCCATTGGCAAGATCTTCTCCCCTCAAAACTCCTCAATTACTTTCCATTCTACTGAATGAAAAATTATTATTCTCACCAGTAATCTCAATAATAAAAAAAAGTTAAAAAACAAAAGATTGTTTTTTAACTTTTAAAGATTGAAGAAAACAGTTGTTTTTCGACAGTTTCATTTTGCCCCATTCTCCCCAAAATGCAGTTGTTAGTCCTTAAGGTTTTCACGCCGTGAAACGCCTGATTAAAAACAATGAAACGAACCTTGCAAAATTATTTGAAAAATAATTGCGTTGATTAATTTCCAGCCACTGGAGATCAGACGACCGAATATCGCTCCCACCCCCCAGAAACCCGGACTACTCAGACGTGGAGACTCGTTCCTACTCGTCCCGGCAGCCCTCCGAAGCCGAGGAAGACCGCAGATCCCGTCGAGGGGGTTCAATCCTCCGCGAGGATCCTCGTCGTCGTCCCCAGCTCTCCGAGACCGACGAGGATCGTCGCAGGAGCGTCTCCAGAACCCTCCAGCGCTCCTCCATCTCCCGACAAAACTCAGAGACCGACGAGGACCGCCGAAGAGACTCGAGAAGAAGGCGATCCCAATCCATTGAGCGATCTCTCGAGGACGAAAAAGTTCGCGTAAAAAATCCGATAAAATCCAATGGCCTCAGAAATCACCGGAGATCTAGTACTGATCAGGATTCAGACTCGAAAATAAATCGCGAAGTCGTCAGGAAGGTTCAAAAATCCCCGAAAGATAGAGAAGAAAAGCTGGAAATGAAAACTGAAGAGGAAAATTCACAGAAAAATCAGGAAGCCTCGAGAAAAATTCAGGAAAATCCACAGAAAAATGCGAAGAAAATCGAGGGAATTTCTCCAATAAAAAATAATCCCAAACAAGAACAGAAAGTTGATAGTTCCCTCGACAAAAAGATGGTGAAACAGAAATTATTGATGAATTCGTCTAGAGAAAGGGGAACTGTCAATGAAGAATGGGCCTGTGAGCATTGCACATTTATAAATGATGCCAAGGTGAAGGTCTGCGTCGTCTGCTGCAAGACGAGGAGGTGTGCATTGCCCCCGAGTCCAAATAACGATTCACCGAGTCCAGATGGGGACAAGAAACGAGGGGTTCGGGTGTCCAACAGCGAGGAGAGCGACTCCCCTGCGAATATCAAAGGTAGAATGAGAAGGAAAATAAGTTTTTCTTTTGGAACTAAGGTTTTTAAGTGATTTTTGAGGACTCGGTGATGATTTCGGGGGAATTTTCTCTCGTTACTAAATGGATTTTTATTGTCTATTGATTGCAAAGGACTTGGATGATAATTTTTATGATTTATATGAACGTTTATACACTCCTGTGCACTCTTGTACTCTTGAATGAATAATAAAGAATATTAAAATGAAGATGTTGATGAGTTTAGTTGGATTTTTTATTATTCATTCAGAGGCGTTTTGAGTTTGAAACTTTTTGTTAGCATTTGGTCGATGGAAATGGTCGATTGAAAATATTTTGTAGAAAAAAGAGTAGAATTAGATTTTTCTGTAGAAGTTATTCTATTGAGATATTTTTCGCAGAAATTTCTTGACTCGAATTTCCCAAGTCTTTTGGTTGATTCTTTTAATAAAAAAAGACGAAAAATGGAGTGAAAAAACTTGGACAATTGACAAGATCAAATTCTACTGATTTCATCCATAAAATAGTTTTTATGGGACATTTTCTATTGAAAGACGCTCACTAAAGTTCTGGAATTCTTCAATGCAATCGGCCAAAGATTAATAGAATTTTTCAGAGAATTCGCTAGGGTTTTCTAAGAAATTTTTCCTGCATGATTGATTTTGTGAATTCCAAAAGAATTTTTGTCTTTCTTTATTGCAGAAAGATTGCAGGAGAAAATCCCTTCGGAGCCGTAAGAAAATACATAAGACTACAAATTTTTTTTACAAAAGCGCCACTAAATATATTACAAACAGCATTAAAAAAACAACAAAAGAACATAAAGCCATAATCCGTTCAAAAAACATATAGCTCACCCTCACGCTCTCAAAAAACGAGGGGCTTTAGAGCGAAATGTCAGATGATGTCTTTTGTAGAAAACAATTTTTGATGATGGATTTTGACAAACTCCTGTCTTCTTGAGGGATTTAATTAAATTAGTTGCTAGGTTTTAAAGAGAAATGTCCGAGGTCCTTTTCTATAGCTGAAAAAAATTCCTACAAAAAAGATTTTTTGACCAATTTTCCAAAAACTCGTCCCTTCAGAGATATTTAGGTGGTGGTAAATGGTAGTTTTGTTCCGGCGAGATTAATCGTCTATAAATCTTCATTTTTATTATCTTTTAAATAATTCAAAAACTTTTTTGTGAAAAATTTCAGAAAAGTAAAGTTATTACAAACTTACAGTTGTTTTAAAAGTAAAAGTAAGTTATTTTTTTTTCGGTACAAAAAAAACTTTTAATAATTGTCCACCAATCTCGTCATAAAAAAACAAGTTGTTGCATACATACCCACACAGACATGACCGAACAACACGACAATTCAATTCAATTCAATTCATGACAATTTCTTCGCGATTCATAACGTTCTAGATCATTTGCAATCAAAATTAGAGAATCAAAAAATCGGTCAAATACAATTTCTCTCAATTTATTTGTAATCTCCCCGGTTTATTCTAGAGGAGGAAAATTCTAGTGACGTAGTTGAAGAGGAAGATGAGAAGGAACAGGAGGAGAAGGAGAAAATACATGAGAAGGTACCACTGAAATGCACGTCAACGTCGACGTCTCCAATCAGAGATTTAGGACCTGAACCACCAGAACCGAAAAAACTGCCTTCTTTGAATGCCTCTCCTGCCCCTGGGAGCCCCGTCCCCTCGCCTGTGCCACCCTCAGGGGCCCAGGCGGTTTCCATCGAAAGGGGGACGTCACCCCCACCTCAAAGTATTGCCACACAGGTGAAAAATACATCTAATCGGGAGAAATATTATTTTTTTTAATAGTTCTGAGGCTGTCAAGTTTTATTCATCATGTTTGATGATTCGAAAATATGAATTGTTTCAAAATATTTCAAGTCTTCAGATTTTTCACGAAACTCCTTCCCTCCAGAAATATCCCAAACATTTTCTTCAATTTCTTTTTGGTTTCTCACAATTAATTTTTGCTTGAAATTTCATTAAAAAATATATTTGATGAAAATTAGCCGGCAATACGATTTTTAATAGTTGTTTCAAGTTGATTATTTTATCCATTCATTTGTGTTTTTAAAATTGAAATCAAATTTTCAAAAAATTTCATATGAAATAAAAAATTGTTGTTCTCACATTTGGAATATTCAAATAATACTATATTTATCAGCTTTGATGATTAAAAAATATGAATAATTTAACAGTTCAAGTCTTCATACATTTCTCAAATCTCTTTTTCTCCAAAGACATTCCAAAAATTTTCTCGTGTTCCCAAAATTAATTTTCGCATGAAATTTCATAGAAAAATATATCAAAATCATTTGATGAAAATTACATGGAAATACAATTTTCCATTCATTCAATCTGTCAATCCATTCATTTGTGTTTTTAAAATTGAAATAAAATAAAAATTTCATACGAAATTAAAAAAAACGGTTGTTCCCAGATTTGAAATATTCAAATATTTTATTCATCAGCTTTGATGATTAAAAAATATGAATAATTTAACAATTCAAGTCTTCAGACTTTTCCCAAAACTTTTTTTCTCCAGAGACATCCCAAAAATTTTCTCGTTGTCTCAAAATTAATTTTCGTTCAAATTTTTTTTGTCTTCTCCAAATAAATTTCCGCATGAAATTTCATTTAAGAATATATCAAAATTATTTGATGAAAATTACATAGAAATACGATTTTCCATTCATTCAATCTATCAATCCATTCATTTGTGTTTTTTAAAATTGAAATCAAATAAAAATTTCATATGAAATAAAAAACTGTTGTTCTCAGATTTGGAATATTCAAACAATATTTTATGCATCAGTTTCAATGATTCAAAAATATTAATAATTTACTAGATCAAGTCTTCAGACTTTTCCCAAAACTTTTTTTCTCCAGAGACATCCCAAAAAATTTATCGTTTTCTCAAAATTAATTTTCGCTCAAATTTTTTTTTGTCTTCTCCCAATAAATTTCCGCATGAAATTTCATTTAAGAATATATCAAAATTATTTGATGAAAATTACATGAAAATTACATGGAAATACAATTTTCCATTCATTCAATCTATCAATCCATTCATTTGTGTTTTTTAAAATTGAAATCAAATAAAAATTTCATATGAAATAAAAAACTGTTGTTCTCAGATTTGGAATATTCAAACAATATTTTATGCATCAGTTTCAATGATTCAAAAATATGAATAATTTACTAGTTCAAGTCTTCAGACTTTTCCCAAAACTTTTTTTCTCCAGAGACATCCCAACAATTTTCTCGTGTTCTTAAAATTAATTTTCGCTCAAATTTTTTTTTGTCTTCTCAAAATAAATTTTCGCATGAAATTTCATTTAAGAATATATCAAAATTATTTGATGAAAATTACATAGAAATACGATTTTCCATTCATTCAATCTATCAATCCATTCATTTGTGTTTTTTAAAATTGAAATCAAATAAAAATTTCATATGAAATAAAAAACTGTTGTTCTCAGATTTGGAATATTCAAACAATATTTTATGCATCAGTTTCAATGATTCAAAAATATGAATAATTTACTAGTTCAAGTCTTCAGATTTTTCCCAAAACCTTTTTTCTCCAGAGACATCCCAATTTCATTTAATTTTCTAGACGTATGAAGTCCCTCAAGAGGTCAAAGCAGCCGCCCAAAGAAAATCGAAACCAACTCCGGAACCTCGCCAACTATTCTGCGATGAGGACACTGACTCAGAGGTATGAAAAACCCCCGAAACCCCACAAATCGAAATCTAAGACTAAAGAAGGCGACTGAGACTCTGTTCTAGGACCCGATGCTGTACCCCAACAGTCCAGACTTGTACCCACGTGTCCTCCAGCCCCACTACGTCGTCCAGCCAACGTCGGCCCATCGATCCAGACGAAATTCCATCGACTCTTCTCACCTTTATTACCGCTCTAGGGTAAATCAACGATTTTCCCCGGAAATTTCATGATTGTTTATCATTTTTTTCGCTTTTTATTGTTTATTTTTGGGTTTGTTAATTCCTTGTGAAGCCTCGGTGTGATAATTAGATGTAGATGTAATTATTATTACTGAAATAAATAACTAAAACACGAAAATTGAATGAAATTTCCGATTTTTCAATTCATTAATTTCAAATTTATCACCATTATTACTTATTATTACATAAATAAATAAATTGAAAAATCGGGCATTCATTATTTTTTAGTTTTACTTCATCAAAAAAATGTGAAACAATTGACTAATTTTATTCAATTGAGATTATTTTTAAAAAATTCTGTAATCCAAATTTTCTCATCTCTTATTTTTTCTCTTATTTTAAAATCATTTAACTACTACTGCCATTTAATAAATCATTCAATAAATATTGATGAATAATTTAGTCAATTGAATTTAATTTTTCAATGCAATAAAATTTAATTTTTCATTTCTGTTATTTTTTTTATGAAAAAAAACTGGTTTTATTTTAAAAATTGTATAATTGAATTTTCTGCTTGTTAAAATGTTTTTGAAGGAGCCAAGTCAGTCCAGATATCACCAGGAGTCGCCGCAGCACCCGCCATCCCCAAGTGTATCGACCCTGACTCGTCAGGGGCTGGAGATTGTGGAGATGCTGCGAGAGGCTGAGAAGCAAGGATTCTCAGCGGACGATCTCCAAGTGGCCCTGGCCCAGGGTGCTGCGCACCCGGTGGAGTGGCTGACCCAGCAGTGGCCTCACCTCGTGGAGACTGTGCAGGTGCTGGTGTCCACGAGGGGCAGGGAAACGCCGGATGATCGAAATGACATCGGGATTTTGTCTGCAAACGAGGCTAAAGAGGCCCTGAGGAGCTGCAAGGGGGATGTCTGGACTGCTGTGACGAAGGCTATTCAGATGAGACAGCAGAAGGTACGATTTTTGGTTGATGGAGATGGAAGAAGAATCAAAAAGGCCACACGCACAAAAAAAAATAGTACAAAAATCTAGCGAATTCGTCAGACAATTCCGAGGATTTGTATTGAACTTTCTATTAGGTTTTGGACGAGTCAATTCAAATGTTTGATAAAAACTATTCTATAGAAAAAATCAAAAGGATTCGATTTTTCTGTTCAACTCATTGAGGTGTTTTTTAGAATTTCCTCGGCTCAAATTTTCAGTTTTTTAATTTTTAGTTTTCTTTTTTCTTTCATCAAGCAAATCAAACAGAAAACTTGGAAAAATTGAGCCGAGAAAATTCTATAGAAAATGTCGGAAATAGTTGTACAGAAAAATCGAATTCTATTGCCTTTTTCAATAGAATATTTAGAGTTTTTAATAGAATATTAAAATATTTTTTAATAGAATATTAAAAGTGACTCGTTCTAACAATAAATACGAAATTGTTGGAAGAAAAAAGGAAGCTAATAAAAATTGATGAAATGAACTTTTTCTTAACTACTTAATTATTTCTTTAATGAGTGATTGTACAAAAAAATTTTGCAAAAAATTTTTTATTGTAAATTTCATTTCCTATATTTGGTTTCTAGAATATTTTTCTCTGAAATCACTTGTTCAAGAGATAAATGCAAAAATTTTAGACAAGGATTAAAAATTCATGAAAATCCATTAAATAAATTTATTTTTAATTACTGATTTATCTCAGTAATGATGATTTCTAGACAAAATTTTGCACGATTTTTTTTGGTGGGGATTTTATCTTCTTCATGTTGTCCGCTGACATTCTCTCCTTGAACTATTCATTAATAACATTAAAGCCGAATTATTATAGAAACATTATTTTGTCCCATTAATATGATTGACAGCAATTGACCCAATAAATCCTGAAATTCTTTCGTTTTTTTAAATTTTTTTAGTGCGCAGGGATAATGTCAAAAGGTAATTTTCCACTAGTGGATGTGATAAAATCCCTGAACAGTCACGGAGGCAACGAAGACGTTGCACTCCTAGAACTCCAGAAGAATCAACTAAAACCGTTTCTAATGCGAATTTGGGGACCGCCTGTTGGGGTTGACAACGACGAGGCTGCTCCACGCATGGGTAAATAATCTGTCTGATAAATATCTTGAACCAAATAAAAAAAATGAAAAAAAAAATCTGAAATCGGTTTTCGATTTTTTCAGTCCAAATTACAAAAAAATAAGGGTTTTCCTTGGTTTTCAATAAAGAAATCAGTTCACATTTTATTCATCAATTCATTCATTAAAAAGTGAAGAAAATTTTGTGAGTTTATGATTTTTTTTAATGCTCAAGTATGAAAAAATTCAATAGAAAAACTTTCCGAATTCGGTAGAAAATTTTATTGAAATTCTCTAGAAATTTTATTGGGATTCTATTAAAATTCTAGGGAATTCTTGTTAAAATTCTATTTATTTTTTGCGCTGATTCTATGAGATATCTGATAAATAAAACAAAATATAGCGGAAAAAACTTAGAAAATCCATGCCCAATAATTTTAATAGAAAAAATCTCAAGTGAAAAATTCAAACTGAAAAATCAAAATCAATTGACTTTATCCTATTAAATATTTAATAGAATCTGCACAAAAAAAAAACAAATAGAATTTTAATAGAATATAGAATTTCTGGAGAATTTCCATGGAATTTTTTAGCGAATTCGCTGAGGTGTTCTATTAATTTTTTTCATACATAATTCCCTTTCTCATACGACTCTGTGTTATATTGCCCCTTCGAAATGAATTATTATCAATAATACTAGGCTGCCAATAGAGCACGAACTCAACCGGAATATTTTCATTCATACAAACTTCTATTCAGAATTTATTTCAGATTTTTATCTTAAAAATTTAAGTTATGTTTATATTACCTTAAGGGGAGACTACTATGAGTTTTATAAGTCGTAGGTTATTGGAGTGAGACTTTTCATACGTTGAAGATCGATTACATAGATCTGAAAACGCATAATTAGTGTAAAAACAATTTTTTTTATTGTTCATTTGCCCGAAAACGCTTAAAATATTAAAAACAGTTCGGGGCCTCCAATTTTTGAGCCACAAAGAATTTTTTTTTTCAAAATTTTCGAAAGAATATGTGAAATAACAATTACGAGCTATTTTTTTTTAATTTGCCTCTTACATGGCTAAATTTGCTTTTTTTGTATTTTTTTACACAACTATTGAAAAATAGTGGAAATACTGAGAATTCGACTGAAAAAATTGAAGAAAGTTCAAAATCAATCACTAAACTTCAAGAAAATGGTGAAAATACTTCAAAAACTCTTGAAAAAAGTGAAGAAGCTCCAAAATCAATCATCAAAATTCAAAAAAATAGTGGAAATACTGCAAAATCTGTACAAAAAAATGAAGAAAGTTCGAAATCGATTATCACAGTTCAAGAAAATAGTAAAAATACTTCAAAAACTCATTTAAAAATTGAGGAAACCCTAAACTCAATCATCAAAGTCCAAAAAAATAGTGGAAATATTGAATTTTTGTACATGAAAAAAACCAAAATCACCTGTGTAGGAGTCGAATTCCAAAAAACTGGCTCGTAATTGTTGTTCCACACATTTTTCCCAAAATTTTGAAAAAAAAATCTTTTGCAACTCAAAAATTGGAGGCCATGGACTGTTTTTAGCATTTTAAGCGTTTTCGGACAAACGAACAATAAAAAAAAAATTTTTTTGCACTAATTATTCGTTTTCAGATCTATATAATCGATCTTGAACGTACGAAAAATCTCACTCCAATAACCCACTACTTTTAAAACTCATAGTAGTCTCCCCTTAATAAATGAAGAAAATTTTGTGATTTAATGATTTTTAAATGCAGAAGTAGCCAGTGCGATCGATTCGTCACAAATGCTCGATGAAAAATCGATGGCAGCCGGAGGGGGAGTGGAATCGAAGAAACAGGTAATGTCAGAAAAACTCACTGATTTCCCAGAGTTGCAGGAAGAATTGCTGAATAATTCCATCGAAAAAGCATCCAAAATAGCGAGAAAATCCCCCAAAGAAGGTAATAATGAAAACGATTTATTCAGCAGTTGTGAAAGTCCCCGAGACCTAAGTCCAAAAAATAATGAAGCAAAAACAGTGAAGACTCAGCAGAAGCAAGAAATTCCAACTGAGGCATCAACCCCACCTGAGAACCCCAACCCCCCGAAAGTAGATGAATCCCTTCAACTTAAACCCAAGAAATCCACTAAACCTGAAGACGAAACCAATGGAATCGATCAAAATAACGAAATTAATCCGTCAAATGGAATTGATCGATCGAATGGAATTGATCGATCGAATGGAATTGATCAAGACGATGGATTACACAATTCAGAAGCAGTAGAGCAATTGCTATCAGCGATGAAATCCCTTCCTGAACAATTTCTGGGACCTCTGACAGCTGTGTTGCAAGGACTCTCTAACAAATCACATGACGAAATGGGAAATTCAGAAATTGGAGCTCCCACTCCTGTTTACGAGAATGTCGAGCTTTCAGAGGAGATTTTGGAGACTTCATCAGGTGTCTCGGGACCTCCAGGAACGTTCTCAAGCATTTTGGCTGCAGATCCATTGCCTAAAGTCGTTGGAGAGGGTTCGGAAATCATTAAAATCCCTCCGGACGCATCAGACTCACCCCCAACAATCAGGAAAATCGGAAAAGGATGTGAAGTCCTTAATAATAAAAAATTAAGGAAATCTACTGTGATAATGTCACCGGTTCCTTCGCAAGAAATCAGAGAAACATTAGCAAAAGAAGAATATTTTAACTGTAATTTAATTGTTGAAGAACTTGGGGAAAAATTAAGGGGAGAAATAAGAAATTATCAATCAATTCCAGGGAAAGAAATACTAATTAATGCAAAAAATGGAGAAGTAAAAGAACAAACAAGTGACAGACAAGAAATTTCCCGAGACAATAATGAAAACAAATTAATGAAGGGAGAATATAGAAGAGAAATAAGCGGTAATAATCGAAAAATTCCACTTGAATCCTCGAAAATCAAGGCAACTCGGTCAGAAACTCCTGGAAAGGGTGATGAGAGTCTAAAATCGTTCATCCGAGGGCAAGAAAATTGTGGAAATGCTCAAACTACTATTGAAAAAATTGAAGAAAGTTCAAACGAAATCATCAGGATTCAAGAAAATAGTGAAAATACTGCAATAAATCGAAAAATTTCACTTGAATCACCAAAAATACCGGCAACTCCATCAGAAACTCCTGAAAAAAGTGGAGAGAGTCTAAAATCGTTCGTCCAAGTCCAGAAAAATTCTGAAAATACGGCAGAAACTCATTTAAAAACTGAGGAAAATCCAAAATCAATCCTTAAAGTCCAAAAAAATAGTGGAAATACTGAGAATTCTGCTGAAAAAATTGAAGAAAGTTCGAAATCAATCACTAAACTTCAAGAAAATAGTGAAAATACTTCAAAAACTCTTGAAAAAAGTGAAGAAGCTCCAAAATCAATCATCAAAATTCAAAAAAATTGTAGAAATACTGCAAAATCTGTACAAAAAAATGAAAAAAGTTCGAATTTAATTATCACAGTTCAAGAAAATAGTAAAAATACTTCAAAAACTTATTTAAAAATTGAGGAAACTCCAAACTCAATCATCAAAGTCCAAAAAAATACTGGAAATACCCCAAATTCTGTTGAAAAAAATGCAGAAAGTTCAAAATCAGTCATCAAAGTTCAAGAAAACAGTGAAAATACGGCAAAAGCTTATTTAAAAATTGAAGAAACTCCAAACTCAATCATCAAAGTCCAAAAAAATAGTGGAAATACTGCAAAATCTGTACAAAAAAATGAAGAAAGTTCGAAATCAATCATCAAAGTTCAAGAAAACAGTGAAAATACGGCAAAAACTTATTTAAAAATTGAAGAAACTCCAAAATCAATCACCAAACTACAAAAAAATTCTCAAACCACTGCTGGAAAAATGGAACCACCACTGGAAGGGGTACGTACACAGTGTGAAGTTTCCCCCGCGCCTCAATCACTCGCACCACTTCACGAGCCATTGCCATCATCACTAAGCATGAGCACTCTGAAATCATTAAAAACTAGATTCTCAAGCATGATGTCAAGATTTCCATTGTCGAAGTCCATGATAATGGGAGTGAGTGAGAAGCCAGACTCTCCCGCTACTAATAAAAATCCGAAAGATGTGAGCAAAGAAGAAATACCGATTTCTAACGCTTCTAATGATCCTCCAGGCTCTGAATCATCGGCTGTTGTTGAAGTGATGGATGATGGAGCTTGTTTAGTGATTAGTCCACCCAGAGACTTTGGTGACGACGAAAATGATAAACCTCGGGATTTTCATATTTTGGGGGAGAAGGAAGACGATAAATTAGAGAATTTGGGTGTTGAGAGTGGTTTTAGGCGTGAGGGAGGTGTCAAGGTCATGCGAAGTTCTATTTACATTGAACCTTTGTGTTTTTCTAAGGGGAGACAACATCAAGAAGACGATGAAATGAGAAATATGAGTATTTCTGGTGTTGAAGAAGAAATAACAGATCGAGGAAGAAATAATAAAACTGAAGATTTCGTGGGAGAAATAGAAAATGAAGATGAAGCTTTGCGTTTTTCTAAGGGAAGACAACATCAGGAAGACGATGAAATGAGAAATATAAGTATTTCTGGTGTTCAAGCAGAAATAACAAATCGAGGAAGAAATAATAAAACTGGAGATTTTGTGGGAGAAATAGAAAATGAAGATGAAGCTTTGCGTTTTCCTAAGGGGAGACAACATTGGGAAGACGATGAAATGAGAAATATGAGTATTTCTGGTGTTGAAGAAGAAATAACAGATCGAGGAAGAAATAATAAAACTGGAGATTTCGCGGGAGAAATAGAAAATGAAGATGAAGAGATAAAGATCGATGTGAAGACTGCGGAAGAGAGTGAATTGGCTGAAGAATTTTTCGATTCTTTGGAAGAGTTCATGACGCCGGAAGTGATCGAAGAAATTTTGAAAAATGCAGATGTTGAGGTTGACGCGGGAAATTATTGTAGGGAGGATTTAATTGAGGGGATGGCACCAGAGACTTTTGAATTGATGATAAAGGAGTCTCCTGCGATAACCGTGAACGACGCGGCGCCGGTTCTGGGGTCTCCGGTGGTCCAGGGGTCTCTGAAGATGAATTTAGTGAGATCGGGGGAAGGTCAGAAGTCATTGTCTCTCGAATCTGTTGGAAACGCGTCTGAAAAATCATGGGATGATCCTAATTCGTCTTCTAATGAGGGAACTTCACAGAAAAAATCGAGAGAGGATGTGGAAACAGTAGGAAAAGTTGGGAGAGGGGGTAAAGCTTTGACTGTGAAGAGAACGACGAAAAGGGCGAAGTCTCCGGTGAAGCGGGTTTACGCCAGGAGAATTCCTGTAATGAGATCCGCTAGGAAATCATTTTCTCCACCGAAAAAGAATTTTGGAATTGCGCCGAAGCCTTCGTTCAGAGCTAGAGAGTTGGCCGGAAGGATTTCTAGGTCAATGACTGGTAAGGACAATCAAGTAGAGAAAACTGACATCAATAATGGAGAAATTGGGAAAGACATAGCTTCAGCAAAATCTTGTGTTAAAAATGAAAAGAATTCCCAAAAAATTTCTGTGGAAGAAGAAAAAATTCCACAAGAAGAAAAAGCTCCATTGGATATATTGAAAAACGATGGAAACATTTGCGAAGAGATAACTTCATTAAAAAATTCTGTTAAAGAAGAAAAAACTGCATCAAAAACAGAAATGGAATCTAAAAAGAATTTTGGAATTGCACCGAATACTTCGGTTAGACGTAGAGAGTTGGCTGAAAGAGATTCTAGACCAGGGACTTGTAACAATGATCGAGTAGAGAAAATAGACATTAATAACGGAGAAATTGGAAAAGAGATAACTTCATCAAAATCTTGTATTGAAAATGACGAAATTTCACAAAAAAATTCTGTTAAAGAAGAAGAAATTCCACAAGAAGAAGAAGCTCCATTAGAAATATTAAATGATGACCGAGATATTTGCGAAGAGATAACTTCATCAAAAACTTCAATTGAAGAAGAAAAAACATCTTTGAAAAATCCTGTCAAAGAAAAAATTCTTCAAAAAGGAAAAACTGGATTAAAAATATGTGATGATGAAGGAATTCCAAAAGAGATAACTTCATCAAAAACATGTGTTGAAGAAGAAAAAACTTCTTCAAAAAATCCTGTCAAAGAAGAAAAAAATCGTCAAAAAGAAAAAACTGGATTAAAAATGTCATGTGATAAAGAAGGAACTCTAAAAGAGATAAATTCATCAAAAACTTCTTGCAAAATTCCTATCGAAAAAGCAAAAAATCCACAAGTAAAAAATCCCCCATTAAAACCAGAAACGAAACCTAAAAATACTTCAGCCAAAAAATCGGAACTAGACCTGGAACCCAATCGGCAAAACGACTCGATAAAAACTTCAACCACAGTAAAATCCCTGGATATAAATGTCGCCAAAGTCAAGAGCGAAGATAAAGGGCTGACAGTTCTCGATAGATTGCGCAAATCGCCTTCAAAAATTCCGGTTTACCAGAAGAAACCTCAGACTGTCTCCGTGACGAGTCAAAAAATCATCGAAGTTAGTTCTTCGAAGCCTGTGAGGGCTGAGATAACTCCCCCCATTCGCGCTATTCCAGTATTATCTCCAATTATTCCTTCAGCCAGTGCAGCTCAAACCCACGAAAGCCCTCCCAACCCCTCATGCTTCCCTAAAGTCAACGCTTCAAAGCCTGAAACCGAAGAAAATGTAGAGAAATTAAATCAAAAAGAACATGCAAACCTCCCAAAAGAAGAAATAAAGACTAAAAATACTAAAGAAGAGGACAAAGACCCTGGAAAATCACCAGCTAAGCCACAGGAAAAACAAGAATCAGAACAAATTATCTGTTCAAGAGATCAAGAATATGAGGAAGAGCTCGAAGATGAAGAAATCGAAGGAGAGAAAGAAGACTTTGAAGAGGAGATTGAAGACGAGGGCAGTTCAGACGAAGAGATCCTGGAGATTGTCGAGGAAGAAATAACGTACTCCAGTAATTCATCTTCCACAGGCTCTCAGAAGATGTCAACAGTCCTCGAGAGACGATCGTCTTCAACGGAGGATCTGACAAGCGCTGAGCTGATGCTGCAGAGGACGTTAGACCGAATAAAAGCGGAATTATCGAACTCAGAATTCGAAGATGAAGATGAAGAAGAAGGGATAATAGTCAATTCCAGTGAAGATGATGATGAAGACATCCCAGAAATTTCTGAATATAGTCCTGAACGGAATCTAATAACCGATAACTCTCTGAAATCATCAAATGCGCCTCAAGTTGCCTCGGAGGAAGAAATACCTTCGGAAGATAACAACCAAGAGATCATTGTCAACATAAAACTAGACCCCAAACCCTCGAAATTACTGGTGACAGAGCCTGAGGTAGTGGTAGAGCACACGGTAACTCCCAGAAAACGTTTCTCAATTGTTGCGAGTTATGTGCGACAGTTCGAAGGAGAAATGCCAAAACGTGAGAGAAGAAACTCGAGGGAAGTTTCGAAGGACATTCAGAAACGTGACAGGTCGCCGAAGAATGAGAGGGAGGTCAGTAGATCATCACGGATGAAAAAATTTAATGGAAAACCTTGGCGAATTCGCTAGAAAATTCTGTTGAAGTTCTCTAGAAATTCGATGTGGATTCTATTAAGATTCTAGGGAATCGTTAAAATTCTGTTTGTTTTAATATTTGATAGGAAAAAGTTGATAGATTTTGATTTTTCTGTTTTGAGATTTTTTCTATTGACTGGGAGGGCTGCGCCCCCTGCTCGCTCCGCTCCTCAGCCCCCATGATCCTTATTCTGACACTTGTGACCCTTAATCTGACTCTCGTGACCCTCATTATACCCCTCTTGATCGTTATTTTGACCCTTAAGTTTCAAGTCTTCATTTTGTGTGCTAAATTTGCACCAAAAGTCGATTTGGATTTGTATAATATAGAAAAGATATATAGAGACCCTTATTTTGACTCTTGTGGCCCTGAATTTCTGACCCTCATGACCCTTCCCATTATTTGGACCCTTAATCTGACCTTTTTGATCCTCAATCTGACCCATGTGACCCTTATTCGGATCCTTAATGTTACTCTCATTATAAACCTCGAGACCCTTATTCTGATCCTTGATCTGACACTTGTGACCCTTATTCCGACTTCATGACCTTTATTCTGATCCTCATGACCCTGATTTTGATCCGCGTGACCCTTACTCTGACCTTTATGGCTTTCAGTCAGACCCTCATGACTTTTATTCTGACCCCCATGACCCTTATTTTGACCCTTGTGACCCTTATTTTGACCCTCATAACTTTCATTTTGATTCTCGTGACCCTTATTTTTACCCTTGTGACCTTTATTTGTGGAGTCTTAATTTCGAGTACCAAAGTTGCATCACCAGAAATCGATTTAGATTTTTATAATATAGAGAAAAATTATTGAGCACCGATTTTCCAAGTTTTTTCCACTACATTTTGTTTTGTTTTGCATGACAGGATCCGAGCGAAAAAAACCTGAAAAATTCATGCCCAAATATTCTTACAGAAAAAATTTCAAGAGAGAATATTCATATAGAAAAATCGAAATCTGTCGACTTTTTCCTATCAAATAGGTGATAAAATCAGCGCAAAAAACAAATAGAATTTTAACAAGAATTCCCTAGAATTTGAATAGAATTCCAATAGAATTTTTTAGCGAATTCGGTAGGTTTTTCTATGGAATTTTTTCATACGTGATGAAAATGTCACACGTGAACATTCCCTCCCCAGAATACTTCGAATAGTAATCAGATAATTATCTACATTAATAATTATTTACAACGTAGAAAAACAAAATTAGCCGAGATGTGCATGTCGGGAAGCTCCACCAGTTGATCACAATTTTTCGATTAGAAAAAAAAAATTTATGATGATTTCAGACTCCAAGCTTTTTAATGAATTGCTGAACTAATTCTTCATGATATTAATTGTTCATGTTCATTCATGTAACTGATCAATATTTTTTTTCTAATCAAAAATTTTTTTTGATATCTTCATAGTGTTTTAGGTATTCAATTATTGTCATTTGCCTTACGAATTATGAATTCTTTTCTATGATTTGTCATTTCCTTCAGAGAACGGCAAGACGTTTATTGGCAGAGGGTAAAGTCTCCAATTATGAGGAGGCAGAAATTGCTGCTAGTCTAATCACCTTGAAGTTTCAAGATGATGAAGCTATTCATGCAGCCAAAGAGTGCGGGAGTGTAGAGTCAGCTATTGCTTTTCTCCAGCAAGAGTGTGAATTGTGCACTGGAAGATTTGCAGTCAATCAGGTAGACACGCACGAAAAGATTTGATGGAATTCAACTTTTTTACAACTTATTCTGTTGAGATGTTTTGTATAGAATTTCTTCGGCTCAAATTTTCTAATTTTGCTTCCAAATGGAAGCTTTGTAATCGTTCATTTTTACGATCTTCTAATTTTGCTTGGAAATTATGTAGGATGTCATTAAACGTCAAGATCTGATGTTTTTAGAAAATGTGTGTGTGCGAATTTTTGAGAATTTTGTTATAAATCTTCACGCAAATCACTCAAATTCAATTAGAAATTAAATCCCTTTTGTTGTGATCTAGATGATTTCGATGCTGAAGTGCATCCACAGGTGCTGCAACGATTGCGCCAAGAACTACTTTACGATCCAAATAAGTGACAGAAACATCATGGACGCTGTCTGTCCGTTCTGTAAAGAGCCTGATCTGAAAGACGCGAATGAGGATGAGATCCTCGAGTATTTCAGTATTCTTGATATTCAACTGAAGTCCCTTCTCGATGCACCCATTCACGAACTCTTCCAGAGGAAGTTGAGGGACAGAACGCTGATGCAGGATCCGAATTTCAAGTGGTGTGCGCAGGTGAATACAAGAGTAATACGATAATGAAGAGTAATACGATGTGAAACGATATGATAATGATGAGTCGGTGTTTTAGTGCTCGAGTGGATTCTACGCAAATCCAAATCAGAAGCGGTTGATCTGCCCTGACTGCAGATCTGTGACGTGCGCATTCTGTCGAAGACCTGTAAGAATCTTTATGAATATGATTTATCTCGATATATATTCAACCGTTTGAGTTTTTTCTTGCAATTTGAACTAGTTTATGAAAGAGAAAGAACGAAAAGACTTCTTTCTTGCGTCGACGATTAAAAATGATTGTTCTTGCTTGCGAATAGAAACTTTCACGTACGAAAAAATTTCATAGAAAAACCTAGTGAATTCGCTGGACAATTCTATTAGACTTCTGTTGTACTTTCTATTAGTTTTTGGCCGATTCTATTGAAGTGTAAGAAATGAAATGAAATTCTTTCACACTTGTAATGAGAATACTCCTGTTCCCCAGTGGGAAAAGCAGCACGAGGGAACAACATGTGAGCAATTCTCCGCCTGGAAAGACGAGAACGACCCAGACAATCAGGCAGCAGGTCTAGCCCAGCACCTAGCTGACAATGGAATTGACTGTCCCAAGTGTAAATTCCGTTATTCACTATCTCGTGGAGGTAAGCTACCGAAAACCCAAAAGTAATAATTTCCGTAATGACCAGCTTTCAACATTCCAAGGCTGCATGCACTTCACCTGCAATCAATGCAAATACGAGTTTTGCTGTGGCTGTGGCAAGGCCTTCATGATGGGAGCGAAATGCTCCATCAGTCCTTACTGCTCAAAGCTCGGTCTCCACGCCCATCATCCCCGCAATTGTCTCTTCTACCTGCGCGATAAGGAACCAGCACAGCTGCAAGAGCTCCTGAGGGAGAACAAAATTGAATTCAATACTGAAAATCCCAACAACGATCAAAAGTGCAAGGTTCAGCTGCAGAAGGAGACTCCAACAGGAGTTGTCGATGCTGTCTGCAATTCTGATGTTGTGGAGAATCACGCGGGACTCTGCAGGTAGCTAAAGCGACAATTCAGTAATAAAAAAGCCCATTTCTCGTTAAATTGTTGAATAATAGAAGTTCAATAATCATGGATAATTAATATTTTTCAGGAGTACACGTATGAAAAAATTCTGTGGAGAATTCCAACATTTTCTATAGGATTGTTCAGATAGGATTTCCTATAGGATATTCTATAAGATTTTCAATAGGATATCCTATGAAATTTCGGGTCATGAGGCTCAAAATGAGGGTCAAAAGAGTCATATGGGGGTATATACTAGTCACATGAGGGTCACATGGGGACATATGAGGGTCATACAAAGGTCATAGGAGGCTCATGAGGATCAAATGACCTTCGTATGACCCCCATATGACACGTTTGACCCTCATTGTGACCCTAATACCCCTAAATTTTGTAGAAAATCCTGTTGAAAATCTCATATGAAATCCTATCCGGAAAATCCTATAAGAAATGTTCGAATTCTCCATGGGATTTCCTGTAGGAAATCCTATAGGACACGCTATAGAAAATTCTATAGGATTTTTCATGCGTGTAATAATTAAGATCTTGGATTTTTCTCAAAATCCAATTGTTCCCAAGAAATTCTCGAGAAATGTTGACCTTCGTAACGATTTTGTCGTGACTAAAACTTAAAAAAATTGTAAATAAATCAATTGTATTCAGGATTCACTACGTTGAATATCTCGTGCACAAAATACGTGTCTCAAAGCTGGAACCACTGTCCCTCCTATCAATCGATGACCTTGAAACGTGTGTTAAACGTGCAGGTATCAGTTTACCACCAAATTGGTACAGACGAAATCCCGACGACTATAAAAAAGACTTGTTGAAGGTAAATTAATAGTTGTTGAATTATTATTAAAATACCGGTACTTTTCCCCGCAGGCAGCACTACGTTGAGTACCTGGCCAGTCTAGTGCTCAAGGCTAAATTGGATCCTGTGGAGATATTTGATTTGAACGAGGCCAAACAAGAGTTGCGCCGACGGGGAAAAGTGCCGCCTGCTAAAGCACAGGAAATGTCTGAGATGGAATACCTCAAAGTTTGCATTCAGGTGAACTGAATTGCTTTGTTAACCAGCAAGAGAGAGCACCACGGACGAAAAAATTTAATAGAAAAACCTATCGAATTCGTTAGAATATTCTATTGAATTTCTATTGAACTGTTCTATTAATTTTTGGCTGATTCTATTGAAATGTTCAATAGAAAATATTCAGTAGAAAAAGTCAATAGAATTCAATTTTATATAACTTATTCTATTGAGATATTTTCTATAGAATTTCCTCGGCTCAAATTTTCTAAGTTTTTTCGCTTGATTTTCTTGATGAGAAGAAAAGAAAAATAGAATGAAAAAAACTTGAAAAATTTGAGCCGAGCAAATTCTATTGAAAATATCTAAAAAGAACAAGTTGTATAGAAAAATCGAATTCGATAGGTTTTTCTATTAAATTTTTTCGTGCGTGATTAGTTTGAGTAGTGATCGGTATTGATGATGATGATGATGATGATGAAATTAAAATTAATTGAGTTCGTTATTCAAATTATTTTTTCTTTCTTCAGGTGGTGCAAGAGGAGATTCCATTGGAGTGAAAATTCCAAGCGAGAGTGGTTTTGGATCATTTATACCCTGATTTTATGTATTCAATCGTTTATTACAAAAATATTTATATTAGAGAATAAAGGATGTGAAAAAACGTTTGAAAACATTAAGATTACTCACAATTTCAAAATGTTTTCATGGGATTGTAATCTTTGCAATGATTAACACACCATGTCATTTTGAGTCGGCAAAACGTTGCTGTACAACTCCACAAACTTCTCGAGAGGACATAACTTTGCGCATCCTGGAACGGTTATGCGCGTTCTAATCGGCGGGATTCCCAAGTAGTACCAAATCTGTAAAATAATGAGAAAATATTACTTTGAAATGTTTGATTTTAATCATAATAGGTCTTGTGGTTCTAACGTTTGAATACAAACATTAGTGAAGTTCATTTTCACGCTGTTGGGTTTGAACTCACAACCTTCAGATTAACAGACTGATGCCCTTCCACTTGAGCCGCCGAATTACCCACAAGAAAATATGAATATTAGCTGCAGCGAATTCTACGCAAGTTCTATTGAATGGGAAAAATCGGTAAAAATGATAAAAAATAATTATGAAAAAATTGTTTTGAAGGAAGTTCTTTGGATCAACGACATCAACAGATTTGCCAGTTATAACACGTTTGAACACCAACATCAGTGAAATTCAATTTCACGTTCTTGGGTTTGAACCCACAATCTTCAGATTAACAGGCTGACGCCCTACCACTTGCGCCACCGAATTGACCACAAGAAAATATGAATATTAACTGCAGCTAATTCTATGCAAGTTATATTAAATGGCATTAGTTGAAATGAATAATCCAGAATAATGATAAGAGAAATTATTTTGAAAAGATTTTTTTGTTTTATATTAAGAGTAGTTTGTAACGTTTTGAATAGATACATTTGCGAACTTCAGTTTCCATATGAAGCTGAAACTAGCAGAATATTCGTCAGCGGAAAATTCAATTTAGGGGATATTCAAGTGTAGGAGAGTCAAATAATCATATGTACAATGTTTTTTGAGTGCGAAAAAGTTTGTACATTACTTAAAAACATTTGTTTGTTGGTTTGTTTGTTGGGGCTTAACGTTGCATCGATAGCTAGGTCATTAGCGACGGGTTCGCGACTCTTTATTGTCGTTCGAACTCACGACTATTTCCTCTGTAGCCTATATAGGTTACGATGGTATCGACAGTATTTTGAAGGTGAGAATCAACTGTAGTCAGGTTCTCGAAACACGTAGAACTGCGGGTCCTGTATTTTTACATGATTCGAACATGCTTAACACATTGGGTTTCTCTCATTGTTACAACGTATACTTGATGGTGTCCTTATATTATTTTGACTAAATCAAATAATCCAGAAATAATTCCCCGGTGCTGAGTTGCGAACCCAGGACCTCTGGCTTTGTAGGCGGACACCTTACCCACTCGGCCATACACCCGACTTTAAAAACATTTGTACACCTCTAAATTCGCCTAAGACAAATCTTCTGTTGTCGAATCTTTCGCTAGTTTCAGGTTCATAGTTTCCACTTGGGTTTGAACCCTCAACCTTTACATTAAGGTCAATCCCTTGAGTTGCCAAATTGACCACACCAAAATACAAATCATAGATGAACCAAATGCTGCCCTGTTGAATTGAATAGTTCACAATAAATTATCAATACTGAATAAATACTCACACTAACGTAATACTCAGTCTCATCCTCCAGTAATTCAACAAAAATGGCGCTCGTGTATTCCGGCACATGCGGTTGATAAACCCCGAGTGCATCAAGAAAAGATGTTAAATTAATCTCATGTCCACTCAACAGAATCATTCGCGGTTGAGACGTCCAGTTTCCTCCGGCAACCGCCAACATATTCTCGGTGAAGTTCTTCAGGAGCATTCCTGATGAAATAAAGATGATTATGATCAAAGATCATGCTGGGGCGCTCATTACTGACCTCCACTCAAGGTTTTCATCCTTTGGTTCCAGCTGTAGACTCGATAATTCAGAGTTGTGCAGTTTAATAGTGGTCCGTGAGGGAAAACACCGGAGGTCCAGTGAGGAAGCTCGAGGCCCATGGAATATAACGCCATTAAACCGTTGTAAAGGCCGTCGCAGTGTTTTGCCAGCACAATCGGCTTTCCGGACCACTCCGTGAGGTTTTTCATCATCTCACGGTATTGGCTGAGTTCTTGCTGCACTTCTGGCGAGTCTGCCACGATTTTCAGTTCCTTCACGAATCTAATGAGAATAATATAGCGCGACAAAATACGGGCTTGTTTGCTGTAGAAAGTGGAACCAACCTCATATTATAGATACTTTCGCGCTGATTTTATATCTGTTTGTCAAATCTTTTTAGAATCTCTAGTTAAAAAAAAAATCAGGGATAGCCATATTCATAAATCATGATAACTGTTAAATTTTGAAGCCGTCGTTTAGTTAATATCACTCTTAAATTTTTAGTTATTTAAGTAACCATCAATTTAAATATTCAAATTTTAAACTATTTTATTCATCAATAATTTAGGTAGGAAGATTACCTATTATTCCGTCAATCGATAATTCCTTTTAAGAAATTAGAAATACTTACTTGATGGAAAATTTACAGTTCCAAATTATTAGATATTTAATTCATCATTAATCAGAAATTTAAATTATCAATATTATATTATTTTTCAATTTTGATGAGTATATTTAAACCTTTATTAATGTAAGTCGCAAGTCCTGTTAATATTGACGAAATTTAATATTGATGACAGTCACTGAAAAAAATATTAGTGTTCGAAAATGGCTAAAATGAACAATTTCAGAAATTTATGAAAAAATGAATTGCAACGGATTGTTTACCAGTGAAAAAATCATGATTCAATGGAAATGAGAAAATTGAATAATGATTTTTTGATAAAATTGAGTTATCGGAGCTTGGCTGCGCGCACTTTCATGCGCATCAATTCAGTAGTTAAACGGTATAACTGGTTCACGTCAACTTAGGTCTCAGCGAAGTTTTTAAGAAATATCTCCGAATCTAGGAGAGTTAGCGTAATTTTTGTAATTATCTTTTTCGCAGCTCTCAATTGGCTCTACAAAAAAGGCTGTAACAAAAATTTTGCTATCCGCCTTAAATTTCGAGATATTCGTTGAAAACTGACCAATATTCAAAATCGAGTTGAACCGTTTGACCGCTTCGCTACGGAATTTTAAAATTAATTCCGCGTCCGGGGCGCTTTTGTTACCAAACACGTCGGACGCATAATATCACTCAAATCTGATCTCTTTTGATGAATGGATAATAGTAAATCCAACAGATAATTGTATCTAGAGTATTCCTCTTGCCAATGTTTTTTATTTGGTTAAAACTGTTGACTTCCCTGGTGAAAAGTCATTCTGAATTATGAAAGAGTGGAGTTCCTGAATTGAAACCAGGAAGTAGCGAAAATTATGAAAGACTTTGAAACTCGATTCAGTCTTCCAATTTCCGGTATTGTTATTCAGCGTAAAAATATCAAAGTCTGCTGGTAGATTAAAAAAAGTGATTAGGATTTGGTCTATTTACTGTGGACAATAGTAGGGATGCAAAAGGACATCCTCCCTCTGTGGATAATTGATGACAACTGGTTGCCAGTTCAAATTCGGATGCCAGCGCTGTCGCGCCGCGGGCGGGAAAATTCCCGCCATTGTTGCCAGCAGAGACATTTTCGTTCTATCCACGTTTGTACTGCGAGCAATTATCACGCTCGGGTGATATATGTCTCCAAGCAATTCGCCATATTGTTTACGGATGTAAACACCGAGGTCATACGCACGCTTTTTTCCTATCTGAGAAAAACAACGAAATTACTAGGAAGCGATTGATTCAGAATGGGAAATTACATCTTTCGTGATTATGGAATTATGTCGGTAATGAGTGATTTCGCACTGATAGACTGATTCATTTATTCCAAACGAGAATCGTTAACTATTAACGGATGCTAGAGTTGAATATGATCAAATGAATATTCGTTAAGGATAATCGGGCGAGGAGGAAATGTAGGAGGTGAGGCGGAGGGGTTTCGATTGTTTTTCTGCAGAAATCCAATCGCTGAACAAAAAATTTTTTTCCATTCGGATTCAAAATTCAGGCAATATTAGGGAGTATCTCCGGTTAAAGATTATTTTTGGAGCTAATCAAATTTATTTGTATCTGTTCCACGCATTGAATGGTTTTCAGATTATTTTTTTTTTAATAAATGAAAAAATCTTAATCCATGCGCAACATCATCGGTAGTTTTTTTTTCACCTGGAGCTGGTACCACTGGCTCGAGGGAGGGCCAGTCACAACGCTTCATCGCTCTCTCTCAAGAGACGTTTAAATTGACCGCGCTACCCCCACCCGATCGGTACTTGGGACGTTGCCGCTCGTTCGGGCTGCGTGCGCAGAAATTTCATTTTTAAGGACTTTTTTCGCTATTATTAATAAACAATGCTCCTAGGCGACAATCTTTTTCACTCAAGAAATCAGTGATCACATGTTCTAAATGTGTCTAAAGTTTCTTGACTTTGGCTGCATTTTTTCTTTGGGTTTTACAGTTTTTTTGGTGATTTCCATAAGATCACAGGTTAAATGACCGTTTTTAAAAAAAATTCATAATAAATTAACCATGCTCCCCAGCAGTCTGAAACGTTGCACACGCCTTTTCCATCATTTAAAGAATACGTAAAAAAAATAAAAAAATGGCTGCCTTTTTTCCAACCCTCCCAGCTCGCCCGATTATCCTTAATAGTTCACGAATGGTAGTGATAGGCATATCAATCAATCTTAATTACCGTTAAATTGTGAAGTTGTTAATATTTAACATAAATCCTAAAATTTTAAATATTAAAGTAACCATCAATTTGTACATTTAAATTTCGAAATATTCTATCAACTTATAATTTAGGTAGGAAGATTGACGATTATTTAGATAATCGAAAAGTGAAGTACCTAAAGTTAGAATTAGCTTGTTAACTAAAAAACTACATTTCAGTATTATCAAATATTTTATTCACCATCAATCTAAAAATCTAGCTAATAAATTCTATAATATTTCAATTTTGTTAAATATTGGGAAACTGAATAATATAAGGAGATCATTCTTTTTAATATTGTCAAAATCTAATATTATTGCCTATCTCTGACGAATAGTTCACTTGAAAGGTGAAAAACGAGTTAAATAAGCCTCCTCAAATATGTATTTGTTAACTATCAACGAATGAACATTTGGAGCGACTCTCGTCTCCAACCAAATCCATTCATTAACAATAACTAATCCTTTCTATCAATGCGGGGACAAAAGTCGACTTTTTATTTGGTTGATGACATTTTAAATGAGAAAAATTCATGTGAAATGAGAAATTAGTGAGATGAGCTCATAATTAGGGGACTTACATTCGTTAATTGTGCGGGGCCGTTGGGAGGAAAATCCGAGTTCAAATAGGGACTAGTGGGGAATGGCTCATCGTCGTCGTTCAAAGGGGCGCGATCTCCATGTCGAAATACCTGAAATCAAAACGTTATCACGCGCATGAAAGAATCCAGAAGTGAACATCTCAAGGCATGAACTGTAATGATTTCTTATTTTTTGAATAGGTTTTTTGACCATTGTAATTATTTTTGAAATTCAGATGACAACAGGTTGGCCTCAGCGGTCTTCAGCAATTTTATAAACGTAGAAATGAAGTTGGAGGTGAAGAATTCTTTGCGATGGCCCAACGTTTCGTCTTCCAGGGAAGACCTCATCAGGGGCTTCTTTGTTAATTCAATGTTCTAAATCATTTTTCAAAATTCAGATGACAGCAGGTGGGCCTAAGCGTCTTCCCTGGAAGACGAAGCGTTGCGCCATCGCCAAGAATTATTTGACTTCAACTTCGTTTCTACGTTTATAAAATTGCTGAAGACCGCTTAGGCCAACCTGTTGTCATCTGAATTTTAAAAATGATTTCTTGTTTTTTTTTTTGGATTGGATACAGACATTGCAAAAATAATTCAGTAACAATGCAATAAGAAATTCTATACATAAAATCAGGGATTTTATCTTACAAAATTACATTGGAAGAAAATATTACAAAATTATATAGTTGAAAATTTTATATTTTCAATAAGTAATTTTCCATTAACTCAATGCCACTTACCACATTAACAAATTTGTACTTCACCCCCAGAATTGTCTGAACATCAACGAAAAATACTAGTGCAATAAAGCAAGAAGAAACTCTCATAATGAACAAAAGTGAAAAACTGCGATTCTGAATTTCTCCAAATATTGAAGACCTCAGCCTCACACTTTCGCGAATATCAGACTACGGCACTCAAACCGAACGGCGCTCGTTCGCATCATTTACCTCCCATAAAGAAAGTAATGTAATAAAATTCGATAAAAGGTGAGGCTTATCGCGCAGTCATAAATGGATTTGCGGTGAGTCGCATTCGTCTTACCTGTAGCATTGTGAGATATTTTTACGAGTAACATATTTTCACTCAGTGATGATAATGATTAACTGGGACGTGAGAGTCAGCGAAGTGATCAAAGTCGTGAGGAGACGAATTAAAGAAATTAAAAAACATATCGTTATCATTTTAGATTAGGTTGCATTTGGGAAATCATTAAAATAATTAATGATTAATCATTCATGATTAATCATTAAATCGTTATATGAATAAAATTATTGAATACGGAAAATCATTAAAACCCCCAAAATATTTCATATAAATAATTTGCATTTATTGGTTCCTTAATCCTAATTCAATTGAAAATTCCTATTACAAATACTGAAGGCAACAATGAACAACGATTTTTCATCTTTATGGCATGCAGTTGATATCGTCCACCGAAGGCAGAACATCAGAGTATAATTGTAAAAACCTATTGAGGGGACACAGCCTCCCGCATCTGGGAATGTTTATCTGCGCGGTCTCTTGCGGGTCTCCAAGATAGTAGATTATCTGAAAGCGAAAAAATAAAATTAAGATAAATCAGGTGAAGCTGTGATCAGAATTAATTCGAGATTTTCATTAATGTGGAGGTCATTCTTACCCTGACGAAATGTTCGTTATGCTCTTCTAATAATTCAACGAATAAGGCACTGGAGTATTCAGGCACGTGAGGACTGTAAACTCCAAGAGCTTCCATGAGAGCAGTTAGATTAATCTCGTGCCCGCTCAGCAGCACCATTTTTAATGGAGATTGTTTTGTTGCGGTTGCGGCTAGCAGCATATTGTCAGTGAAGTTCTTCAGAAGCATTCCTGCAATAATTTGTTTATTCTATTATATAACAATTTGAATATGATAATGAATATAAAATAGTACAATTGATTGTTCCAATGAAGACTCTAATCACTTAATATGTCACGTGTGAATAATAAAAAACAAGATTTCCAGATGCTGAATTGAATTTTTCAATACATTTTCAATAATGAAATACAATTATTTGAAAGAATTCTCATGAAATATTTGATTTGTCATGTATGATAACTTCGGGAATTTAGTTTTTTAGAAACATTTCTGAAATAATTTGTTCATTCTGTTTAATAATAATTCAACTATGACAATGAATGTAAAATAGAATGATTGATTGTCACAACGAAGACTTCAATTACTTCATATATTACATGTGAATAATAAAAAACAAAATTTCTAGAAGTTGAATTGAATTTTTCAATACATTTTCAATAATGAAATACATTTATTTGAAGGAATTCTCATGAAATATTTCATTTGTCATGTTGGATGTCTCAGGAATAACTATTCATTATGAATATTTTACACAGTATGTTGATTTGTAGAGATGGATTCGTCGAAATCAGATTGATTTTTTAATTTTCTCACCTCCATTCAACACTTTCAGTCTTTCACTCCAGCTCATGAGCCGATAATTGAGAATAGCGCCGTCATGCAATTTTCCGTAAGGAAAGATTCCTGAGGTCCATTCAGGCAGTCTAAGTCCCATGGCGTTCAACGCCTTCAAACTATTGTAGAGGCCCTCCATGTCCAGAGCACTTTTGATAGGTTTGCCAGTCCATTTGGTGAGGAATTCCATCAGTCGTTGGTACTCTATCAGTTCTCTTTTGAAGTCAACAGATTCTTCCACAGTACTAAGCTCTTCTTTAAACCTAAAGCGAAAATTTACGCATGAGTTGCCGTGAATTCTCAATTTATCTAGTTCCATCTTTATTGTTTATAGACCCAACAGCGAAGAGCCAAGTATCAGGTCAAATTAAATACATTCATTAATACATGCTAAATTCAAATATTGAATTACGTACGTATAAATGGTAGACAAAGGCTCGACAATCATAAGAAAATCTATATAATTTGAGATGTCCGTTTTTCCGGAAATTCATGGACGGTTCTAGGAAGTTCAACAGAGGTTCAGAACGGTACTGAATCCTCTGGAAAGTTCGCGAATCGTCTGGAAAACTACAATTTCCCGGTACAGAATGTTCCAGAAGACTCTGGAATATTCTAGAAATCTTCAAGAATTTCCCGAATAATTCAGCAGCTAACGCTTCCGAAAATCATAGAAGGTCCTAGAAAATTGTAACGCACTCCAGACCGATTCAGCAGTTTTCTGCGAGGAAATTTTTACATTAATTTTGCGCGATTTTACCGTAAAAGCCCTATAATTACACACCACTTATAAGAAAGAAAGAGATAAGTTACGAATGTGAAGATTTTAAAAATTCATGTGCTGTCAGCACAATCTCCGAAAGTAATGATGTTGCAATCTCCAAACTATTCTTACTGAATGTACCCAATCTATTCACTGATTCACATGCCCGAAAGAGAGATGATGTGATTGTTCTAGATTTGGTTGGTGGTAAGTAGAAAGGAACTTGAGATCTAGGATTTAAACTCGGTGGTACCATCAACAGCAGTTGTTGAAGGAATCGTGGACAATCAATGTTACCCGCTTATTAATTTGATCACAAACAAGATTGATGCTACTGTGCGTCTCTCCTGTAGGGAAAGAACGTCAAAACAATCACAGAGTTCAGATCCATCACAATCTCTCTCTGGGTACGTCCCATCTGCTTTCCAAGATAAAAACGTCAAGAACCTCGAGAATTCTTTTCGTTTCGCTTTTCGAATTGATGTCACTCACCGCGGACAATCCTGAGGCCTCAGTAATGTATCAGGATATGGAATGTAGTTGGCGATAACCGGCTGCCAGTTGAAGTCCGGATGCCATTTCTGTTCAGACGCAGGTGGGAACATTCCTGCCATCACCAATTGCAATGACATCTTCGTTCTATCGTAGTCCGAGCTGCGAGCGATAATCGCACTTGGATGATACACATCGCCCAGGAAATCGCCGTACCTCTCACGTATGTGAACACCAAGATCATACACGCGTCGCTTCCCTTGCTAAATGAATCATAGAGGATCAATCATTCAATTTCACGTAACAATTTTCCAAAATCATTGCATCACGATTACTAAACTCCAGGAGTAATATCCGGATTTTTCTCTTTGTTCATAATCTTATGACTTACGTTAGTCAACTGTCCCAACCCATAAGGGTAGAACGTCCAATTGAGATATGGACTAGTGGGAAAGGGCTCATCATCGTTGTCTAACGTGGTCCTGTCTCCATGACGAAAAACCTGAAATTGAAATTTTCATAAATCTGATGTAGATCCAATCATTTCGTACAAAATTGTTGTTTTTTCTTGCGAATGGGAACATTGTAGTTTTCAAACCCAAAATTTTCTATTTTTTGTGTCAGGATGACTAAGAACATAAATAATTGAAATCAATTAAAAATAAATCGTCAGAGAAATCCCATTCGGAAGCTAATTGCTAATTTATTAGAAAATTATATATACGGGCTGTCGTTACGGGGTTTTTACTCGTGGAAATTTGGCGGGCGGATCCGCAGGGAGGCCTGCCAACCCCACAAGTAGAAAAACCCTATAACAACAGCCTGGACAACATATTCCCCTAGTAATTTTCACTTTTACGAGTTTGGACAAGGGCAACACTAAAAAATATGTTGTTATGACGAAAGCAATTTCTTTTCTACTTTTTTTACTTTTTGTTTATTAAAAAAAATCCCTAAAGTGATCACTGAATTGAGCCGTAAAGACATACCACATTCACAAACTTGGTGTCCAATCCGACAATGGCATGTGCTCCAACCACAATCAGCAATGAGATGATTTGAGCGTGAAGAATCCTCGACATGATCAAGAGTTATCGAAGCACTTCACAACTCAGACTAATGTTTATGTGCGGAAGGATCTCCCTGCCCACACATTATATACCTCAGGATTCAAAAGGAGTTAATTTGCACTTGCCGATAAGGAAATCGCAGAGCAATTAAAATAAATTTACAAGTGAGTTGTAGTACGCACGGGAGCCGTTATTTCCCCGTTGGTTTTCCTGTGTCATTGCTGGTCAGGCTCGATGGAAGGGAGAAAATTACCGCAACGCGAGGAAATACATCCGACTCGTGTCATTATGCGAGGTACGTCATGGAGATTGTGTAATGCTAAAGAATCGGGATATTTTTAGAATCTGTTGTACAGGCAATTAAGTCATTACTCGAGTCCAGGCGTCACGTGCATATTGATTCACATATGTCTGGCCTTTTTCCCGCGGTTCGGGGTATTCAGGTCTTCCTTGATAGGCGGAACGTGCCCGCAGGAAAATTTAGTGGGATTGTGGTTCAGGGAAGTCCCATAATATGTCGTGGTCAACAGACAATTTCTTGAAAACGAGTGATTTTAATCGAAAAGTTATACTTAGCGTGGGGGTGTTTATAATAGGCGACTGGATTTTTCCTCCGGAAGAATTACCTCTTGGAAAGAATTCCACGGCGAAATTTTTCAGCGGCGAAAAAGTACGGAAAGCCTTATAATATAAAGGATTTTAGGCTCTAAGGGGTGAATCCTTCAGGGAATGCATTTGATAGTTGATCATTTAATCAACTTCTCAAATCCGATGGCTTCCGTCATGAATCAATTGTTTGTTTCATCACATAATTTGCATACTCCAGTTACATGCAAGTTTCACGCTGACAGTGCTTAATGTCCACAAACCAAAGTGACGCCGTAATCATTCAACTGTTTTTTGATTATTTTCGACAACCGCAATTGTAAATAATAATTGTGTACTTGTAGAATTGCAATTTTTTAAAGATTTTTTTTCCAATTTTTTGTAATTCTTTGGGTTTTTTTTGAAAAACTGTAATTTGGTGAAAAATTAATACAATTGATGTTTTTATTGTAATTCTCGAGTTTCAGAAATTTGACATTAATTTATTTTTCTCCATAAAACTATTCATTTCGTAGATAATGAATTAATTATATGAGTAGTTCTATATTTTGTTCTTGTAGCGTGACGTAAAACTGGTGATGATAACTTCGATTAGTGACCCCTTCAGACTATCTAGTGCGTCATAAGAAGAGAAAGGAATTGATGACCGGGGAAGCACTGTTGCTTCGAGATTCTATTTATCGATATACTTTCAATCCAGGTATTACGATTCAAGGAGAACATTGGTCAACGAATAAGTACAAATTATTCAGTGTAAATGCATTTATTAATCTCCCAATTCTCAGACCAACGTGGAATTAAAAGTCATTTATGAAAAATACAGGAAAAAAAAAGGAATAATATAAAATTTTTTAAAAATATATGAACGACTTGAATGAATTAATTTGAAGCTATGATTTCGTTTTTGTTTGAAAGTGATGACTGGGGAAGTACTTTTTCCTCGAGGAAAACATTGACCAACGAATAGTTACAAATTATTCAGTATAAATACGTTTATTAATCTCAATTCTCACATCAACTTAAAATTAAAATTCTTTTATGAAAAATACTGGACAATTTTCTATTCATATTATGGCACACATTGGACATCCTCCGCCGAGGGGAAGATGTCAGAGTATAATTTTATGAACCTGCTGAGAGGACATATCCTCCCACATTTGGGGATGTTCACTTGGACTGTTTCTTGCGGAATTCCGAGGTAGTAGAATATCTACAAAAGAACAAAACAATAAAATTAATTGAATGAGTTTGAATTATTTCAATTAACATTTAGCAAATATTTTGATGAATTTCGTGATCCTTACCCTGACGTAATATTCATTATTATCTTCTAGTAATTCAACAAACATGGCACTGGAGTATTCCTAGAATAATTTCAATAAGGTTCATTCGGAAGAGTCACAAAATTTTTAAAAATACATGAGCGGTTTAAGCGAATTCATTCGCAGTTATGATTTCGTTTTTGTTCGAAAGTGATGGCCGGGGAAGCATTCTTCCCTCGAGAAAAACATTGACCAATGAATAGTTACAAATTATTCAGTATAAATACGTTTATTAATCTCAATTCTCACATCAACTTAAAATTAAAATTCTTTTATGAAAAATACTGGACAATTTTCTATTCATATTATGGCACACATTGGACATCCTCCGCCGAGGGGAAGATGTCAGAGTATAATTTTATGAACCTGCTGAGAGGACATATCCTCCCACATTTGGGGATGTTCACTTGGACTGTTTCTTGCGGAATTCCGAGGTAGTAGAATATCTACAAAAGAACAAAACAATAAAATTAATTGAATGAGTTTGAATTATTTCAATTAACATTTAGCAAATATTTTGACGAATTTCGTGATCGTTACCCTGACGTAATATTCATTATTATCTTCTAGTAGTTCAACAAACATGGCACTGGAGTATGCCGGTACGTGAGGTTTATAAACTCCCAGAGCATCCAAAAGAGCTGTTAGATTAATCTCATGGCCACTTAGTAGCACCATTTTCACTGGAGATTCATTCTTTGCGGTTGCCGCGAGAAACATATTATCAGTGAAGTTCTTCAGAAGCATTCCTACAATAATTTCAGTCAAGTTTCACTCGGAAAAGTCATAAAAATTTTAAAAATATGTGAGCGATTTGAGCGAAAGTTGCCCTGATAAATCAAACTCAGAGTTAACTCTAGGTTCATGGAAATTTCCCAGAGTTTCTCTCTTTCTTCGCTGGGTTTTTTTCCATAAACCCAGAGTTGACCCAGGGTTAACTCGGGGTTTGATCTATTAATGTGAGCGATTCGTTTTTGTATTAATTCGAAGTCATGATTTTATTCTCGTTTTTCTCACCTCCATTCAACATTTTCATCCTCCTGTTCCAACTGACGACTCGATAATTCAGGGTTGCGGCGTCATGCATGATTCCGTAAGGGAAGATCCCTTCAGTCCATTCAGGCAGGGGAAGCCCCATGGAGTACAGCGCCATCAAACCGTTGTAGAGCCCCTCTACATCCTTCGCACGCTTTATTGGTTTTTCAGTCAATGCCGTAAGGTCTTCCATGAAGTCTTTGTACTTAGAGAGTTCCAGTTGGACTTCCGGGGATTCCTCCACAGCTTTCAGCTCTTTCTTGTATCTGAAATGAAAATTTTTATATTAGTTTTGGGGGAATTATGCCTACGGATGTGAAAATTCGTTGAAAATTACCCCTGAATTTCAATAATTGGGTAAGCTGTTAACTCTTTACTCATTTTTAGCAAAATTCTAGTGGAAGAAGGCTGTAAGTTTAGTAAAAATGACAACTTCTTACACAAAAGCGTTTATGAAAATCTTCGTTAGGGCTCGGCAATATTTTCGGGTACGAAAATATTTAATAGAAAATCGCTAACGCTTTCTCCAAGAAATTCCATTGAAATTTGATGAGAATTAATTTGATTTTAGAATTTCTATTAGGAAATTCTAAAATCTAAAATTCTAGAAAATAATTCTGAAAATTCTAATTCTATTCGTTCTATGCGCCAATTCTGTTAGGAAAAGTATGTAAATGTTGATTATTCCATATAAGTCATTCCATTCAGACGATTTTTGTAAAAATTCATGAACAAGAATTTTCCAAGTTTTGTTTATTAGATTTCATTATGAGAAAAAATGAAAATATTACGGAAAAAATTTGGAAAATTTGTGTCCAAGAATTTCTATAGAATAATCAATATCTATCGTTTTTTTATTAAATATGTCTCAATAAAATGACAGGGTGAAATCGCATCTTTATCTTCAATATGAATTGACACAATAAATGATGGAATTTTTTAATAGACTAGAAACCCCCAATCTAGAATGGGGCGCTAGCAGGAAGAAAGCGTGTATCGAAATATAATATTAATATTATAAAAAATATCTATCGAAACAAATCTATCGAAATAAATGTATATAAAAACATCTCATCTCATTTCAAAAATTTTGCGATAATCGCCATGCATATATATCTATATATTAATACAATAATATAATATATATATTATATTATTATGTATTACACTTTGGACTTTTTTTAAATTACTCATAACTCAGACACTAATTTATCAATTGAGCTCAGTTTAGGCTCATTACAAAGGGAAAGAAATGTTCTTTACACTGAAAAAAAAAATATTGAATTTCATCAATATTTCAAGTTGTCATTAACATTTTAAAAAAAGTCAAAAGTGTCCATTTTACCCCAACCTCCCCTAATATATAATACATATTATATTATTATATTATAATATTATTATAATATAATTATATTAAATATATTATTAATATAATATATAATACATATTATATTATAATATTATATATATATATATCACGCAATGACGGCTGAGCTCTACGCCTACTGATACTATATATACAGTAAGGCACATTTACTGACTTCAAAATCCGCTACAGTCATCTTTTCGGGAAGGGAATTGGAATAGAATTCATCCGCTTCCAATAAAAATTCAATAGAATCTCTTAAAGAAAGCGCTAGGTTTTTCTATTAAATGTTTTCATAAGTGTCATAATGGCTTTTGCATCCACATTATGTTTCATTCCCCGTGAAAACTAACCGTGGGCAACTCATAGGTCTCAGTAGAGAATCAGGATACGGCACATAGTTAGCAATAACCGGTTGCCAATTCAGAGCTGGACGCCACCGTTGTTCAGGTGCAGGTGGAAACATTCCCGCCGTCACCAGTTGCAGTGACATCTTCGTTCGATCATAGTCTGAACTACGAGCGATAATCGATCTTGGATTATAAATATCGCCTAGAAAATCGCGGTATCTCTCGCGAATGTGAACACCGAGATCGTATTCACGCTGTTTTCCGGCCTAAATAAAAGAGGGATGATTAGTTATTCAATTCTGCAAAATTGCATTTTGATGACTTAGCAGGGAGAAAAAAGCTGGAGACAAAGTACCGAAGGAGTCAAGTAATCGTGGAGCGAACTCGATTTTTCAGTAGGGGAGGGAGTGCCTGTACCATTCACCTGAGGAATAACGACAATTCTTGCAGCCCAAACCATGATTTCGGATAAAAATTACAGTTGCAGAGCATTCTTTGGCTATTCACGTAGATATTTTGACATCATAGACCCTCACTTTTGGTGAAATTTCGATAATTTATTAAAAAATTATGATGGGAGCTGAGTGAGCGGTATTGGCCGCATGCAGCCTGTACCGCTCACTAAACTCTCGGTTTCGCTGTTTGATAATTTATTCAAATTTCAGGAAGAACTGAGAGTCTATGATGTCAAAATATCTATCGGTATAGCTACACGGAGAAAACTATTTGGTGAATTTCACCAACTGGTTAGTAATTTATGTGAAAACTTGTTGTTGAAAAAAATGAATTACCAACTAGTTGTTGAAATTTACCAACTGGTGGGTAATCCATTTTTTTTCAACAACTACTTGGCGAATTTCAACAACAACAATTTTACGTAAATTCATTCAAAATTCTTAATCTTCCCAGAAAATTCTAACTTCTCAGCTATTAACGGTCATTGAAACAATTTTATTGATCACTCGAATTTATAAAAAACAGAAGATTCCAAAAGATTTCCATTTCTGCCGACGTTTCGGACACACAAGGTATCCTTCATCAGGCCAATAATTTATTCTATGTGACTAAAACAAAATCAAACAGTTCTATTGTAATAATATTCCAACTAAATTGCAAAAAATAATTGTATAAATTACAAAGACAACAATTTTCTTCGCGTAAAGAATGCTATGCGATTGTAATTTTCAGACGAAATCATGGGTTGAATGTACGAGTTATTGTGATTCCTTACGGCCGGAATGACAAAAATGTCCTCCTGACAGAGAGATTTTTATACTTTTATCCATTTCGCTCCTGTCGCACTGTAAAATTTGCCACGATTTTCTAGGTAATTTCTATCCAACTTCTCTCTCCGTCACGAATTTTTTTAGTTTACGTTAGTTAATTGCCCCGATCCGAAGGGATAGAACGTCCAGTTCAGATATGGGCTGGTGGGAAAGGGTTCGTCGTCGTCAATCAAGGGAGTCCTGTCCCCATGGCGAAATACCTGAAATGGATTTTTAAAAATTCGATCTTTAAGGCATGACTAAAAAATATTGTTATGATATGGAGGTGTTTTTCAACCGTGATATCAACATAATGTTAAAATCATAAATTAGCGGAAAAATTGACAAAATTCTATTAGTTTTGGCCGATTCTGTTGAAGAATTCTGCAGCTTCATTGCGCATTTTTTTACAGGAAATTTCCAATAGAAACAATTTTATAGAAAAAATCTGTAGAATTTCTAGATCTTTCTAATTGATTTCTAATTGACTTCCTAATTGATTTCAACTCTATTTTTGTTATTATCATTCCAAAAATGAAATAAAAAAACGAAAAAAATTTAAGACATTTTCATGGAAAATATCTCTAGAAAGATTGTGCAGGAAGATCGAATTCTATTGATTTTTTTCTGTACAAAAATTTTTCATTGAAGATTTCCATTCAAATCAACTGCGTAAATAAGCTGTGGAATTTTTAAATCGAATTGATAAAAAACAAATAGAAAATTTGATTTAAAGAAATTTTGATAAAAATTGAATAGTTTTTTCTAGTGCATTCACTTAATTTTCTTATGAAATTCCCCAGTACGTGTATGCAATTTTTAAATAGAATTGATCAAAAACCAATAAAAAATTTGATGTTAAAAAATGAGATAAAAAGAATTGGCCAAAAACTAATAGAAAATATGATAAAAATTAAATAGTATTTTCGAGTGCATTCGCTATATTTTTCTACAAAATTCTCCAGTACATGTATGCATTGACTCACCACATTCACTAATTTGTACTGCAATCCAACAATCGTATGTACTCCAAGCACAAGCAGAAAAAAAATTATCCGGGAAAGCGGAATCCGCGACATGACGACAGTAATTTTCCAAAGGACTGAGCGTTGACAACCCAAAGATTTATGCTTATATATAGGCCGAGATCCTCTCGGGATCACATTATTATACATCAGTGCTCATTATTGGCATACGTTTGTTGTTTAATTTATGGGATGAATGAGTGAATCACGAGTCTCAGTAGGAGACAATGATGATAATAATTCTATTGTTTTTCCTGTAAGGCTTCTGCAGAAGGAAAAGAATGGGCGAAACAGGAAGAAAAATCTGAATGGAAATTCGTTAATTTATGGATTTTCAGAGGATTCTGTCACGTGGAGGAATAAAAAAACCAAAATCTTCCACACCGTGAATTAATCAAATAGTTGTCGATGTAATACATTTCGAAGCTCGATTGTAGACAACTTTTTACAACTCATCACTTAATCGCGATTCATACACTTACACTTGCGGATGACTATGTTGCACATGACCTTGGATGAACTCCTCCAATGATTATTCATTTTTCCTAAATTTCTTATTTTCTAGAGGGAAGAATTTGGATCAATCTTTTAATGTTGATAATTATTGAAGGAGTTCACTTAAGGTCATAACTAACATGATTATTTTCTAATGCAATATAATTGACATAATTTAACCCTAGTTTGGTCACCTGACGGGAACTTGCGACTCTGGTCACCTCCGCGGGGATTTGCCGCCGTGTTATTTAGGCTCCAGCGTTGCCGAATTCACTCTACACTGCCCGGGCGCGTTTAACGAGTTTCCAGCAACGTCGCGCAACGGGCGATTTCATTTTTTTTTTTTATATTCCGGCCCTTTCTGCCCTCTGATTGGCTAATCGGCCCAAATTTAAATAGGCGATTTCATTTAACATGGAAAAAAATTGTTCAACTGTCGGAAATGATTTTTTTTCTTCCAGAATTTGGAATGTAATATTTAAAAAACAATACTAAAATTTTCCAGATACTTTAATTGACGAATTCCAATTTTTTCGGATTTTTCCGGTCAACCAGCCGGTGACAAGACGAAAAAAATGACACGTTGCGGCAATTCCCTCGCATGGTGACCAATCTAGGGTTAAAAGGCAATAATTCCTCGCATCCAGAAATAGCGACTGCGAGTCGTTTGGGGAGAGGGATTTCCGGATAGTAGAAGATCGAAAGTAATTGATAACACAGTGACGTCAGTACAGATTGATATAATATTCTCATTAATACAGGGATACTCACGCTGACATCCCCCAGTGATTCAATAAATACCACAATGAGATACAATAATAACTCTTTTGTGGTTTTACCTGTCTGGCTTCTTTAGAAGGAAAAGAATGGGAGTAGCGGAAAGAAATATCCGAATGGAAATTAGTTTTCTTTATGGATTCTGTCACTTGGAGGAATACAAAAATTTCAGAATGTTTCACTCAGTGAATTAATCAAATAGTTATTGGTGTAGAATGCATTTGGAACTCCGATTGGCAACAACTGCCTGATTCATACACTTGCGCTTCCTTAAACGCAACAACTTCCATCACTTTTTTCATTTTCAGTCATTCGCTCCAACTTTTTCTTTGATTTTGTTGACATTCTGAAAATTTGCAGTTCACACTCAACTATCCATTCTCAAAATAATCCCCTCAGTTCAGCATATCATGTCTTCCTCAGTGGGAATGACTTGACTGTATAATTCCACGAACTTCTTAAAAGGACATAATTTTTCGCATCCAGGAATAGCCACTGCGGTTCGCTCCGGGGGGATTCCCAGGTAGTAGAAGATCTAAAATAATCGATAACAGAGTGACGCCAGTATAGATTGATTCTCGTTAGGGATGGGCGATGTTTGTCGATTAATCGAAAACATCGGTTTTTCATGCCCAAACATCGATGTTTTTTATTCGATGTTTTGAACGACCGATTAATCGATTTTCGATTCTTTTTTCCAAACATCGATGTTTCTGACCAAGCTAACATAATTTTTCATTTTTTTGTCGAAGAATAATGTTCATTGATTGAGAATAAACAAAATAAAAATTTATCCGCAATCTGAAGTAATTATTTTCTACAGTATGAATGTTATAAATGATAAGTGAACAAGTTCAGTCGTTTATTAGTTTTTTAAATTAAAAAAAATGTCAATTTTTTTCAAATTTCAATTTTTGTTAATTATTGCAGCTAACGGAAAATATTCCATCTATTCTCTTCAATTAATCAAAAACCCTGTTTCGAGATTCAAAATTTAATTCTCCAGCAGTACTTATCATTGAAACGTAAGTGCCTTGAGAAGAAAAAAAATTATAAAAAAAAAATTTGTTTTTTCTCCTGTGTAATGAGAAAAACATCGATTTTTTAAATAATCGATGTTTTTTCCTGGAAAATCGTTTCACAATATCGATGTTTATGAAAAACATCAATTCTTCGATACTAGCATAAGAAGGCGCCATGAAGGTTAGACCGGATATGACGTGCATAGACATCGATTATTTTCATAAATCGAGAAAAAATGATCTATCTCTGGTAGTTTGATTATTTTGAGAATACCACTTGAGCTCCTTTAGTAATAAGGAATCGATGTTTTTTAAAAATTGCCCATCCCTAATTTTCATTAATACAGGGATACTCACGCTGACGAAATATTCGCCTTCATCCTCTAGTAATTCGAGAAATACCGCGCTGCTGAACTGAGGCTGGTGGGGCTCATAAACCTCAAGAGCGATCAGAAGAGCCCCGATATTTAGGTCATGACCACTCAGCAGGAACATTTTCATTTGGGATTCGGTGCCGTCGACTACAGCCTGCATATTCTCCGTGAAATTTTTCAAAATCTTTCCTGGAGTGAATAACGGAAGTTAAAGTTTAGAAAATAAAGCAGCTATATTCCTTTCGTGCTAAATTACATTTCTATATTTTCAAGTTAGAGAAGCCTTATGTACTAGGATAGGAAATGATTACATAGACTCTCGTTATAGCTGCATTTCCTCTTGATCGCTTTTTCGTCAGCGTGAACACTTACCGCACTCCCCACCATTCTCGACGCCCGAATGTAAACATCTATTTCATCGTAGAACAGAATATTGAATTAATTCAGCAGTGAAGTCGTAAAACGGTTTAAGTCGATTTGTACTATTGGCCAATTTTTAGTGAATATTTCGTAATCTAAGGAAGATAGCTAAATTTTTGTCTAGACCTTTTTTGTGGCACTCAATTTGCTCTAGAGAAAAGGTTATTACGAAAATTTCATTATCTCCTTCAGATTCGAAGATATTCTGCAAGAACTCAACTAAGAGATAAGTCGACTTAAACCGTTTTAGCACTTTGCTACTGAATTATCTTGAAAGGATTCACGAAATGTTCCAAATTATTAATTTCCAACAAATATTATGGATCTGTCATTCTAAAACTACTAAATATCAAGATAAAATATTATTTTCATCACGCTGTGACGAAAAGTGAACTTTTCGGCACGCTCCGCGTGCCTAAAAGTCCAATTTCCGCCACATTGTGATGAAAAATATTGTTCGTAACTCGTGAAAAAATGATTTTTAGCTCGTGGGATTATATCACGAGCCGAAGGCGACTCCCACCGAACCTCCCACTCGCCAAAAAACACTTTTTTGCACTCGTTACGAAATATACTAATTCGAGCATTGACTACCCCCAACTCAAGAGAAAAACTGTAGCGTATTCTTCTGTTGATGGAAATTGCAGCTAAAAATAGAAGACCTGAAAATGCTCCTGCGATGAGACCCTTTCTTCTAGTAGCAACACGCGAAGCGAAAAGGACACTTCAAGTTGAGCCGTTAGTGCGGACGCATCAAAACATTCAATCTATCCAAAATTTAAATTAATTGCTCGATACAGTGCTCGGTACAGTGGGACCTCCGTAACTGCTCACCTACACTGAGAAAAAAATCTCCCAAAAATTAGTGTGCTGTCCCCCAACGCCGGGACATAACATGGGGTCCTCGAAAAATTCATAAGTGGCACCCTAATTTTTGGTGGGACTCCGGCCACTTTTTCGGGGGATTCCCGTAAAATTAGTGTGCCACATGCGAATTCTCCGATGACTCCCTGTTATGTCCCAGCGTTGGTGAACAGCACACTAATTTTTGGAAGGATTCTCACAAAATTACGATGTCACGCTGTCCCACCACACGAGGGGAAGTGTTCCCCCACCATTACAATTCCTCTTTATGCCCGTTCTCGCTCTAACCTCTTCCGCTCTCTATCTACAATGCACGAGGACTGTGCGCAATAGTATTCTGTTTACCCGGTACTTCGCCGTGTGTGGTTTAGGGATGTGAAATGACCGTCATTTTTCAATTCGGTGAGGTCAGGCAAAATTGACCGTTTTCTGACCATTTTCTGACACCGAGATAATTCCCTATGCAAAATGGCCATCATGAACAACCAGCGTCAAAAATTTGAGAAAATGCCCAAAATTCCTCTATATAGATGCAAATTGACGGTCATTTTATTTTTGGTAATTTTTTCGGTCAAATTTTTGGTTATTTTATTTGATTAGTTAGGCGACCTAGGGTCCCTATGACCGCCAGTAACCTTGCCGACACCGATTAACCGAATAAAAATTTCTGTATGTCATCTATATAGATGAGAATTGACCGTCAGAATTGAATTGGTCATTTTTTAAATTCCTGACCGAATCGTCAGATTTATGGACATGGTAATTACACGTCATGACCGCGGTAATTGACCGTCATTTGACCGGTCATTTTTGTCACTCACATCCCTAGTGTGGTTATTCGTGATAATGCCACGCAGTCGGCCTAATGGCTCTTTCCCTCACCAAATAAAATTTCAAATTTCACCGGTTTTTCGTTGCAAGGGTTAACTTGCCAACGCGGCCATCGCCCGAGGGCCTTCAGCCAGGGAATGTTGAATGTGGAGTGGATTTTTCAATGGAAAATTCCGTGGAATATTCGGTTTGAAAATTGTGTTGAATTTCCAGTTGAATATTATGTGGAAAATTGTGATGAAAAATTGCTGTGGAATTTTGGCCCGGCCGGGGCTCGAACCTGGGAGCTTTAGGTTGTGAATCTCATGCTGCTACCAAGTGCGCCACACAGCCGTGTTTCCCTCACCATTGCCTCTACACGCATCTCTTTCTAACTCAGCGCTCTCGCTCTTTCGCTGGCGAAGAAGGGTCCTTTCATAAGTGCAAATTCCGAGAACCCAAACCCCGAGAGGCGTGCAGTTATGGAGATTCCACTGTAAATACTCAAGTGAATCAACCTCGTCTTGAAGCTGCTTAAAATTCTGGAATTTTACTGAATTGTCAGTAAAACCTGCAATTTCATGATTTTTTCCCCTAAATCGCATTCAGTGTCACTGTCCTGAAAATCCGTAGTCAACTGTCTATGAAGTTTCATTTTTTTTCTAACAGTGCATTGAATTCTCACCTCCATTCAACACTTTTAGTCTCTGAGTGTAACTCTGGATCCGATAACTCAGGACTGCGAGGTCCAATAGCTCACCATCAGGGAAAATACCTTGAGTCCAGTCCGGCAGTTCCAATCCCATGGCGTTTAAGCTACTGAGGTAACCGTAAAGATGTTCAAAGTCCTTTGCCTTTGTAACTGGCTGGCCGGTCCATTCGGTGAGGTTCTTCAGCAATTCGCTGTGTTGCGATATCTCTTCTTGGACGTCGGGTGATTGTTCTACGACTTCAAATTCCTCTTGGTATCTGGGAAGAACCGGTTTCAGATGATTTTTTGATTTTTTCTATACAATAGTTTCTATTGAACATTTTTCACTAACAAAACGCGCAGTAAGGATGCGGAATTCCTCAATAGATTCGGCCAAAAACTAATAGAATTTTCAATAGAAACTCGATAGAAATCTAATGGAATATTTCATCGAAATCGCTGAATTCGAAGTTTTTCCGTGAAATTTTCTCGTGTATAAAATTTCTTCATCAACTTGATATTGACTCACTGCGGGCAATCGAAGGGATAAACGACTGAGTCCGTTCTGGGTATGTAATCCGCTATAACTGGTTGCCAATCGAGCTTTGGATTCCATTTTTGTTCCGGTGCAGGCGGAAAAAGTCCTGCCATAACCAGCTGCAGAGACATTTTCGTCCTGTCTGTGTCTGTGCTACGAGCAATGATTTCTGCGGGGTGATATAAGGCCCCTAGAAATTCATCGTATTGCTGACGAATGTGAATACCAAGGTCGTACTCTCGTTGTCTTCCTTCCTAAATAGAGGGGCGAATGGATTGGAATAAATGACAAGAAATCGTACGGAAAAATTTCACAGGAAATGCGAGTGAATTCACTGAAAAAATTCCAGTACATCTGTATTGAAGTTTTCATTAGTTTTAGGCTTATTCTATTGAAAAATTTCATAGCTTTGTAGACATCAGCAGCGAAGCGCTAAAACGGTCTAATTCATTTTTGACTATTGGTCCGTTTTCGATGAATATCTCGGAATCTAAGGAAGATAGCAACATTTTTGTTATAACTTTTTTTGTAGAGCGAACTGAGTGTTACGAAAAAGATTATTACAAAAATTTCGCTATCTCCCATAGATTCGGAGATATTCTTCAAAAACTCAGTTGAGAGCCAAGTCGACCTTAGCCGTTTTACCGCTTTGTTGTTGGAATGTTTAATGACAAATATTCTACAGAAAAAACTGACAAAAATTCGATTTTTTATACAACTTATTCTACTGAGATATTTTCTATAGAAATAGAAATTCGGCTCAAATTCCCAAAGTTTTTTTATTTGATTCTTTTTATATGAAAAGGGAAGTAAGATACAGTAGAAAAAAATTGAAAATTCTTGTTGAGGAATTTCTATAGACAATGTCTCAATAGAAAAATGTATTATTAATAATTTTTTTATTTCATAAAAAAATTTCTATCGGACATTTTCGTTAAAAAAATGCACATAATTGCCCACAAACTAATAGAATCTTCAACGAAAGTTCAATAGAATTTTCTATAGAATTCACAACGTTTTCCTCGAAATTAATTCATGTGTAAAAACAATATGAAAATTTTTTATAACTTGCATTGGTTAGTTGTGATGGACCATAAGGCAAGAATTTCGAGCACAAATAAGGACTCGTGGGGAAGGATTCTCCGTCATCAGTCAGAGGAGCTCGATCACCATGTCGAAAAAGCTAGAATTGAAAAATTTATAGATGACGAATATTCAAATTACAGAATTGATATCAATTTGTATCGATGATTACTCACCACATTTACCAATTTGAGGTCCTGAGCCACAACTTCCTGAACTCCAAAGAAAATTGGAAACACGGTTAATGAAAATTCGAGGATTTCCATTACGAATATGACAGTAAATTTGAGGAATACTCTCGTTTCACTGTGTTATCAAAAGAAATTTCGAACTATGACATCGGTATTGCAAGTGAATGCTGACAATTGTAAACGCTGAAGGTCCCGGCTAAGTGACTAATGTACTGGAAAAATGAATTTTCAAGCGTTGATAAGAAGATAATGCGCATGGTCACATTGGTAAATGTTATTATGAAGTAAAAACTTTCCTGTAGAACGTTATTTTTCGTTACAGAAAAGAATATTTAAAAATGCAACAAATTCTACTGCACGGAGAGGAATATTCAATAAAAATTACGTATCTTTTCCGTAATTCCGGAGCGAAATGTGGTTGGAGGAAATTTTACGGAACTGTCGCGTAATTTTTACCTAAGATCACGGAATTTTTCCAGAGCGTTCCGTAATGATTACCTGAATCTCCTGTGAACAATTACGATACCGTCACTTAAATTTTCCAAGTCGATTCCGTAATCAGTGAACTGTGAGTTCCGTAATTTTTACTGAACATTTCTCTCCGTGTGATGAATTAGGGAATCGGAAAGGTTGTGAAATCAAACTTCGAAGCACTCGCTCTGAAATTCTATTTTATTATGATTACAAGAACTGAAAAACAATTAATACATTTTACCATCTTACACTGACAGAAAAAAAAAATTTATCAAGAGAATTTCCTTTGAGTCAACTATCATTTGGTTGTTAATTTTGAAATAAACATAATTTCACAGTGAATACCAGTCATCTCTTCTTGAGATACATTTGATTAGGAGAAATCGAACTTCTCTAGAATTGAAGTTTCTTTTATTTGTCGCAATAATGAGAGTATTAGATTTCTTTCTAGCCAAAAGTTTGCCAACTCCAGAAATTCGTTGGTTTACTCAAAAATCAAAATTATTCTCAAGACTAAATACGTTGTTATCTCAATCAACACGATCATACGTTGTTCCAAGTAAATTATAATTGAAGTGGGCATGTCGCATGTCGAATCAGGATGAATATTGTTACGCGGAAAAAGCTTTGAGATTGTAGTAAGATGTCGTTGAGTTGAAAGAAGTTTATATTTCTTGACTGAAAAAAATCGCATTAGTTTACAATAACAGGATCACAGATTACGGCAATTCAACAGAAACTTGGATATCACAAATTTCGTTCAATGTGATGTACGGAAAGCTCAATTTAACCATCGGCTTCATTCGAGAAAACAACATTCAATTAATTTCTCAATATAATCATCTCCTAGCTACGAATTTTCCATCAATTCATGAAAATAGAAAACTTCTCGACTCGAGATTATATTAGGTTAAAAAAAATAAAACTTTTCCATTTTTGTCGTGAATACATGGGACTTGACGCCGAGGACTGTTTTATTTGATTCAGGAAGGTTTTATGGCATAAAGAACTTCTTTCAAATCGCTGTTTCTCTATTACAGAAAAGGAAAATAAAAAATGTAACAAATTCTACTGATGAATTAGTGAATTGGAAAGGTTGTGAAATCAAACTTCGAAGCATTCCCTCGGAAAGTCCATTTTATTATGGTTATCATACTGTAATAAAATAATCGTGTGTATCCCAATCGCAATTTCATTTCCCGTAGTCCGTCAACCTTCGAGGAAGCTGCAACACCGTGCCTAGTAGAAAAACTGGTCAAGATTTCTCTGGTTGAAATCACGATAAGGGAAGACGCAAAGTTATATCAGTTACTCAAGTTCATAGGTCATGCGCAATCGCTCTTCACTTTTCTCTATTAGCCGTCATTAACTTATATTTTCCTCAATTATCAATCTGTTTGGATACGCATCGGACGACGTGAGTCTCCTCTCGCCGCAGCTTCAGTCGTTGAAGTAGCAATTGACACTCAGTGAAATTTTTCTACTCAATTTTCTATTCAGTGATTGGTAAACTGGACGATCATCATCATCATCATGTCACGAACTGTGAAGTTTCTTGTTGTTTTGGTGTTCCTTTTTATGGGGATTCAGGCGGTTGTTGGGCTGAAGCTGAAGTTCCTAAATGTGGTGGGCATTATGAGTGCAAAAAATCTTAGGGGAGGGTAGGGCAAAACGGACCGGAAGGGTAAAACGGACCCCTGGGGCAAAACGGACCCCTGACAGAAAATTGGTAATTTTTTTTCCTTCCCTTCAAATCAGGAACACTGAATGTGTTGAATTAAAAGTGAGTTTCTTGGATCGTAACCGTCACAGGGGTTTTATAGACAAGTGTCGTTGAACCGCAATTTGATCAGATTTGCTGATCACCTCAAACCACAAATGACTTCGAATTTGCTCCATTCGGAAGCAAAAACAAAAATTATCAATTTTTTGTCAACGGTCCGTTTTGCCCGCCTGGTCCGTTTTGCCCTACCCTGCCCTATAGGATTTTTCCAATAGGATTTTCTGTGGGATTTTTCCACTAGGATTTCCTGTAGGATGTCCTCTAGGGACGTCCTTCATGACATCCCATAGAAAATCGTATAAAAAGTCCTATTGGAAAATCCTATATTAGGAAATTTTGGAATTCTCCATAGAATTTCCTCTGTTAATTTCTACTTTAACAGTTGCACATATGAAAAGATTTAATAGAAAACCTAGCGAATTCGCTAGGAAATTCTGGTGGAATTCTACAAGAGTTCTGTGGGGGTTTCTATAGAATTTCTATTGGAATTCTATTGAAAAATTCCATTTTTTTGCGCCGATTCTATTGGATATTTTTTGTGAAAAAGTCAACAGGAAACCTAGCGAATTCGCTAGGAAATTCTGTTGGAATTCTCTAAAAATTCTATGGGGTTTCTATAGAATTTCTATTAGAATTCTATTGAAAAATTCTATTTGTTTTTTGCGCTGATTCTATTGGATATTTGATGAGAAAAAGTCAACAGGAAACCTAGCGAATACGCTAGGATATTCTGTTGGAATTCTCTAAAAATTCTATGGGGTTTTTATAGAATTTCTATTGGAATTCTATTGAAAAATTCTATTTGTTTTTTGCGCTGATTCTGTTCGAATTTTTCTCTTTAAATTTTTTCTATTAGAATTATTGGGCACAAATCTTCCAAGTTTTTTCCACTAGATTTTCTTTGGTTTTGCATTACAGAATCTCAGTGAAAAAAACTTGGAAAATTGATGCCTAAGCATTCTTATAGAAAAAATGTCAAGAGAAAAAGTCAAACAGAAATTCGAAATCTTCATTCTTTTCTATTGAATATCCAATAGAACCGGCGCAAAAAACAAATAGAATTCCAATAGAAATCGTATAGAAACTCTATAGAATTCCTATAGAATTGTCTAGCAAATTCGCTAGGTTTTCTATTCAATTTTTTAATCCGAGTCCTGATTTTTGAAGATTCATTAAATATTGTATTTTAAAGGTATTTCGTCATGGAGATAGGACTCCACTGGAAAGCGGTACCGAAGTATTTCCCACTAATCCGTATGTAAATGAGACCTTCGCCCCTTATGGTCACGGACAATTGACCAACGTAAGTTGCGCAGGAATACTTTTATCTCTAATAATGGCATGAAACCTATTCAAAACAAACAAATAACGGATTGCAATAATTTTCACGCCCATTAAGCTTCTCTTGAAAATTGGTTCAAAATAAATGAATGAAATATATGTCAAGGTCAGCTCAAGAATAGTATTAAATTGAAATGATAAATATTTCTATTGAGCTGATAATTCCCAATGATTTTGCATATTTTTCGATAGCACGGAAAACAACGCGTGTACGACCTTGGTCTCTAGATTCGTCAGCAATACGCTGAATTCCTGGGAGATGTATATCATCCAAAAATGATAAATATCCTCGAAAGTTAACGTGAATAGAATCATTTTGGTTGAGTATATGAAAATTATCGTTCAACGAGAGACTATTATTTCCGAAAATAGATGAAGAAAGAATTGGATGGACTAATTTCTTACACTCATCAAAGTTAGATTTCATAACGGAAATAAAATATACTTGAATTGAATACATTTTATGTCCGGATCGAGTATATGCATAAACCTGATTCAAGCATATTATTCTTGATTAGAGTATATATTATACTTGATTCAAGTATATTTTAACCCACTGCTTCGCCTAAGTCTCGAATTGTCTCGGTGTGAGAGGAGTGGGGGCCTGTCCGAGTATTAGTGCGCCATAAGAGAAGCACGCTGACGCACGCACACGACTACAAAACGGCAAAAAGTGGGGTATCGTGAGACGAAGCAAATGGTTATACTGGAATGGGGGATGTGTGTTTCAATTCGACGATGATTATTTCGTATCAGCCCAGGTTGTACCAAGCGCTCTCAAATGTAAGATAAGAATCAGACACTAAGTGTGATAATATAAGGGTCAAAAAGTGGAGTTTAAAAAATGAGGATCGGAATATGAGAGTTAAAAACTGAGGGCCTGAATGTAAAGGTGAAGGAATGGGGGTCAGAATTTTAGGGTTAAAAAAAGAGGGTCAGAATATTAGGATCAAAAAATTATAGTCAGAATATAAAAGTCAAAAAGTGGGTGTCAGGCAATGAGGTCATATAAGGGCTAAAAACGGTGATCAAGCATAATATATGACTTATATTTAGACCCTCATTACCTGACACCCACTTTTTGACTTTTATATTCTGACCCTAATTTTTTGATCCTAATATTCTGACCCTCATTTTTTAACCTCCACTTTTTGACCCTTATATTCTGACACTCAGTGCCTGAGCCTTATATTACACTTAAGAGGGTTTGCTACAACCCGGTCTGATACAAAACAATCATCTTCGAATTGAAATACCCATCCCCCAATTGAGTATAGAATATACTTGATTCAAGCATATTGTATGCTCAACTCAGGTATATTTATTTTTCCCTGATGGGAAAAATCATTAATAATGAACAATTTTTTGTGGCTTTTTGAATTTATTTTTCCTCGCTACACTCAACGACTCCACTAAAGTTTATTCATATACTACTTAAACAATTCTCACTGATTTTGCATATTCTTCAATAGCAAGGAAAGCAACGCGTATACGACTTTGGTCGCTACGTTCGCCAGCAATACAGTGAATTCCTGGGAGATATATATCATCCAGAAATGATCCGTGCCCGTAGTTCTGATAAAGACAGAACTAAGATGTCTCTACAATTAGCGATGGCAGGAGCTTTTCCTCCATCGCCTGGGCAGCAATGGAATCCAAGCTTACATTGGCAGCCAGTTGTCACGAATTACATGCCCCGTCCCGATGTTCTTGTGATGCCCATCGAGTGCCCGCAGTAGGTCCCAAAAACTGACTCGTTGACTCCGGAATATGGGATATGTGAACCTTTTACCTTCAGGTTTGCAGCAGAGTTGCAGAAAACGCTGCAACTCCCGGAAATCCGAGAAAAGGAGGCGCAGTACAGCGAATTGATGAGAAATCTTACAGAGTGGACGGGCAAATCAATAGTCGATACAAAGAATGTTGCTGGTATTTACTCCAGCCTGAAAGCGTTGTATTTCATGGGACTTGAACTTCCTGAATGGACGGAGGGAATCTTCCCTGAGGGCTTGCTATCCGATGCCGCCGTTTTTCATTTCCGCATAGGCAGCTATACGAAAAGACTAAAAACGCTGAATGGAGGTGAGGGTTATTTGTGATGAATATGCAGTTGAAAAATTACTGTTGAAATTTCACGTAGAACACAACGTTTCTATGGTTTCGCCTCTCTAAGATTTCAGTTGGGGAAGTTGACTTCTCCCACCATTAACAATCTAAGCGTGTGTAGGTAATATGTGGGCCCCTCTGCGCGACAGAAATGCGCAGTGGGGCCACTACAGTGACGGTACGGGAACACTGGAACTACTGAAATATAGTCATTCTGGAAAAGGTACTAAGCCGCCTGACGCGAGCCGACAGAGGATCGCTTATTAAGGATATTTTTCTCTGTCGTACCCTCCGCTCCAAAAGTTTTACCGCCGAGCACATTACTTTTTGTTTCATGCATCATATTTTCTTTAAATCCATGTTTATTAGGATGACTAGCGGGCGTCGCCCCTTGCTCGCTTCGCTCACCAACCCGTGAGAGGGGGCTAGCTCGCTTTGCTCCTTAACTTGTGAAAGGGGGCTACCCCTCGCGCTCGTTTCGCTCGCTCCCCCCCCATCTCCTTGGGTATCTTTAGGTTGTATATTTTCGTTTCATGCGTCATATTTTCTTCAAATTCACGTTTATTTTGATAACTGAGGGGCGTCGCCCCCTGCTCGCTTCGCTCGCCAACCCGCGAGAGGGGGCTAGCTCGCTTTGCTCCTTAACTTGTGAAAGGGGGCTACCCCTCGCGCTCGCTTCGCTCGCTCCCCCCCCCCATCTCCTTGGGTATCTTTAGGTTGTATATTTTTGTTTCATGCGTCATATTTTCTTCAAATTCACGTTTATTTTGATAACTGAGGGGCGTCGCCCCCTGCTCGCTTCGCTCGCCAACCCGCGAGAGGGGGCTAGCCTCCCCGCTCGCTTCGCCCGCTCCCTTCATCTCCTTGGGTATGTTCAAGTCGTATATTTTTGACAGGTGTTTGATAGATGATATCCGTGGTACTCACAGCTAACAGACTCGGTTCACCTGAGAAATGAAAAAAAAATGCAAAATATCGCGCTCCGAACAGTTTACGATCACCATTTCACAACCATCGTATTCACAAGAAAGGCTCCAACCAACGCATTCATAAATGAATAAATTTCTCATTTTTAAGTACTTGACTCCCACATGACCCAAATTTTCATCAGAAGTCGATTTGGATTTTTATAATATAAAGAGATTTTGTCAATTATTCATACAGTTCTGCACCTGCACAATTTTGTCGAGGCTTCGTATATAGTAAATTTTACGCTATTCCATTGGGACAATTTTTAAGTACGTTCTGATCGAGCGTAAGATAGGTATTCTTTGAAATCTACCTCTCTCTAGATCATTTTCCACTAATGGGCATAGCATGGCAGTGCGTTTTCCAGAATGACTCCATTTTTTTTCTCTATTTTTTATTTTAGTCGTGTTTTTTATTTATTTATTTATTTTTTGACCTATTTATATTAATCCCATGTTTAAATCTTTTGTATCTTTCTGCTTCCTGCTTCATGACTTATGTCATATTTTCTTTGTACAGCATAATGCACAGTTAATAAACCTCAATCAACCAATTAGTGTTTGGAACAGACAGATTGTCTGTCTTTGTTTCTCTCTTCTTCAGCCAATCTACAACAAGAGTCTACTATAATTATTAATCTATTGGCAGGAATCATGTTGAAGAACTTCACTGACACTATGTCATCTGTAATCAGCGGAGAAGAGCCTGATCTCAAAATGAATTTCTTCGGAGGTCATGACTATAATATTGTTTCATTCCTGGAGATTTTTGATTATAATGAACCTCACGGAGCTCAATATTCGAGCGCTATTTTTGTTGAATTGCTGGAAGATGATGATCATAAACATTACGTCAAGGTGAGTGCAAGATTAATAACAATGTTGAAGGTTTCCACGTGGATCTCGTCTTCATAGGAGTAATGTTCATGAATTATTCCAGGTATATTACTACAAAGGAATTCCAGCGGACCGAGTACCGGTGAATATCCCCGGTTGTGGTGAAGTGTGCCCTTTCGATGAATTCATTAAATTGTTCAGAGACATTTTTCCTACTCAGGAAGATATAATATGCCCAAAAGATAAAATAGCGAAAATTTTTTGAAAATGTTTTTGAGTGTATTTTAATTCTTGTACAGATAATGAAATGGATTTTGAGGGAAAGTGCTTTCAGTTATTGTTTCGAACCCTTTTCCATTTTATAACTTTTCGGATATTCGACTTTCGTTGAATATCGGAATCAACTTAACTCATTCATTCATTGCAGGCAATCGAAGGCATGCAGGATTTGCCCGGTACTGGTAGATAATTCGCTACAACTAGTTGTTAATTGAGGTTTAGATTCCATTGCTGTGCAGGTGGAGGAGGGAAGCGCATTCGAAACAATTTGATAGAAAAACCTAGCGAATTCGCTAGACAATTCTATTGGATTTCTATCTTGTATTTTAGTTTTGGCCTCTGCGGTTTTTCCAGGGGGAAAGTCGACTTTTGCCAAAATCGAATTTTTTAGCCGGGTGACCGTTGATTCCAATGATTTAAGCGACGGGCTCTTCAGAACTCTCAAAAGTATGTGGAAAAAGTGAAAACTGAAAAAAAAAATTTTCACCCGGAGCCAAAGGGTCAGATCTTGGATTTTTCCCGGGGGAAAGTCGACTTTCGCCAAAATCGAATTTTGTCGCCAAGTGAATGTTGATTCCGTATTGATTGACTCCTCTAATGCCAATGACACCCTCGGAGGCGCCGGAAATGTCGAAATCAAAAATTTTCATTTTCACTTGGAACAAGGGTCAGATTTGTTAACAATTTCATTTTTTATTTAGACAACGCATGCAAGCGGAGGGACAAGGGTGGCTAGAATAGATTCTGCAACCGTCTCCCCTTGTTGAGTAAAAATTTCAAGCCTCTCGTGAAATGTCGATTTTCGAGATTAAAAAAAAAAACAATAATTGCATTTTTTATTTCAATACGCATGCGTAAACAGGGATATGAACCCGGATTTAATATAGGCCCATAGAATTACGGGGACCGGCAAGGATTCGGAAAGTCTGAATACAAGTCCTGCTTACACCTAACGAGTGCTAAAATGGGACATAACCAGAGGTAGAAAGGTCTCGGAAGCACTTGGGAAGAGGCTTCCCAAGACCTATTCAGCTCTTAATGGAAAGACCTAAGCAGAACTTGTCAGGTCCAATTATTCGACTCGGGCGCGATCCGTGCACGATATTTACGAATGTCCGTTTCTGTCCGATAAGTCATCGCACTCCGAGGAGAATTGGAAATATATTTTCATCATCAATATAACAGGAAATTTGAGGAATACTTTCTTTTCTGCACCACCAAGTGAAGTTTCGAAGTATGAAACATATCATTGGACCCTGAAAAAATGCTAATGGATTTTCTATTATTGATAAAGAAATAATGAGTTTTCAGGGTGAAGGTGAAGGGTTTCAGCAAGTGGAACACATGTTTAACATCTCGTTTATCTTTAATAATGACTCATTTGAATTGTTGCAAAATTGAAAAGGCTGCAGATTAAAATCTCTTAGGACTTACTCGAAAATTCCATTTTATTATGATCACAAGAATGAAAACACAATCATTCATTCATTTCTACTGTCTCATTTTTTGAATACTTGAGGTCTTCCTCACAGAGAAAAATGTCGCTGAATAATTCGATGAATTGATCAAAAGGACATAGTTCACCACAACCCGGCATATTTACTGGTACTCGGTCCACTGGAATTCCTTTGTAGTAATACACCTGCAATAATCAATGAAAGAAACATCAAACCTATGGATGGAGAGATTAATAGAAACATTCGATTTCGTTTTGTATTCGTTCGAATTTAAGTTCTTGATTTTTTCTGCAAGATAACTGAATCTGATCCAAAAATTCCGATTATGCGATTCTTAGATGCTGTCATTAGTACAGATGTACGTTTGTATGTGCGTAATAAAAAAATTTTTTTTTCATAATTTTCCTATGGGAAATCCTATCTATCGAACTTCACGATGATTGTTCTGAATATAGATTTTGATAAGATCTACCCATTGTCACTTATTGAAAAACAATTGTTATGACATTTCAAACATTTTGATATAAAAAAATGATTGTTCAATGATTATTTTTGACGAATCTTGTGTAACATCTCGTGGAGACGAGTTCTTCATCGATAATTGCTGCATCAAGTAATTCATCGAAAATAATCCCAAGTTTCAGAACACGGAACTATCCGAAAGTTATCAAGAAAAATCGTCGCACAAGTCGTCGTGAATTATCGAGTAAATTATCTACTAAAATTACCCAGTTAATCATCAAGTGTTTTAAACTATCTACTGAAAACATCACTAAGGCATATTCCTTATTTATTCGCGAAAATGGCTGTCATATATGAACGCAAAAGCAATTACAGACTTGTATAATCTTACACTCACCCTGACGTAATGTACATGATCATCACTCTCCAGTAATTCAACAAAAATAGCACTGGAATATCGGGGTACATAAGGTTCATAAACGCCCAAAATATCTAGAAGTGAAGCGATGTTATGATCATGACCTCCGAAGAGATTCATTTTTAGATCAGGCTCGCTTCCATTGATCGCAGATGACATAGTGTCAGTGAAGTTCTTCAAGATGATTCCTGTGAAGAAATTAAATATGAATTAAGTTTTGATGTGAAGGGTATGTCTAGACTGAGAGAAAAAATATTTTTACCAAGGAATCAGCTTACTGAACTCATTCAGGCATTTCCAGTCATTCCCAGGCAGTTAAAGTGAATCTCCAAATATTACAATTATATTGAGTCATGGCATGATTATGCTCCACATGACCTTGAATGGACTCCTTTGACAATATTATCATTTAGAATTATTCCAAATTATTTTACGTAAAAAATCTCAATTAGAAAAAATTGAAAAGTAATGAAGGGCGTTCATTCAAGTCCATATGCAGCATAATCATCTCATAATTCAATGTAATTGTAATCTTTAGAGATGGACATGGACCACTTGAGAATGACTGGCGTGGACAAATACGCTGTTGAAAAAATTAATTCTTCTACCAAGAAGATGATTCCTCGGCAGAGGTAATTTTTTTCTCAGTGTACCACATTTCCAAACACCTCCACTCAAATCACTTCAACTCCACCCCTCATATGGCAAACTATCTAGTTAGACCATGACTTCATGAATGGGAATTCCATATGAACTCGTTCAAAACTTCAATAGACATTTCTGAACAGTATATTATAACAGTAATTGCATATTATAACAGTAATTGCATATAATCCTCACCTCCATTCAACGCTTTTAGTCTGTTCGTATAGCTGCAGAGTCGGAAATGGAAAACAGTAGCTTTCAACAGCGATCCGTCAGGAAAGATTCCCTCCGTCCACTCAGGAAGTTTAAGTCCCATGGAACTCAACGCCATCAGGTAGTTGTAAATAGCAGCAACGTCCTTCGTCTTGACTATAGGTTTGCCTGTCCATACTGTAAGATTTCTCATCAATTCGCTGTACTCCGCAAGTTGTTTTTGGACTCCAGGGAGTTGCAATGATTTCTTGAACTCGGCTGCAAATCTGAAGGGAAAAGCCCCATCAAAAATAATATAAAAAATATGTATAATATTGGCCAATTCCATATGTTTTCAAATTTATTGTTGTACCCAGCGTGGGGGTACTTATAATTATAGTAGGTTCTAGGCTTGAAGGGATAAATCCCACCAATGGTTTATCGGCATTCAAATATGAGATTTCTAATCGATTATAATTACTGTTTAATCTGACTGATTACAAAGAGTTTACGACTTTTGTACGCATCGGGGGCCTATTCCGGTCTGATCTGTGCAGACTCAACCGTCTCTTAAATAATACATTCATTGCTTATATTTTATCACTTGGTCAGCATAATCTAGTTACGCTGGCAAGTGTCACGCTGACAATACTGTATGTCTACATATTCAACAATAACGCAATTGACCAAATCTGGGGCATAACATTATAAAGAATATATAAAAATATATAGAAAACATATATTTTATATATTTTTTTTTACATAAATTGGGCCAATTTAATATAATTTGTTAGATATTCTCCAAAATATACATTTTTCCGTGTGGAAAGGTTCACATGTCGCATATTCTGGTGACAATCAGCCATTTCTTTTGTGACACCTACCGCGGGGATTCGATGGACATCAGAAGAAAATCCGGATCTGATACATAATTCACGATAACTGGCTGCCAAAGTAAGTTTGGGTTCCACTGTTGCGCAGGCGAAGGAGGAAAAGCTCCTGCCATTGCTAATTGCAGAGACATCCTAGTTCTGTCTCGATCCGAACTGAGGGCGCGTACCATCTTTGGGTGATATATCTCTCCCAGGAATTCGTCGTATTGCTGCCGAATGTGGACGCCGAGGTCGTAACCGCGTTTTTTTCCTTGCTATTGCAAATATGCAAAAAAAAATATTAATAAAACAACGCGATCATTAAAATTCGTGACATGGTGGAGACACTTTGTTGTCTGATTTCCCGATTATTACATAAAAATTTTTGCAAAATCTAAAAAATTTCGCGAAGTCTCAAGAAAAAAAACAAATGGGTAGGAAAATAATTGAAATCCTTTATGTTCGTCTTCAATAGGTTTCAAGACTTCTTTATAGATGATAGTTTTTCTGTGTAATTCACATTGGTCAATTGTCCCTGCCCATAAGGCGGGAAGGTCTCATTCACATACGGATCTGTAGGGAATACTTCGTCACCGTATCCCAGTGGAGTCCTATCTCCATGACGAAAAACCTTTGCGATAAAAGAATTCATCAGTCGTCAAAAACACTTGAATCATCCAGTTTCCAATAAAATTAATTCATGATACTAACTACATTGAGAAACTTTATCTTCAGCCCGATGATTGCCTGGATCTCGATGCAAAGGAACACCAAAACAACACGATAATTGTAAATTCGTGACATGATGAAGACACTTTGTTGTATGATCTCCCGATTACTATATGAAAGATTTTGCGAAATCTAAAAATTTCCGCGAAGTCTCTACTGTTGTCTCAACGACTGAAGTTGCAGAGAGACTAGACTTTTTACATACCGATTATTCGCATTAATGTCAACCGCCGGGATTGCGGGCCCCTAGGTATGCAATTATTGTTTATTGAGGAAAATATTTTTAAAATACCGAGGAACAGGCAAAACTTGATAGCGATTGAGCCTGTCCTGTGCACTTACGGCAACTGGTACAACTATCCTTTTTTCTTATTTGGGATTCTCATTGGACAGGGAAAGTGGTGCCGGTACCGCTACCCGGATGCTACCCGGTCATCACAAATATTTTTTACACTTTTTCTCTTTCAGTATCGTGGATAATGGCAGAAAGTATTCATCACAAAAAAATGACACTTGACCATTTTTAATTGAGAAAATCGTCCTTTTGTAGGATTTGAGATGGTGGTAGGTCGGGAAGGTACACGGAGAGAAATGTTCAGTAAAAATTACGGAACTCACAGTTCCCTCACCAATTACGGAATCGACTAAGAAAATTTAAGTGGCAGTGTGACGTGTGGAGATATTCACACGTCGATTTTATTCAATTAATATTTTCTAGATAGAAAAAGTCCCAAATGCTCAATAAGCAGTCTCACGGTGACACCTGAGTCCAGCTTCTCAGAATGGAGCTGTTTGATTGTCTTAGCCATTGTCAGTGATGGACATATGGCCGTGTTAGTTAGAAAAACCGTGAGAACACTTATTTAGCATTTTCGGCCAGCAACGACTTTGAAGCTCTGGAATAGGGCAGAGTACGGCAGGAGTTGAAGATGGACGGACGTCCTCTCCTAGCCAAAAATCTATAGTAGATCCGCGTCGAAACCGAACCCATTTAACAGTTGATTTTATACTTTACCTATCTATTCAATATACTGTCAATTATTAATGTAACAGTGGTGCTCGATTGTTTTATACGAAGAATACCTAATCAAATCCTATCCTAGTCGCGTCACGTTAGATCTTGAGAGAAATCCGCGTGAGCTCTGACCGTAGCTAGTTGAGCAAAAGTTTTTGAGTCGACTGGTGACTCAATTAAGGGAGGTAGAAAACCTCTCACGTCACAGGCAGTATCGTAATCTCTCACAGGAGATTCAGGTGAAAATTACGGAACACTCCGGAACAATTCCGTGAGTTTGGGTAAAAAGTAACTTAAGACTTTCAGACCTCAACGTGAAGAAAAATTTCAGATTGAGTTCCGAAATTCTTAACTTGAGGCATTCAACCGTCTCAACTGGAATCTATGAAAATCTTAAATTGAGATCTTCGAAAGTCTCAAATTGAAAACTTCAAAAGTCTTAAATTGAGACTTTGGAAACTCTCAACTTAAACCTTTCAGGCTTCAAATCGAGACTTGAAAATCTTAAAATGAGGTATTGTTTTTTCGGTTAACATTTTTGGACGAGTATGTAAGATTGATAGATGTGTGTAACTCGTGCGTGTACATCTGAAAATATGCCTAATAGCCGACCTGCCTGAAGAGTTGAGAAATCGGAGAAGTTTCATAATAAAACTTGATAGCACTTGCTCTAGAATCCCATTTTATTATCAAGACCAAAATTGGAACACAATTATTTATACATTTTCACCATATTGCCCTTTGGACATTTCAGGTCCTCCTCAGTGGGGAAAATGTCACTGAACAATGCGACAAATTGATCGAAAGGACATAGTTCACCACAACCAAGGATATTCACAGGTACTCGCTCCGCTGGAATTCCTTTGTAGTAATACACCTGCAACAATCAATGCAAGAAACATCACTCCTGTGAATTATCAGACTGATACGGAAACATTCATATCTTATTTTGGGGTGATACGTAACATGAACGAAAATTTGAGAAAATGCGAAAATCGCCGGAGGTCGGGTTTGAACCCACGACCCTTAGGTTCCCAGTCTGAGACTTACGCCCATGGCTATCCTCTCAGTCCGGAAACATTCAATATTTTTGTCAATCTCATACCCACCCTAACGTAATATTTATGATCGTCATCCTCCAGTAATTCAACAAAAATAGCGCTGGAATATTGGGGTACGTGAAGTTCATAAACATCAAAAACATCTAGAAGCGACGCGATGTTGTAATCATGAGCGCTGAAGAGATTCAGTTTTAGATCAGGCTCACTTCCATTTATCACAGATGACATAGTGTCAGTGAAGTTCTTCAACATAATTCCTATGAACAGATAAAAAATTAATGAAATGTTTATGTGAAGAATGGCAATTCTCTGTTTCTGCCTTTTATTTGTATGTTTGAAGATGACGATTTGTTAAGAATTTCTCCAGACTTCTTGGCGAAGCCCTAAATCATTCAAAAATCATTCAAAAATTTCTGAACTAGTGTGAGGGCACCCCCTCGCGCGCCTTTTCTCCGTGAGAATAGACAAAGGAGGCGACGGGCTTTCGAGACATTTGCGATATCGATTCGATATTTGCGCGACTCAAATTTCGAGGAATGACGTGTATCTTTTAAATAACGAAAGATGACGATTTGTTGAGAATTTCTCCAGACTTCTTGGCGAAGCCCTGAATCATTCCGAATTTTCTAAACTAGTCTCAGGGCGTGCTTCTGCGCGCCTTTTCGGCGTGAGAATAGACAAAGGAGGCGACCGGCTTTCGAGATATTTGCGATATCGATTCGATATTTGCGCGACCCAAATTTCGAGGAATAACGTGTATCTTTTAAATAATGAAAGATAACGATTTGTCGAGAAGTTCTCCAGACTTCTTGGCGAAGAAAAATTCCGTGATAGTTCCGTAAAATTTCCTATAACAACATTGCGCTCCGGAATTACGGAAAAGATACGTAATTTTTATTGAATATTTCTTTCCGCGCGTCATTTCACTTGAAATGTCCTGACAATGTATTCATCGCAAATGATCCTCACCTCCATTCAAAGTTTTTAGTCTTTTCGTGTAGCTGCAGAGTCGGAAATGCAAAACAGTGGCGTTCAACAGTGGCCCTTCAGGGAAGAGTCCCTTCGTCCACTCCGGAAGTTCGAGTCCCATGGCACTCAACGCCTTCAGGCTGTTGTGAATACCCGCAACGTCCTTCGTGTGGACTATAGGCTTGCCTGTCCATACTGTAAGATTTTTCCTCAATTCGCTGTACTGTGCAATTTTTTCTTGGACTTCAGGGAGCTGCAGCGTTTTCTCAAACTCAGCTGCAAACCTACAGACAAAAAGCTCACCTATCCCATATTCCGAGAGTAATCATCCATTTTTTAGAGCACCTACTGTGGGCATTCGGTGGACATCACAAGAACATCCGGACCTGATACGTAATTCACGCCGACTGGCTGCCAAAGTAAGCTTGGATTCCACTGCTGCGAGGGCGAAGGAGGAAAAGCTCCTGCCATGGCCAATTGCAGAGACATTTTGGTTCTGTCTGAATCCGAACTGCGGGCGCGTACCATCTTCGGATGATATATGTCTCCCAGGAATTCATCGTATTGCTGACGAATGTGAACACCAAGGTCGTACACGCGTTGTTTTCCTTGCTATTGATAAATATGCAAAATCATTGGGAATTATCAATTCAGTAGGAAACATCATCAAACGTTTTTGCGTGGGACTCCCGAGCCGGGATCCACTTTACCATGCGTCACCCCTTTGTCAAAATATTAATGCCGTTTTTATTATTCCGATCGTACGGCAGTGGTCCCTGCCTACAGCCGTTATGACAAAATACAGTAGAGGCTTCGTATAAGATACCTCTCTATAAGATACCTCGCGCTCCGAGCGCTCGAGGCCTACCCCCCCTCTCGGCACTTTTATCGCCTCCCGAGTGTTTATGTTCCGTGGGCTTCTTATAAGATACCTATGGCCCCAGTAATTTTTCAACGGGAAGAGAGTAGTTATAAGGATCGAACGGTGTTAAGGGTCCAACGGGAGGCACGAATGATGTGATCATGAGGGTCTAATGACTCTAAGGAAAAGAGGCGCAAAGTGACGGCCAGGAAAAAATCCCAGTGCCGGCAAAATTTTATTGGAGAAAACGTGAATTTGATGGTGGAGCAGTTTCTGTCATCGGAGTTCCTGTCATTTTTCTAACTGAACTATCATGGGGTTACACCCTGTTACTTTCCAAAGATGAGAGTACATCACCTGATTTGAACACGAAATCTTATGTCTCTCCAATGTTCATCAAATAGAGGATAACTTCAAATATGACAAATATGAGAATTACTCCATTCTTTTTTTGTTTGGATATATTCTCGTCTGTCGTGTTGAGAAATATTATTGTTCCACATTATTCCGGTTGATTTTATCACTAAACTACACATAATCTAACATGTTATCTTCTATTTACTGATTCCACATGGAAAGTGAGAAAAGTGGTAGAAAATGGGTTTATGTGGGCGACAGAAACTGCAGCTGATGCCTCTGATAAAAATTATTTTCCCTATCCCGAATGTCCTCTTCACCCGCAACCCTCAATTTGTTACCCCCTCTCATAATCACCATGTAAAATATATGTTAAAGCCCCTGGGCTGTCGCTATACTTCATAAAGTCCTGTATATAAAAACTGTAAACATTTGTTATTGTTTGTAAATATTCGTATTTATGTTAATAAACATTATTTGACTTGACTTGATGCCTCTGAGCATGACAATTTAATTTTCGTCATGGAATGAAAAGAAAAATAGAATGAGAAAAACTCATGAAAAATAGAATAAAAAGCCGAGGAAATTCCATAGAAAATCCCTCAAAACAATAAGTTGTATAGAAAAATATGATTCTATCGACTTTATCTATTAATAGATAAGAGTATTCCTAGGCAACTTACATTGGTCAATTGTCCCTGACCATAAGGGGGGAAGGTCTCATTCAAGTACGGATTAGTAGGAAACACTTCGGTACCACTTCCCAGCGGAGTCCTCTCCCCGTGACGGAAGATCTTCACGAAAGAACTCATTAATCATCAAAAACACTCAAATCCAGAAGTTCTAAAAAATTTATGATACCAACCACGTTAAGGAATTTCACCTTCAGCCCAACAATCGCCGGAATTCCAATGAAAAGAAACACCAAAGCAACCCGAGAATTGAAAAGTCGTGGCATGCTGACTGTAGTCTAATGGAAAATTCTGCAGTTGCCTGAAAAATTCCGTTGCTCCGACGACTGAAGCTGCGGAGAGACTAGACTCCTTCCACAGCGATTAGTCACCCCAATGCCAGCCGGTTTGATTGCCAGCCCCTTCCTCGCATTGATTGATCATCGAGGAAAACTTTTCAATAGCACCGAGGAACAGGGAAACTCAACCGCGATTGTGCATGACCTATGCACCTGCAGCAATTGATACATCTATCCTTTTTCCTTATCGTGATTTTAATTGAGGAATGATAAATCATGAACTTTTTTTTTTTATTGGTTTATAGTATAGAACCCCTTGCAGGGGCTCTATACTATATGTGACTGTCGATAGATGAGGTTTTCGTACATTTTCGTGTAACATTGGTTATCTTTTGATAATTACATATTGCTGTTTATATGCGGAGTTTACATGTCGTTAAGAATTTGTCTATAGCTATGAGAGCTTGGGAGTCGGTTGCCACCATAAACTGGCAAGTCCAGAGAAAAATATTTCAGTGATCTCAGTTTGGCTGTTAGTTCTGTTCTTTGGGGATTCAGAAGGGGATATTACCATAATATGTGGTAAATGTCCTGGGATTGTGCCCCGCAGTTGCAACTTGCATCTGAGATTATTGTCATTCTTTCGAGCGAGGCGTTCAGGTGATCCCACATGAAAAAAATATATATACAGAAATATATGTCACTTATATCCGCTTATATGTGGTATACTTTCCGGCAAAAAATGCAATATTTGAGATATGTGCTGGATATATGTGTGGTATACAAGGCGGATATATTCAAGATATAATTCCGGCAAAATCACTATATCTCACTTATAAGTTTTGGCTTATATTTTTATCTATACAGAATAATAGTCCACTCTTATTCTGTTTATTCTAACGATAAGGTCTCTTGTTGATTTGTTTCCCTGGTACCAGGGTCGAAAAGATTTTCTATAATATTTGTCGAAATATTATAGAAGCACGCCTTTCCCTTTTCTATTTACAATTTTTTTGGCTTGTTTTTTCATCTTAATTGTTGTGTTCCACATGAACAACTTGAGAAATCGATTCCTTGATGCTGTATCAATAAATAATATTAGCTTGTCTCAGTTTTACTAACAATACTTTGACTTATTTCGCCTACAAAACGAAAAGGTACATTTTATTTTCTAAGGTTTTTTCGGCCGTTCGCATGTCATGTCGGAGTCAGTGGTTAACACATTTCCATAAAGTTCTACGAATTTCTCGAGGGGACATGGCTCGTCGCATCTGGGAATCATTATTCTTTTCCGGACGGGGGGGATTCCTAGGTAGTAGTATATCTGCAACAGGAAAATCATGAATATTCGTAAACTGGTGGACTTTTTTTGAAATTTCGTGGAAGATCTTATAGTAAATCCGAGGGGCTAGTCACTTAGGAAATCACTGGACCACTCGACTGGGAATCAAGGAAGCAGTCACCAGAAATCAATGGAAATCACTGGAAATCAAGCGATTTCCATTTTCGGTAGTGATTTCTAAAGATTTCAAGAAATCATCGGAAATTAATAGAAATCATAAAGAAATCACGTGATTTCCGAAATCATTAGAAATCATCGAAAGTTCAAAATCGAACTCGATTACAGCTCGATTGAATTTTGAGTGGACCATGAATATTCAGAAACAAAATCACATGAATTTTCAATGTTTCCCTGAATTTTCCTGGTTTTTATGAATTTTCACAGAATAATTGAACTGAAAAATCAAGTATTTTATTGATTTCCAGATCATTTAAACAGCAAATCAATGGAATATTTGATTTTTCAATTACATGATTTCCTGAAATTTCAGTGGAACTTGAAAATTGTAAAAATTCGAAGAGCGATTTTCCCCCACTCTTGAAAATCTTTATTTTGGACTAGTTTCAGGATAGAGTACTTAGAGTGACTCAATTTGGAGCTTTCAAGTTGTTTGTAGCAATGGCAAGATCAAAAAAATTACAGAAAAACCGAAAAAATATTTTTTTCACAATGGGGTACTTTTCTTTTCTTGAAAATTTTTGGAAATTTCATAATGGAAACAGCAAGTGCTCAAGACAGCAGTAACACTCACCCTGACGTAGTATTTACTCATTTCTTCGAGCAATTCAACAAAAATTGCGCTGGAGTACTGAGGCACGTGGTGGTTATCGTAAACCCCGAGAGCCAGTTGAAGAAGAGCAATATGTGTCTCGTGCCCACTTACTATCACCATCTTCACATCAGGTGGTCCATCTCCATTGATTTTCGCCAGCATATTGTCCGTGAAGTTCTTCAAGATCATTCCTAAAATTTGGAAAAGTTATACTATCTCGATAAAATGGACACTTCTGACACTTTTTTTTATATATTAATGACTTATTGAGTTATCAATGAAATGGAATCATTTGTTTTTCAATGGAAAGTACTCCTCTTCCCTTTCGTCTTAATTCAAGACTGAGATGAATTGATAGAGCTGTTTCCAAGTTATTAATATTTGTTGTGTTTGAGAATTAAAAATTAAAAAAAAAAAGGAATTTATTTTCTTTTTTATTTCGAATCGAGTGAATAAATCGCATTGATTTCCCAATTCTCCACACGGCATCATCCACGGAATGCCTTGTCACCAGATATTATTTCGAAATGCCAGTGAATCAGCAGCTCGGCCAATGCACCCGGACATTGACCGAACTGCAGCCTATACCGATTCCGGAATTATTAATCAGTCTCGTCCTAGCTTCATCAAGGAACGTACAAAGGGGCGAACTTCTCGAGATTGATTGATACTTGATTCCGGAATCAGTTAAATTCCCTCTGCCCGGCGCTTATCGTCAACTCGAGTATTTTGGGATTATCATTGATCACAACTACGCACACCTTCGTAGTGATCAATCCCACGTTATTATAAACAATCTAACTCTTCCCGGATCCGGCAAACGAGGTGCGAAATAACTCGGTCCCGTTCTTCCCAAGTGGAGTTTCGTGCAAGGACACATTCAATCTTTTCATCAATTTATTGTTAAGTCAACGACGCGGAGATCACTGTCGTGATAAGGATAAGACTACGCAATTGTAAAACGAGTGGATGTATGAGTGTGAGTGTTGAGCGGAGGAGGTGTAAGTAGTTATTGTATTTTGGCCATTGTTATCATTTTCGAGTCTAGTATCATTAAATTGGTTTTCTTTCATTATCTTTTATTATTTTCCTGATCCCGAGGACTGAACGGCAAGTGCAGATGTGCCCAGCACTTTAAAGTATAAGTATCCACTAAATAAAAATATTATTTTGTGGCTACTAGGTCGAACCGTGTTTATTTATAGTAACAAATAAACTCGAATTCGCCCGAACCGCAACATATTTTAAAAAAAATCAAGTGTCCATTTTACCTGATCCTCCCCTATGCAAAATAGAAGAAAGTCCCATGACTTATTTCAAAGCAGAAATTGCGGTTTCACTTTACAACGGTCCCTAATTAGATCATTTCAAAACTGGATTCATTTATACTATGTTATTTTATTTTATTTTCTTTCTACTTCCGTCTTCACAATTGGATTAAATTAATTTTATTCATTCTTGTTGATATTATATATATTTTTGTTCCGTAATTCACGCGTTACAACATTGAATGAAGAGGAATTCCCCATAGATCACGTGAGAATACAGATCGACAAACAATTTTCGATGATCATACCTAAAATTTTGCATTTCTTTCTTTTTCTTTAAATTAATTAATAGCAATGATCTGAAAATGTGAACGAATATGAACATTTTACATTCCTTTAATCTCATTTCAATGGAAACGTAGAAGGAAATTGCAAAGAGAGTTCGATCATCATCAATCAGTATCAATAAAATGAAAAAATCGATTTTTCTATGTCTTTTTGAAATCTTTCAAATTGTTTTTTTTTTCTTAAAAAATGAAGGGAGATCAATATTTTTAATTTCTGTGATCGTATTCCGTTCACAGAAACAGGAAATGCGGGAAATGTAGAGAAGGAAAATCAGAAATAAATTTAAAAAATCGGTTTTTCAGTCTTAAAAATTTCAAAACGTTTTTTTAAATAATGAAGAAAAACCAATGTATTTTCTTTCTATTATCTAATTCTGATGGAAGAAAGTGAAAAGAGGAAGAGCAACGAGATCAACACGAAAACAGAATTTTTAATTTTTCAATGTCTAGGGAAAATTTTTAAATTGACATTTTTTTCGAATAATGAATCAATACCCATAAATTCAATTCCTATCCTCACATTGTCATAGAATACACAACAGAATAGCAAAGAATTCAAATCGGCGATGAAAAATTTTATCGGATTATTATTATGTAATAATAATAATTATGACTGGGTAAAGGCTAATGAATTTAAACCTCTTTGAATCAACTCATATATCAATATTAGCTGGCGTGGCCCGGGAAAATGTTTTTTCGGCATCTTATTTTTGAATTGAAAATGATTTGTTAATTTATTCGTCAATGGTTTCCACAGCTTAGGAATACAAATAAAAGTCATTAGCTTCACAATTTCCATAAAATTTATGTTATCACAAAACTTCTATCGTTTATAGATAGAGTCCAATGACAAATATTACCTCCATTTAAAGCCTTCAACCTGTCATTATAGCTCATGAGTCGATAATGCAGAGTGGCCACATCTAATAACGACCCATTCGGAAAGATTCCGGACGTCCACTTGGGAAGCTCAAGTTCCATGGCTTGGAACGACGCTAGCCCATTGTAGAGACTCAAGAATTCTCTGGTTGTGGAAATCGGCCTTCCGATCCATTCAGACACGTTTTTTGCGAGACCACTCAATTTCGCGACTTCCGCTTGGACTTCGGGGAGAGCTAAGACAGCTTCAAACTCTTTTGTATGCCTAAAAAAATTGTTACAATTCCGTAGTGGAGAATGTTAACTAACTGTAACTTGCATTATTTTCTATTTTATCGGAATGTTTCAACTGCCTAGAGCAGATTGTCCGCTACACCGAGAACTTTTCAGAAGTGAACTTTTCAGGCAGGTATTACGAAAATATCGCTTATGAAGAGAAGTTCGTCAAGAAATATTTTGTCCATAAGTTAAAAAATTGTTATCATATCATCATTATGATTTTATTTAAAAATTAATAATTTCTTATTTCTTACAAAAATACCTAGATGAGTATCGAATACCGAAGAAGTAGTGCTAGAGATGACAGTCCTTACATGCACAAAAAATAATTTTTTTTGGCAGAACTAAATTTATTTTGGAGACAAAAAAATTTATTTCAGGGCAGTCCCCAATTCTATATATTTTTTGTAATTGTCAACTTCGGATTTTTTTTATGCAAGCAAGACTTGTTGGAGAAAATGTTTTTGTTTTCTTTCGGTGTACGAAGAATCTACTCTCCAAATTTTGTTAAACCCCTTAGATTCATCAAAATGAAAATCGTGGAAGCAGATTTATTTCAGTTTTTTCCCTCGACTATTTACTAACTTTGGACAGTCTATCGCAAACAGTAGAAAATCCTCGTCTCGACGCAGGTAATCGCACACAATTGGCTGCCAATTCAAGGTCGGGTGCCACCGCTGTTCAGGTACAGGAGGGTACATCCCCGCCAGGACCAGTTGTAGAGACATTTTTATCCTGTCGAAATCCGAACTGTGGGTGATGATCTCATGGGAATGGTATATCTTGCCGAGGAACTCATTATACTGCTGACGGATGTAAGCGCCCAATTCGTATTCACGTAGCTTTCCTCTCTAGGCAGATAAACGAGTTCGATTAACCGGTAAGTGGTCACATAAAGCGGGAATCCCTGCCGTTTTTCGATTTCGATTTTTTCTGACGGCTGTTGCTCTTTTATGTCCCCATTTTCTAATCATTGAAGGTTCAAAATTACTCATGAGCGAGAAATGAATTACAGTAGAGGCTTCGTATAAGATACCTTAGGGACAGTAGGAGAGCGGAATTCCGGGAACCCCTATGCCCCCACTACGCGCGCCCATAGAGAGGAGAAAAATAGGGATCAGCGGGTTTCAAATAAGATACCTCGCTCGTTGCGCCTGAATTCAATGAAATTTTCATTTTTACTGAATGAATATCGATAACTAATCAATTTATATGTGTTTAATGTTTCGAATTTGTATCGTCTGCGTTCCCTTTATTACTCTCTAAACATAACCCCGCGTGATAGAATGGCAGCTGATGTTGGGGGTTTGTTGTAGACTCGAGAATAATCACAGACGAAAAATTACAATTTTGAGATGGGAAAAGTGAAAAAAAAATCGATGTATATTTTCATTACTTGAAAAAAGTGGTGTGACCCCCCTTAAGGTCATTAGACACTCATGAACACTTCGTTCGTCCCTCCCGTTTGACCCTTAAGGGTGCCAAGTGAATTTGAAAAAAGATTCAAAGAAAAATTTTTCTTTCCCTCCATCATTGGAGAAATATGTATTCATCCATCCGACAAAATTTCAAACCCGCAACCGGAAAGACATCGAGAAAATAAATGCGGAAAATCCTCTATTTCGTGTGACGAACCTCGAGAAAGCATCGAATCAAATGGGTACGGCGGGTTCAAATATCTCTCCTATTCACCCCGGTACCCCAGTGTTTTTTGGCGCCATCACATTGAACACATTATTCCCCATATCTTCAAATTTTTTCAAATTTTTCTTGAGTTCCTAGGGGGTTGAAACGTTCAATTTAATCAAAACTCCACATGAGGCCGTGTATGAGACTGATTTCGTTTATTTCATTTCTCGATATCCATAAGTTCTAAAATTTTAAAATTGTCACCGATGTTCACCATCTGTCTAATACTATTAATTAAAAAAATTATAACTTTGTTGGTGAATGTCAATTTTCAAGGTCATCGCCAAATTCACTTGGCACCCTTAACACCGTCCGATCCTTATAACTACTCTCTTCCCGTTGAAAAATGACCGGGGCCATAGGTATCTTATAAGAAGCCCACGAAACATAAACATTCGGGAGGCGATAAAAATGCCGAGAGTGGGGGTAGGCGTCAAGCGCTCGGAGCGCGAGGTATCTTATAGAGAGGTATCTTATACGAAACCTCTACTGTATTTTTTCCAACTTTTTTTTTTCAAGAAACGGTAAAATACACGAGGCGGGGATTCCCTTATCGAAAGGTTTTTTTAGTGTTTTTCTTAGATGCGCCTCACTTGAAATGCAAAACACCATGAGGAAAGTTTGGTCTACGAATCAATATCTATCGATTAAAAAAAATTAGCCACTAGTACGTCAACAATCACTTCGTGAACGCAAATCGATGCAGTTTGCAGCTCTATAAGGATTAATTCTCTTGTCACCACATGCGACCCACGACTTCGTCACTGTCGCGGAGATTCACCGCCGGGTTATTTACGCTTCAGCGTTGCCCAATTCACTCTACACTGCCCGCGTAACGGCAATTTCATTGAACATGAGAAAAAATAATTCATCTGTTGGGAGTATCTCATGTTCTTTAGGAATTCCGGGAATTACTGATTATTATTGTTTTAATACTACTATAATTTTTTAGACGCTTCAATTGAAAAAGTCATTTTTAATTGAAAAAGTCAATGACAATTAAAGAAAAATGACGCACTGCTCCGTTTCCCTCAAGTGGTGACCAATCAAGGTTTAAAATTAGACTTAGAGTTAAATTTTGAAGGTGAAAATTTGAAATAAATTCTAAACAGAAGTTAATATGAATAATCACATTCTGGTTGAGTTCGTGCGCAGTTCAGAAGCGGCAAATAAACCCAGAGTACTATAAGAAAATTAATTTTTCATCACTTGTACGTAAAGTGAAATTTTACGCAAGTTTACACTCATTGTGATGAAAAATATCGTTCGATACTCATGGGATTTTGACTCGTGGAAGGTTTAGGATGCGGTAGTGTCTCTCGCCGAGTACGCGCTCATAACAGAATGGAGCGCACGGGAGAACCGACCGCACTCCTATACAGCTAGAGTAGGTCACCTAAAATTCAATAATTAATTACAGCGTAGATAATGCTTTCAGGACACTATTTTTTTTCTGAACATATGAGGTTAGAGGACGAGCCGAAGACGAGTTCTGTAATCATATGAGGTAGAAAAGTTCCCACGGCCGTGTGTCGAACAATATTTTTTGTCATTAGGCCCGAAAACCTCGCGTCGCTCGGTTAAATCGCGGTTTTCGGGCCTAGTGACGAAATATTTATTTTCATCACAACGTCCACAAAGTATTTTCTGACGAATGTAATTATAAAGCCACATTCGTCAGAAAATACTTTTGGACCGTGTGCTGAATGCAATTTTTCGTCAGAAGGCCCGTAAACCGCGATCTAACCGAGCGAAGCGAGGTTAGAATCGCGGTTTACCAGGCCTTCTCACGAAACAGTAGGGGAGGATGGGGCAAAACGGCCCCCCTTCAATCGTCAATATTTTCCGATTCAATAATCCGATTGGGATGAGTTAGAGCTCGTTTTGAAGAATGAAAAAATGTCTTCAAAATGAAGTTGAAACTGGGAATTTTCACAATGTCATTCACAAGTTATTGACAATTGAAGGGGGGCCGTTATGCCCCACCCTCCCCTATATTTCGATACGATTGCGGGAAAGTGTTTTTGGGCCCGTGGGAGGTTTATAGCACGAGCCGAAGGCGAGTGATATAATCCCACGAGTCTAAAAACACTTTTCCCGCGAGTATCGAACCCTATTTTTCATCACAATGTGTGGGAAGTGGGGTTTTGCGCACGCGGAGCATGCGTAAAATGTAACTTCACACACAGCGTGATGAAAAACACTTTTCCACACTTGTATCGAAATATACTATTTCGAGAATACAGAGAAAATTAAAACGTAGAAAAAAATCAATTCTTCCAAGAAAATGAGTTCTTGGCAGAAGCATTTTTTTCTCAGTGTATACTCCTTTAGCGGGACGCTTGCAATTGTTTGAATCCACCATTCAAAAATTGCAAGCCTTACAGCAATTGCTCCTTTAGTTTTTTTACACTTTAAAGCGTGGCACGGAGTCATCAAAAGCGTCAAACGGGAGAGTTGAGCGAAATAATCATGATGGTTTGACGTGAAGCGAATTGATGATAAAGTTGAAGTAGTTACATTGTTCAATTGTCCAATTCCATGAGGCCAGAAGGTTGAATTCACGTAGGGGCTAGTCGGAAATGATTCAAAGGGATCTTCACTGGGAGTTCGATCTCCATGACGGAAAATCTGAAATTCATACAATCACATTTAGGTGAGACTGCTATGAATTAGCTGTGTAGGAGTTGAATTTCAAAACACTAATTCGTAATTGTTGCTGCACACATTTTTTCAAAAATTTTGAAAGCGAAACCTTTGTACACTAATAGAGTGATTCATTTATTCCAAACGAGATTCGTTAACTATTAATTATTACCAATAATCTGAAAATGTAAATGAATATAAACATTTTACATCCCTTTGACCTTTTTTCAGTGGAAACGGAGAAGAAAATTACAAAGAGAGATCGATCATCGTCAATCAGTATCGATAAAATGAAAATCTATTTTTCTATGTCTTTTCAAATTGTTTTTCCTTCTTAAAAAATGAAGGGAGCTTAACATTCGTAATTTCTATGATCGTATTCCATTCACAGAAGCAAAAAATACGGAAAATGTAGGGAAGGAAAATCACAAATAAATTTAAAAAATCAATTTTTCAATCTTGAAAATTTAAAAACCTTTTTTTTTAGTAATGAAGAAAAACCAATATATTTTCTTTCTATTATCTAATTCTGACGGAAGAAAGTGAGAAGAGGAAGAGAAACGAAATCACCACGAAAACAGAATTTTTAATTTTTCAATGTCTCGGGAAAATTTTTAAATGATCTATTTTTTCTAATAATGAATCAAAACCCATAAATTCAATTCCTATCCTCACATTTTCATAGAATACATAAAAAAAGTAAAGAATTCAAATCGGCGATGAAGAATTTTATCGGATTAAAATTATCTAATAATAATAATTGTTGTAATCTTCTTTTAGCAGAATAAACTATTCGGTTTGAATGCATTAATAAAAAAATTTATGAGGAATCTCATTCGAATGCGAAAATGCGACTTTAGTCACCACCGCGGGAGAGTTCCGCCGTGTTATTTAGGTTCCAGCGTTGCCGAATCCACTCTACACTTCCCGGGCGCGTTTAGCGAGTTCCCAGCAACGTCGCGCAACAGGCAATTTCATTTAACGCGGGAAAAAATTGTTCACCTGTGGGAAATAATTTTTTTTATGTCGCGCCGTGCAATAAGTCGAGTGTATCGCACGCTGCGCTTCGCGCAGCCTGCTCAAAACTCGACTTCTGCACGACTTGAAATAAAATATTATAGAGCACTCGGTAATAAATTTCGTTTTCAACGAATGTGTGTACAGACCTCGCCTTCGGCTCGGCTTGTAAACTACACATTCGTTGAAAACGAAATTTGTGCCCTTGTACTCTAATGTACTATTATGTCATTAGGCCCGATAAACCGCGATTCTAACCTCGCTTTCCTCGGTTAGATCGGGGTTTTCGGGCCCAACGACATAAAATATCATATGTCACACGGTGATAAAAGCATTATCTGGCGAATGTGATTATAATGCCACATTCGCCAGATAATACTTATCGCCTGATGACATAATATACCTTTCTCCCAGAATTAAGGATACAATATTGAAAAAACAAACACTAGAATTTTCCAGATACTTCAATTGACGAATTGAATTTTGCTCAAATTTTTTCGGTCAACCAGTCGATGGCAAGATGAATAAAACGTCGTGTTGCGGCAATTCCCTCGCATGGTGACCAGTCTAGGGTTAACGCTCATAGTAGTCTCTCTTGACAAAAGCTGTGCTCAAACCCGGCATAAATAACAATAGAAAACGAATGCCAATGATTTTTATTACTCACGATATTCAAAAACTTCAGCTCCAGTCCAATACTGACGTGAAAGGAGAGTAGAAAAATAATAACCGCTGGACGAGTGATGAATAACATTGCGATAATAAAAAATGTCTGGACAATAAATAAAAAAAGTATTTATTACTGAATATTATTCGTGAGATTAATACTTCAAGAATGAATATTGCAAGACTCTAGAATTATCAATATTCCCGCATGCCGGTCTGTCACAAACTGCACTCAGACTTTGTGCTTCCATCAAAAGTGTGCTGAAATTATCAACATTACATGGACAAATAGTATATGTGCGCAAGAAAATTGATAAACGGGCTTGGATTATTGCTTAAGAGCGGAGGCAATCTTGCGAGATGATAGCTTATCTGCACGCGCTCATACTCTTGACAGTTGTATCAATAGGAATCAAAAGTACTAGGAGAGGGAAAATAAATACAATTAATCAGTGATGCAGTTTTATTATCAACGCTGTATGACGTATTACGATACAATAACAGAAAATATTTGTTAAATAAACTGTAGTGTATGTGTTCCGTCGTTAGATTTGGAGGGAGACGCAAAATCCGCTTATGCAACGCTGAAAGAAAATTTAATGAGTTTATTCCAGTGTTGACTCTAATTTTATTGTTTGACACTTTTAATTGCCCGATCAAGACGATTACAATTTGAAACAATTTTCAATGAATTTTTTAATTACAATTTTCGGTGGATAATTCCAGACAGATCATGTTTCAAAAACTCATGAAGCAAAAATTTTTTCCACTATATCATGCACGAGAATTCCTGATTAGACTAGATAAAAACTCTCTTGTTATACACGGATGGAAAAATTCAATAGAAAACCTAACTAATTCGCTAGGAAATTCTAGGGGAATTGTATAGGAATTCTATGAGGTTTCCCTAGGATTTCTATTGGATATTCGATGAGAAAAAGTCAATAGATTTCGAATTTTTGTTTGAATTTTTCTCTTGAGATTTTTTCTTTCAAATAAGAATGCTTGGTCATCAATTTTCTAAGTTTTACACTCAGTTTCTGAAACGCAAAACAAAACAAAATCCAGTGGAAAAAACGTAAAAAATTTGTGCCCGATAATTCTAATAGAAAAAATCTAGAAGAAAATTATTGAGTTTTTCTTATTGAATATCCAATAGAATCAGCCAAAAACTAATAGAAAATTTAATAGAAATTCAATAGAATTTTCTAACGAATTCGATAGGTTTTTCTATTAATTTTTTCGTGCGTGAGTTCTATTGTTTCTCCTGGAGGAATGATGGGATTGATTCCTCTTCGTCATAGTCGATGTAGGTTTGTATGACTAAAGCTAAAGTGAAATTCCAGCGAAATCATCTCAGCAGTTGTAGAGTTATTAAAATATGAATTTTCCGAAATTTTGAAACTTTTTTGATTTTTTTTCTGCTCAATGAACCAGAAATTCAAAAGAATCGGCTAAAAACTAATAGAATTTTCTCTATCGCATTCATAGGTTTTTCTATAAAATTTTTGCGTGCGTGACGAAATGTTGGAAAACATTTTCTCCCGCAAATTTCATATCCTACAAATAAAATGCTGATATATTTTGCCAGAATTTCCCGTTATTAAGATAATTTCATGATTTAGGGGAGGAATTGTTTGTTGAGGAGTTCGTTAATTATATTAAAAGTTTTTCTACCTTTCCTGGCGCACATATCGATCCTTCAGCTGCTGCTGCAATTCCTCGACAAAATTGTCGCCCTGGCACTTGACATTGCAAGGATCTACAAATGTTGTCATCCTGTGCAAGAATTGTTGAACGTATGAAGTCATTGTGCAGTAATACTTCTATCGGACATTTTCTATTTTAAAAAATGCGCAGTAAAGCTACGAAATTTTTCGAAAAAATAAAATAAAATAAAATAAAATTCGCCAAAACCTCATAGAATTTACGATAGAAGTTTAATAAATATATGGGCCAATTCCATATATTTTCCAAATTTACAGAGAATATATTAGAAATATATACAAAATACATATTTCATAATTTTTTTTATATAAATTGGGCCAATTTATTTAATATTTTTGCCAAAGGAATTTCAGGCGGACACCAATGCAAGATTAATTAATTAAAAATTACTCACCCCTTGGGATTTGTACTTGAGGGACGTAAAGGGGTGAGAATTTCTTTCTTAGCGATTTCAGTTGATTCTACACTTCTAACGATTTCTATAACATTACTGCCATATTCTAAAAACCAAGGCTTGTAGAAGAAAATGTTTAGAACGGAATTCTTTCCAACATTCTTGTCGGATATCGGTCCAACAAGAATTGTTTCCATAACTGAGAACATTTTCTACGCAAAAGCTACCGAAACATTTCCTCACAGAAATCCCTCATCACCAAGGTCACCTTAAAAATTGGATTGGATTTTGATTTTTGGTATCACCTGACAGGCCTTGGTGACTCCTCGACCATAGATTTTCTCACACTGTTGATCTAGCGATTGAACTGTACCAGGTAGAATCCTCATGGCTTTTCTGACTGCTTTGGGTTCGTTGAGTAGACATGTTCCATCTTCAGAACTATGTAGAAAAAAAATATTTATCAAACGAACGTGTGTGGGAAATCAGAGGTCGAAATCTGAGGAGAATACCTGAAAAATTCGCGAAAAGCTTCCTTACTACAATCAGACCATAGAAAACTATTCTCAGAATGTTGGATTTGGGGCGTCATTATGTATCTTCCACTTGCACACTCACCTTCGTCATGTGGCACCCCAAGTCTGAAAAAAATCCACTTATTCGCGATCGCAACGTAGATGTGAGAGCCATCAAGCGGTCTCTAAACGAACTACTCTTGGGGGCCAACCAATGAGATCAAGAGGAACCCAGTGATCTCATTGGTTGACCCCTATCATTGGTTAGCTCCCAGTGATTTCATTGGTTGGCTCCCAAGAGTAGTTAGTTTAGGGCCCACTTGGTGGCTCTCAGTCAGAATTTGTACTAGGGTAGTTCACACGGAGCGTGCGTAAAATTTCACTTTACGCACAAGTGCTGTAATAGAATTTCGTAGCGAATTCTAGCGAAACGGCGAGTTGCATGTATTTAGTGATGCCATCGAGACTACACGATAAATTTTTTGGATAGATCATCACTGTCTGAAAAAATATCAAAAGTTTTGGAATCGTTGCAATCTCGAAAGACATTGGATCGATGCATCTCGTCACGAGATGCATCGATTTTTTTAGCACGTATTTTGCGTGGGTCTCGACTTTTTCGTTTTTTTCTGTTATCGTATCGTAATGATATATCGGCGATATGAAAACCGAAAAAGTCGAAACCCAGGCAAGATATGTCCTCCCGAAATCGTGACGAGATGCACCGATCCCGTGTTTTTCGATATTGCGAAGATTCCAAAACTTTCAATGTTTTTTCTGACCGTGATGATCTATCCAAAAATTTTATGTAATCTCGACGGCATCACTGCATGTATTTTGGAGTCTCATTTTGCTCCGATGTTCCTTACAAAATTTTAGTTCTGAACCACTAACTCGCACATAAGAGCAATTCAGTAGCGAAGCGGTAAACCGGGTTAAGTCGTTTTTTACTATTAGCTAGTTTTTGACGAATATCTCGAAATCTAAAAGAGATAGAAAGATATTTGTCATGACCTTTGTTGTAGAGCCAATAGAGCGTTATAAAAAAAGTCATGAGAACAATTTTGCTATCTCTCTTAGATTCCGAGATATTCAGCAAAAACTGGCTAATAGTCAAAATCGACTTAACTCGGTTTACCGCTTCACTACTGAATTATGGCTATCGATTTAAACTTGAAAAAAATTAAAGTGAATGTCTCTCTATATTATAAAAATCCAAATCGACTTCTGGTGATGAAAATTTTGTACTCGAAATTAGGACATCACAATTAAGGGTCACAAGTGTCAAACTAATGTTTATGAGATTCACAATCAGGGTCATGAAGGTCAAATTAAGGGTCACAGGGGTCAGAATAAGGGACATGAGGGTCAGAATAAGGCTCACGAGGTTCAGATTAAGGGTCACGGGGATTAAATTGAGGGTCTCAAGGGTCAGATTAAAAGTCACAAGGGGCAGATTAAAGATGATGGGGGTCGGTGAGTGGTGCGAGCAGGGGGCGATTCATTTAGCAGAGTAAACCCATTGGTTTAACAAATAACCAAAACACCAACTCCTGAAATAATCAATCAACTCAATTAACAAAGTGTCTTACAAATGCGCCAGTTCGTGTGCGGCAGGTATTATCCCACTAAATCCGCCATTATCCTCAATGAGACCCACAGCTTTTGTATTTTGGTCGACAGAACTGCGATTGCAAGCCCCAGCCAGATATGCGTATCCTTAATTCACCAAATTAAAAATAAAAGATGATTTTGTAAAAAATAATATAGAGAACTGTTGATTATTTTTTTCTCAAACTCACCTCGAGTCTCGCTGTTACAAAAATTCTCAAAGAAAGGTGAATCTATCATATTGCAAAGATCCGATCTAAGAATCAAAATCGAGAAATCAATTTTTCGAGTCAAATTTGACAGTTCTGTTCACCATGAAAATGTCTTGAAAAGGATTAATTAAAATCAATAATTATGTCCAATCAATTCATTCAACTGATCCTAATTAATTAAAGCAACCAATTATAGAATGAAATGAATGTAAATCGAATCAACTAATTCTGGTCGATGAATTGATTAAATTAATTTCGATTGTTATTGTTGTTCTACTAATTAATTTCATGAATTACCCTGTCATAGCTATCGACGCGTCGTAATTCGGTAGATTGCTCTCATTGTAGAAGTATTTGCTCATGTGCTTCAGAGCTTTGTCTGCCTCTACTTGGATTGATTCGTCTGTTGAGTTGAATTTGTAGTTGTCGATGTAAGGAGTACCACCTTCTTCCTTCAACAGAATATTAGGTGACAATTATTCATTGAGTATACAATATACTCAATAGAAGTATATTTTATTTCCGTGGAGCTTTAATTTTGGAAATTAACATCTGGAATAAATTCTATTTCTAATAATTGAAGAAATAACTCGATGGATTAATCATTGATTTCTTAAGTGTAGCATTAATCTTCATCTCTGAAACTTTTTTCTATAGGAATTCGTCGACATGAATTTTCCAAGTTTTTCTACTCCATCTTTCTTCTCTTATCATTAACCCTCGATCGGTCGCGTCATGGCACGAGCGCCGTTCTGTCGCGATTTTTATTTTTTACGCTGAAACGTTGTTGAGAAAAAATCGGAAAAAATTGGAATTCCTACTTTCCACCATGTCAAACATTTAAACAATTTTTGTTCTGTGCATCTTTGCACTGATCAAAAATTAAAATTCCTTAAAAATTCGACTCGGTCAAAATCTCTGTGTTTAACCTCTAAATGTCAAATTTTCGCACCGAATGGAAATCAATTTTTGAATAATGTTTTCACTTTTCTCGTTTTATACTGATATTATTTGTTAGTTGAAAGTTCAAAGTTACTCGTTTAATCATAAATATATCGTTTTTTGAACTTTTTTTTTCTCAAAATGGTAAAATACACGGGACGGCGCAGCGCTCATCACGTGACCAGATACGTTTGGTGGAGAGGTGCGACCACTGGAGGGTTAAAAGAATCGAACAAAAAAAAGTAGAAAATTTGAGCCAAAGAATTTTTATACAAAATGTCCCAATACAATAAGTCGAGTAGAAAAATTGAACTCTATCGATTTTTTCTATGGACAATTTTCAATGGAACATTTCTGTTGCAAAAATGCACAAATAAGCTGCGAAATAGAATCGGCTGAAAACTGATAAAAAGTTGAATAGAAATCCAATGGAATTTTCTTACGAATTCGCTAGGCGTTTCTATGAAATTTATTTGCATGTGCACTAGCATTTCCCAAACTTATTTAATTTAATTTTATAGAATTGTTAAATTATTGACTAATCATTCGTTTTACGATTAATGATTATTATTATTAATGATTAATCAATTTCCTTCATTACCACGGAAATTATGAGTCCTGCGATGTTCAAGCGAATTTTGGGATCGCTCATCGATCTATATCGTAAATCGACAGCATTCCAAAATGATAATAAATATAGTATTGCAGAGCTCACGTCGTTCCCCTGAGTCCTGGAACCATAATCCCAATTACAGTAATAATTTAAGTCGACAAAAATTCAAGTTAAATCTAAGTTGACTATTTCAAAAAAAAAAAGTTATTGTAATATTAAATCCTTTTTTTTATGTCGTGGAAAATAAAAAATATCAATTTTTTATGTCCGAACGTACGGAAAAATTTGATCGAAAAACAATTCCGTGTGAGCTTCTTCAAAAATTCGCGTGCTAAATACTTGCCGTGGAATGAAACCAGGGTAATCAAAAAAATCGAATGGTCCACCCAAAAATTCGAATGTAGTGCTCTAATTTTGAAGATCTTGTGCTACTTTTCCGTGCAATTTCAGAATTTCAGTCACACCATAAATTTTTTGGTGACCACGATTCTAGATTTTCGCGATTTCTGCGATATTTGGAATTTTCGCGATATTAGTAATTTTCGTGATGTTTGCAATTTTCGCGACTTTCGTGATTTTTGCGACGTTCGCGATTTTCGCGATGCTCGTGACGTTCGCGATTTCCGTGATGCTCGCGACATTTGTAATTTTCGCGATCTTTGCGTCATTCGTGATTTTCGCGATTTTCGAGATGTTCGCGATTTTGTCTGCTCCTTACATTATTTTTTTTGTAAAATTTTCTCTTCAGATGGAATACGTACTTGAATAAACTGTTATCCATCACGACCAATACCTCTGGAAATATCACTGAAGGTACTATCGACTCTCGTGAAGCTCTCGGGCTTCGTTGCATGGGATTACTTGGAACTGTGGAATTCTGAGGATGATCGACTTTCAGGCTAGCAGCACTGTACACAATGTGATGGAGTTCATTAATGGAATCATTGCCATAACTACTACCAAATCTTAGAATCTGATTCTGGGGATCCCCAAAGAGGATCCCGAGGAGTCCGGCCGATTCTGGCTTTAATCTCCGCGGGATAGGTCGGATCACGTAGTCCTTTATCTTCCCATAGATGTTGAACCTATTCAACTGCTTCTTAACAACCAGGTTCATACGGTCCGCGGGGTTTTTGTAGAGCATTACATTTTCCAATGCCTTCAGAAAGGGAATGAATTAATTAAGGATATCAAAATATCTTTCACAGTTTGGCACAGACCACACTACAGATTAAATCATTTTCAATCATCAACTTTGTCAATGAAATTGCGTGAGAAAAATTTGAAAGAAATCATAAATATTTAGCGTCATTCAAATTACATTGGTCGTTTATAAATAAATAATTCAAAATTCAAAATTTGAATTTTAGCGATTATAAAACTTCCATTTGGAAGCAAAAAACATTTAAAAAATAGAGGATTTGAGTCGAGGAAATTTGATAGAATATTGTATAGAAAAATTGAATTCTATTGACTTTTTCTGTGGAGTATTTTCTATTAAACATTTCAATAGAATTGGCCAAAAATTGGTAGAAAGTTCAATAGAAATCCAATTGAATTGTCTAGCGAATTCGCGAGGTTTTTCTGTTAAATTTTTTTCGCGCGTGACAAACATTGAAACCCATTTTTTATAGAAAATTTTATTCGCTCCAAAAACGTCTTGTGGTATTTTCTCCTAAATCCAATCGTTCACTGTTAGTAAATTACTCTTGAAATTCCGTACTCGAAATTAAGACTCCACAATTAAGGGTCATCAGGGTCAAACAGGGGTCACGAGGCTCAAAAGAATGTTCACGAGGATCCGATTAAAGGTCACAAGGGTGAGATTAAAGGTCACGAGGGTCAGAATAAGGATCACAAGGGTTAGGTTAAGGATCACAAGGGTCAGATTAAAGGTCATATGGGTTAGATAAGGATCGCGAGGGTCAGATTAAGGTTCGCAGATGTCAGATTAAAGGTCAAATCGGTTAGATTAATGGTCACGAGGCTCAGATTAAGGGTCACAAGGGTCAGATTAAAGGTCACAAGTGTTAAATTAAGGGTCAGATTACAAGTCAGATTGTTATTATGGTTATGGGTTAGATTAAGGTTCGTGAGGGTTAGATTAAAGTTCGCAATGGGTTCGATATGGGTCAGATTAATGGTCACGAGGGTCAAATTAAGGGCCACAAGGGTTAGATTAACGGTCATATGGGTTCGATTAAGGATCGCGAGGGTCAGATTAAGGTTTGCAGGTGTCAGATTAAAGGTCATATCGGTTAGATTAAAGGTCACGAGGCTCAGATTAAGGGTCACAAGGGTCAGATTAAAGGTCACAAGGGTTAGATTAAGGGTCAGATTACAAGTCAGATTGTTATTATGGTTATGGGTTAGATTAAGGTTCGTGAGGGTTAGATTAAAGTTCGCAATGGGTTCGATATGGGTCAGATTAATGGTCACGAGGGTCAAATTAAGGGCCACAAGGGTTAGATTAACGGTCATATGGGTTCGATTAAGGATCGCGAGGGTCAGATTAAAGTTCGCAAGGGTCAGATTAATGGTCACGAGGGTCAAATTAAGGGTCACAAGGGTTAGATTAACGGTCATATGGGTTCGATTAAGGATCGCGAGGGTCAGATTAAAGTTCGCAAGGGTCAGATTAATGGTCACGAGGGTCAAATTAAGGGTCACAAGGGTTAGATTAACGGTCATATGGGTTCGATTAAGGATCGCGAGGGTCAGATTAAAGTTCGCAAGGGTCAGATTAATGGTCACGAGGGTCAAATTAAGGGTCACAAGGGTTAGATTAACGGTCATATGGGTTCGATTAAGGATCGCGAGGGTCAGATTAAAGTTCGCAAGGGTCAGATTAATGGTCACGAGGGTCAAATTAAGGGTCACAAGGGTTAGATTAACGGTCATATGGGTTCGATTAAGGATCGCGAGGGTCAGATTAAGGTTTGCAGGTGTCAGATTAAGGGTCATATAGGTTAGATTAATGGTCACGGAGCTCACATTAAGGGTCACAAGGGTCAGAGTACGGATTGTGGGGGTCATATGGGGGTTGGCGAGCAGAGTGAGCAGGGGGCGTAGCCCCCTAGTTTAAATAATAAAAAAATGCCACTTTGAATGAAAAAATGTCTTGTACAATCCATTCATTCCCTTCAGACGAATCATTAATTAATCAATAATCTACTTGTTATATTCACATTTTTCACTGGGATGTACTCCACTCCAGATGCAAACTTTTTGTTAGGTTTCGCCAAAAGAACCGGTGTTGTTTCTCCAACTAAAAATCCCTCCGTAGGGTCCAAATAGGCGTCAATATGTTCATTGCTCATTATCATCGTTATTCTATCGGCACGTTCGTTATTCTTCCGGAGCAAGGTTTGAATCGGAACAACTTCGTAATCCGGCACTGAAATTATTAATTCCATTTTGGTGATGAAAATCTGAACGCGTTAATAAGTGTTGCATTTCTTGTTTGTTTTCAGCACCTTGATCTCGTGGCACATGGAACACCGATTGGATTTCCTCATCTGTCATGCGATCATGCAGCTAATGACAATATTTATTCATTTTTCTCATCAATTTTTACCATTAAATAACATTTCAGTTGCGAAGCGGTAAAACGGTTCAGGTCAATTTCGAGTATTCGTCATTTTTCATTGAATATCTCATGATCTAAGGCAGATTGAAAAATGCTTGTTGGAACCTTTTTTGTAGCGCGATTTGAGAGGTAAAAAAAAGGTTATTACAAAAATTTCGCTATCTCCCTTAAATTCGGAGATATTTTCCGAAAACTGAGCTAAAAGCTGAGTCAACTTAAATGCTTTTATCATTTCGCTACTGATTTTATTATTTCAGTATTTTTTTTTTTATTTTAGCATGAAACTTTACAAGTTTATACAGCTTATAAATATAGGATAGAAAAGAAAAGAAAATAGAAAGAAGAATTATACTAACAGAAAAACCAGAGAAAAGAAAAGAAAATTTCATTATTTATAAAATAAGTGAGATTATATGTGGAGAACTAATAGTTTTTTTGAGAGAAAACCATTTTGATGCTTTTATTGGAAAGAATTAAATTAATTATTAAAATTAATCTTTAATCAATTAATTTTATTTTTCCGTAGAAAATTTATTTCTCTTCAGAAAATGTTTGATGATATTCCTTCGAAATCCACTTGTTTTCGAGACATTTGCGGAATCATCAGTATAATTTTTTCGATCCTTCATTATTCATTATTCACACCTCAACTACATTTAATTACTTGAAAATCAAAGAGTTATTCAGTTTAGAATGTGAATAAAAAACATTTCCACAAATTGCAAAGACTATTTTACCCGTTCAGACTGAATAGCCACAACCGAACTAAAAAATAGAACGATGAACGTCAACATTTTAACGAACTTCACTTTTTCAATTCACAAAAATGAAAATAAAAATGCCTCGTGCGGTTGCTTTATATCTCCGCAAAAATATCAGGGAAGAATATGTTCGCATGAAGAGATAGGAAAATTTGACGGTCACCATCACCTAATGTAGTTTTAACGATATTTTTATCACAAAATATTCACTTCCTGCAGCGAACATATTTCCGTAGATTATAAAATATTCGAATGCAGAATTTGATTATCATGATTTATTTGCGCCCCGTCATACATTTGTACAACAATAATTTGATTGCATGATTGAACTGTGGTTGATCGGACTGCAGATGATGTCATTAGCGAAGTGGTCAAACGGTTCTAGCCGATTTTGGCTATCGGCCAGTTTTCAATAAATATCTCGAAATCTGAGGGCGATAGCAAAATTTTTCTCATAGTCTTTTTAGTAGCACTCAATTCGCTCTACAAAAAAAGTTATTATGAAAAATTCGCTATCTCCCTTAAATTCGGAAATATTTCTGGAAAACTCAACTAAAAACTAAATTGACTTAAACCGTTTGATCACTTCGCTACTGATTTAGTTCTCTCTGTTTGAGACCAGTGACGCTGCCATTATCATTGTAATCACTTGATTCGTTATTTCTTCCTCGGGCAGACCATGTCCTCGTCTGTGGGTATGACTCCGGCCAACAGATTCATAAATTCCGCGAGGGGGCAGGGAGAGTCACATCCGGGAATGGCCTTTTCGATGACACGAGGGGGAATCCCCAGGTAATATCGAACCTGAAACATGAATTAGTTCGATTGAAATACCGTCGATGTCCCAGTAACTGCCACCGGCCCAATTTCTGACAGCCTCGGCGATTTTTTAATGGATAAAATTTCAAATTTACATAGGAAGAGTAAACAAAATTAAGGGCATAGTTACAAACATTGGAAATTTGGTAAGAAAATGCCAAAAAGTGGCGCGTACTGGGACCCCCCCAATTACTCATGTTTCTACTTCTGCCACTCGTATTTAAGATCTTTGACACTACACAAAAAATAGTACCTTATTTTGAGATTTCAAAGGTCTTCAAATAAGTTTTTCAAAAGTATTAATTTGAAACTTGAAATTCTTAGGGCTTCTTAGCCCCCTCTGGTATATTCATAATAAGGAATGGAAACCCTTGTCATCTTCAAAATTTCTTGACGTTTTACAGATGATCTAGTATCGTTTGGCCATTATTATTCGATAATACACGGAGAGAAATTTTTTAGAAAAATTCTAGTGCTAGCACGGGAAAAGAGGCGCAAAGTGACGGCCAGGAAAAAATTCTAGTGCCGGCACTAGAAATTTTATTGGAGAAAACGTGAATTTTTCCCCGTATTTCTGTGAAAATTTCACAGAAATCCCCAGAAATTTTACCAGAAATACCAAGAAATTTTACCTTAACAGTACTAGAATTTTTCACAGCCGGTGAATTGTAATTTTTTCCAGTACTCGTACTACAATTTTTCTAGAAAATTTCTCTCCGTGTATCACCGCTGCATCTTATTATTTTCCATCTGCCGTAAACTGGCACCGAGTGGTGGCAATAACTGGAACGTGACGTTCCGAAGGGGCAGAAAGTGGCACACAGCGGAGGTTTCCTACTTCTCAAATATTAATTTATCTAATCATTCATTTAGGTAAATACCAATCCCACAGATAAAAACGAGTATTAGCTTTTACTGAGTGCGTTGATTTAACGAATTATGAATAAATACAATTATATGACCCTCATTAAAGACACAGAAAATTAGTGGCGATAACTGGGACACCGTCAGCACCTTTTCTAGTGACTCGCGATTAAAAGTACTTGTTATAAATGAAATTGCGTTCTTATTATAGGACATTATTTCTAACCGAGAGAATTTATTTCACTTACCCTGACGTAATACTCCCCGCCACCGTCAAGTAACTCGACGAATATAGCACTGGAGTATTCGGGAACGTGGGGATAGTAAATCCCAAGTGTTTTGAGGAGGGCAGCAACATTCGTCTCGTGGCCACTGAGCAGGGAAATTTTTCTTTTGTTGGCGCCGTTGATAACACTCTCCATAGTCTCTGTAATATACTTCAGGAGCATACCTGTGTGATTAGAAAATATACCAAAATTATTTTTAGAGACTAATGAATGTTCAAATGAATAACATGAACAAGTGGGAAATTGCTTTTGTCTTTGTATAGGGTAGCTATTTTTACTAAAAAATTAACAATATGCTTTCGAATGGGCATTTTCATCACGTGGACGTAATGTGAAATTTTACGCACGCTCCGTGTGCGCATAATCGCACTTTCTACAAATTGTGATGAAAAATAGGGTTCGACAACAGTCGTCGGAAAAGTGTTTTTGACCCTTGGGAGGGTCGCGCTCGCCGAATGCGAGTGCGAGTTCGATACGAGTGCGTTAAAAACATTTTTACGGACTCGTATCAAAATATACTATTTGCACATCATTAGGGGAGGGTGAGGTAAAATGGACTCTTGACTTTTTTTGAAATGTTCATGACCTGTTGAATTGTTCATGAAATGGAATAATTTTATTTTTCAATAGAAAGAACAATGATTCCTCTTTGTGATGAGCTTAGACTGAGCTCAATTGATAAATCTGTTTCTAAGCTACGAATATTCAAAAAAAAGTCGGAAGTGTCCATTTTACTTCATCGTCCCCTATATCATTTGTCTTTTCATATTATTTTGTTCAATTGAATTATATTTCTTCTTCAATCAATTGTGTTAGATTTCGTGTGACAATTCTGGTAGAAATCAAATGACAGAATGATGCTATCTCTATTTTTTGTGACACATGCCTAAAAAATGCACTTTTCGGAACGGTTTAGTGCGTGTAAAGTTAATTTTAACATGTTAATCTGACATGTAAAGTAACCTCTCGTGCAAAAAGCTTCGCTTTACGCACTCGAAATTCACTTTACGCACGCTGTTAATCTTTCCGCACTCGTGCATAAAAACAAGCACTTTACCCCACTATCATTCCGAACAGTGAACTCGGTAGGTATCACAAAAATGGATGTGTTACGTGTGCATGCGAAAAATGCAACTTTTCGCGCTAGTAACACAATATACTGATCTAGAAAGACACTCATAGGAAAAGTTTTTTTTGACCCTTGGGAGGGCATTTCTCTCCATCGGCGATTGCTACGCATCTCTCACGAGTTAAAAAATACTTTTTTGTGATAGCTGGCTGACAAGTGCACTTTTCTGTTGTTTTCCGCATGCCGTGCGTAAAGTTTACGAGCGTGCGTAAATTGATTTTTCGTGCGTAAAGCTTCACTTTACGCATTCAACATTCACTTTACCCACGCTCTTGAACTTTACGCACTCGTGAACAAAAACAACCACTTTACCTCCACTACTTTTCCGAACGGTGGACTTGGAAGCTATCACAAAAAATAAAATGCGTCACGTTTACGCACTAGTAACATAATATACTATAGATGAAATCAATCATCAGTTGTACCTCCATTGAGTCTCTTCAGTTTCTCATTGTAACTGACGATATCGTACTCCAGAATAGTCCCGTTCAACAACAGACCCTCAGGGAAGATATGATTCGCCCATTGAGGAAGTGCAAGACCCATCGATGATTCCGACATCAGGGCGTGATAAAGGTTGAACATGTCATTGGGAATGCTCATATTCTTCCCCGTCCAATCTGACAAATTCTTAAGCAAGCCGCTGAATTCATTCAACCTCTCCTGCACTTCCGGTAGTTTTTTTACTCTCTGGAATTCTTCCAAATATCTGGAAAGATTTAGAGATGATTTAAAGAATTTATTTTGACAGATTTCGATGATTAATTAACCCTAGATTGGTCACTCTATGAGGGAAACCCCGCCGCGCATCGTTTTTCTTCAATTATAATTGACTGGCTAACAAAAAAAATTCAAAAAAATTTGGATTTGCGAATTGAAGTGTCTAAAAAATTATAGTAGTTTTTAGAACAACATATTTCCCAAAATTCCTGAAGAAAACAAATTATTTAGACAGATGAATTATTTTTTCCCATGTTAACCCTCGAGTGGTTGCACCTCTCCACCAAACGTATCTGGTCGCGTAATGAGCGCTGCGCTGTTCCGTGTATGTTACCATTCTGAGGAAAAAAAAGTTCAGAAAAATGATGTATTTATGATTAAACGAGTAACTTTGAACTTCCAACTAACAACTAATATCAGTATAAAACGAGAAGTGAAAACATTATTCAAAAATTGATTTCCATTCGGTGCGAAAATTTGACATTTAGAGGTTAAACACAGAGATTTTGACCGAGTCGAATTTTTAAGGAATTTTAATTTTTGATCGGTGCAAAGATGCACAGAACAAAAATTGTTGAAATGTTTGACATGGTGGAAAGTAGGAATTCCAATTTTTTCAGATTTTTTCTCAACAACGTTTCAGCGTAAAAAATAAAAATCGCGACAGAACGGCGCTCGTGCCATGACGCGACCGATCGAGGGTTAAATGAAATTGCCCACGACGCGACGTTGCCGGAAACTCGCTAAACGCGCCCGGGCGGTGTAGAGTGAATCGGCAACACTGAAGTCTAAATAACACGGCGGGGAATCCCCGCGGAAGTGACCAAGTCACAGGGGCGCGTTTAATGACCGGACTAGAGTTAAACGACATAGTCATTTGAAATTAATTGTTTGGGCTGACTAAATATTATTATTTATTCGTGTTTCCACAATTGAAATGAGACGGTAAAATCTATTTTTCATAAGGAAAGTACTTCTTCCTCTGCAATTAAAAAAAATTTTCTTCTCTACAAAAATGGTCTGCGCTGATAATCACGATTGATAATGATGGATAATTGATAATCATGGGTTACATAATAATCGAACAGAAAACTCACTGCGGACACTCCTCAGGGATCATGAGGACGTCCTCATTACTCGGTACGTAATTAGCGATCATCGGTTGCCAGTTCAGGTTAGGGTTCCACTGTTGAGCCTTGACTGGAGGGAATATTCCAGCTAGAACTAGTTGCAGGGACATTTTCGTTCTCTCGTAATCAGTACTGCGAGCCACGACAGACGATGGAAAGTAAATATCTCCTAGTAAGCCTCCGTAGAGGGTTCTAATCAATTGTCCGAGCTCGTACTCGCGTTTTTTGCCGTCCTGGAGTCATTGCACGTATGAAAAATTCTAGAGAAAACCTTAGCGAATTCGATAGAAAATTTTATGGGGATTCTATTACAATTCTGGAGAATTCTCGTTAAAATTCTATTAGTTTTTTACGCAGATTCGAAACATTACATAGAGATTTAATTGTTCATCTAATCAACAAGGCTGATGTGGTCAGTTGAGTAGTTATTTACCTTCTTTTATTATTTTTATTTTTTAAACTCAATTTTATGAAGAACGTAAAAAAATTCGCCATAACAGAGGCGGGGAGGGGGCAAGTCTAAAATGTAAAAAAAATATGTGACGTAATATTTGAAGGGCCTTTAAAATAATTGATCATGAATTGACGGTCTATATTTTTATAGACTTCTCTTAAGGTTTTTTTAGGTGAATTGAGATAATTACGTTGGTCAATCCTCCCACCCCTTGCGGGAAGAAATCATCATGCAGGTAGGGATCATTCGGGAACCTTTCAGCACCGTTGGTATCAGGGGCGCGAGCTCCATGGCGAAACACCTTGAAACAGAAACTAGTGATTAATTTAATTTTTTATGTTTTCAAGGACGAGATCACGGACGAAAAAATTTAATAGAAAAACCTATCGAATTCGTTAGAAAATTCTATTGAATTTCTATTGAAATGTTCTATTAGTTTTTGGCCGATTCTATTAAAATGTTCAATAGAAAATATTCAGTAGAAAAAGTCTATAGAATTCAATTGTTCTGTATAACTTATTCTATTGTGATATTTTCTGTAGAATTTCCTCGGCTCAAATTTTCCAAGTTTTTTCGTTTCGATGAGAAGAAAAAAAAAGTAGAATGAAAAATACTTTGAAAATTTGAGTCGAGCAAATTCTATAGAAAATATATGAAAAGAATAAGTTATATAGAAAAATCGAATTCTGTTGACTTTTTCTATTGAATGGTTTCTATTGAACATGTCAATAGAATCGGCCAAAAACTAATGGAAAGTTTAATATAAATTTAATAGAATTTTCTAATGAATTCGATAGGTTTTTCTGTCAACTTTTTTCGTGCGTGATGTTCTTGGATTATTTTACAATCATATAGGGAAAATTTCATAGAAAAACCTAGCGAATTGGCTAGAAAATTCTATTGGATTTCTATTTTTATACTTTTTAGATGACTCCCTTAAAAAAATTCGAAGCCTATCTGCGCGTCTTCTTTCCATAGAAATGTTCAATAGAAAATGTTTTATAGAAAAAATCCACAAAATTCGATTTTTCTGTTCAAATTGTTCTGTTGATATATTTTCTGTAATTGAATTCCTCCGTTCACATTTTCCAAGGTTTATTGTTTGATTTTTTTTATGAAAAGAGAAGAAAAAAGAACCGAAAAAAATTTTTAAAAATCAAGTAGAGGAATTTTTATAACATGTTTGAATATAAATGAATCATTATGACTGAATTATAAAAAATTGTATAGAAAGATGAAATTCTACTAAATTTTTCTATAAAGCAGTTTCCATTGGGCATTTTCTATAAGAGAAAAACGCAGTAAAAGAATCGGCCAAAGACTAATGGAATTGTTTATAGAAATTCAACAGAAATCGAATTGAATTTCCTATCGAATGCTTTTTTTTCAATTTTTCAAAATATTTCTACCTTTAGATTCGTCGCGGCACTACAGTTTTCATCCTCAATTTAAGATTTTCGAAAGTCTCAAATTGAATTCATTTATTATGAATATGAGAAACTTACCGCCGTGACGTATTTTAGATCGAATACTGGGGCTGCCCTCACGGCGATTAAACTAATGACTTGAAGAAGGAATGCCTGTAATACAGCTGTCATGATATCTGAAATATATCTTGAAAACTCCTGGAAATAGAAATAAACATCGTTCACCCTAGAAAATTTATCTGCTATTATTCATATATTGACAGGTCGTCATATAACGCACCGTAAATCAACTATCATCGGTAATTTATAGGAGAGATTAATGATCTATCTAGTTTCTTCCGTGAATTAATGAAAAAAACAACTTCAACGTAAAAAAATCGCAATACCTTGAGAACAAATTCTGTCATTCAATGAAATTTTCGTTTTATAATTTTCCAGTATTTCGTTTTATATTTTTTTGCGCCACACGTGAATTTATCTTGAATGGGTGGAAATTTTTTTAAAATCCCCAGGAATTTTACCAAAAATTTATAAATTTTACTAGAACAACCAAAAATTTTATTTACACAGCACTAGAATTTTTCATAGCCGGTAGACTGAAATTTTCCCCGTTGGGCCTAATCTAACAGGGGAGTGGGATTCATCTGTGGAGGTAGTCGCTACGCTAATAGGGCTTTCGAATTTCACTGATTTTTTCGCACCGCATGTTCTTTTCTACCGAATAGAAAATTATTATTCCCATCAGTACTCCCAATAATAAAAAAAGTTGATAAAAAAAAGTTGATAAGAAAATGTTTTTTGCTTGAATTGCGTCAAATAGTCGTTTTTTGACTGTTTCATTTTGCCCCACTCTGCTCTAGGTATAGTTATATTTATAACTATTGGTTTCTATAAGATCACATGGATTTTTTAAATATTGTTTCTGAGGAAATTCTCTCCGTGTATATTATCGTTTCAAATGTCCACAGTTTAACTACCTGAAATCCCGGGCGCGTTTGTACTGGCCAATCCTTCTCAGAACACTACACTCAAAATTCGATAATCACAGCTGATAGAATCTACGATAGAGCAGTCCAGCCATTAGTGAAACAATCCAAATGGACTGACAAAACGGCAACTCGACAAGTTTTTCGACATTTTTAAGCGACAAATGTTTATTCACATTAATTCTCGCGTCAAAATTATCGCGAATATTTATTGACGAGTGAGCATAATTCCCGTAAACGCTTGTGATTAGTTTTCGAAGGTAACCATATGCATTTTTACTACAAACAAAAAGGAATTCAATATTTTATGGAATGATTTACTCACCTGAATGATTGAATTCTTCAGTTGTCGCCCCAAGAATTCTCAAACTCCACGTGCATCGGAATATTAAATTTAATTGATGAATTTAATGTCAAAGAAATCTGGAAAATCAGGAGCTGTTGAATATTTTTTTATTCATTTTCCATTCTTTTTTTTCTTTCTTATGCTTTAGAATATTTTTACATTTCTTCAATCTTTAGTGTTTTTTTATTGTTTATTTATTTTGTTTTCTATGAGTAATTGAATAGTAAAAAACACACCTGTAAATTTCGCCATCATGTGGTGGTGAAAGCATGATGCCGAATTCAGAGAATATTCCCGCGAAATAGAATAGAACGAGGGAATATTTCGGAGAGATGTGACTGGGGATTGATCAAGCGAGTTGGAGATTCATTGAGACCCGGACCTACCTGATGACGGATTCCAACTAATGTCTCGTGTTGAGATGTGCGCCGAGTGTTATAGCCAATAAGAACAACAGCGACGAAACACGTGGGAATCACGAGTGAATGGTGGCTAGAAAATGTGCGATAACATTCTTCTATTGTGATAACAATAATTTTTGGTTTTACGAGAAATTTGTGGTCGTAAAAGGGATTGTAGGAATGTCATTTGTTAATTAGGGTAACAATTAGCGTTTAGGTTTACGACTGCTTCAGACACTTAGAGATTTCGTCGGAATTTCATCCATTATACAGATAGGCATTTGATTTATCGAGAGTACATGGCTCAGGACTCTATCAAATTACGGATACGGATGAAAAAATTTGACAGAAGAAGTGAATTCGTTGGAAAATTCTATTCGATTTTTATTCAAATTTCTATCAGTTTTTGGCCAATTCTAGTAAAATTTTGAATCGAAAGTATTCAATAGAAAAAATCAATAGAATTAGATTTTTCGATATAACTCATTCAATTGATATTTTCTATAGAATTTCCTCGGCTCAAATTTTCCAATTTTTTTCTTTGATTTTCTTGACGAGAACAAAGGGAAAATAGAGTGAAAAAATGGGAAAATTTGAGCCGATGAAATTCTATAGAAAATATCTGAACAGAATAAGTTATTTAGAAAAATCGAATTCTATTGAGTTTTTCAAAGACTAATAAGTTCAATAGAAATCCAATAGAATTTTCTAACGAATTCCCTAGGTTTTTCTATTAAATTTTTTCGGGAGAAAATCCTCTTCAAAGTTCATAGAATAGACCAAGAGTATTTTTTAAGCGCAACATCAACTTTAGTTTCTAAACATTTTTCGAGAAAACGATTTTTCTTTTAATGAAATTTAATACATTGCGTTTACGGGAGCGATATATACTCCCGCGTATGAAGAAATTCCATAGAAAACCTAGCGAATTCGCTAGAAAATTTTATTGGAATTCTAGAGGAATTCTAGGGGGTTTCTATAGGATTTCTATTGAAAAATTCAACGTGTTTTTTGTGCCGATTCTGTTGCATATTTAATAGGAAAAAGTCAATATATTTTGAATGTCTGTTCGAATTTTTTCCTTGAGATGCTTTCTATTAGAATTATTGGGCACAAACTTTCCAAGTTTTTTTTTTGCATTACAGAATCCGCGTGGAAACAACTTGGAAAATTGATGCCCAAGTGCTTCGTTCAAATCAGTAACTTTTTTTCACGTGAGATTTCAGTTTTGTCGAGAATCTTATCATCCCGGTACTTTTTCGGATTTTTCATTGTTGAATACATTTTTTCAAAAATGTTTTTAAATATTTTTTTATACTATTTATTTAAAGTATTGGAACCCGTAATATGGGTTACTTACACTGTCAGTATGTTACATGTTTTTTTCCATACACTTGAATTAGTACATTACAATTTTTTAAATACTTACATATTTCTTCTATATATTTGTAGTCAGTTCGATTCGCGATTTTTTTCGCGGTGTAGGGCCGTGAGCAGTTAGTTTTTGCTAATTTATTTAGTAGTTCTAATCGTTGCTGGCTGTACTTTGAACAATGCCATAGGACATGTTCAAAATCTTGAGCTTCTTCTCCACAAGAACAGCTTATATCACTGATTATTCCAACCCTTTCTAAGGAGGCTGCAAGGTGGTAATGATTGGCTCTTATCCGGTTAACAGTTACTATTTTCGAGAATTTCTGCAATGAATTTGTGAACAATGTTTTATTCAATGCCAATTTCTATTCAATTGGCAACACTGCACATGTGTTCCATGTGATCTCGCAAATTCGGTCCGAGTAGTCACTTGAGCGGAGTGTTGCCAGACGTCAGGAACGTGCGGTGTCAAACTACCCAATTCAACATTTAATTTCCTTAAGAAACGATAAAACATCTGCTGAAGATAACGAAAATGATATTCATTGTTAATTGTTCATCATTCGTTGCTGACTGTTTTGCACACTTGCAGATTCTCGTATCACACGAGGACGGTCTATTTCTGCCCAGAATGTTCTTCACAGAGTTGGATTAAAAATTTCTTTATTTATTTCTAAATGAATGAAGCATTTCAGTAGCGAAGCGGTAAACCGGGTTAAACCGATTTTGACTATTGGTCAGTGTTTGACGAATAGCTCGAAATCTAAAAGAGATAGAAAATTTTTGTCATAACCTTTTTTATAGAGCCAATTAAATTTAGTCATTAACGACTATTTACAAAAAATTACAGGCGGCTGTATCTTCGATACGTCCATGGTCTTTCCTTCTTTTCCGAATTTCCTGCAAACTCCTTGAATTCTCTCGAAATGTCTAGAATTTTCTAGAATTCCGATAGAGGGCGCTGCACATAAGGACCGTTTCCCAAAATAACCCCCATATTGAAACCGTAGACGTATCCACGTCAAAAGAAAGAAGAAAATGAATGAATTGCAATATAATACACTACACTGAGAGAAAAATATAATTCTTCTGACTATATTCCATCACCATCGAATTATAGTCAAAAAGTCGTCATTTTGTCGCGTGCAAAATGATTCAAATTTCGGCTGGTCCGCGTACCCCGAACGTCCGTGTATGGTGGCCTTTAAATGATCTGCTAATCCCTCCTCTGTTCGGATTCTATCATACTTGGGGGAACAAATGTACTATTGTTCTCATCATTTTCTTCATCTCGTTCGCATCTGGTCGAAATTTGACCCTTGTGACCCTTGCGACCAATAGTTGACCCTTGCGGCCCTTGAATGTCTTTCCCCTGGATCGCCCTCCATCCCCGCCTTATACGTGTCACGTGGTCGTCACCCCACATGACAAATTGCTGTTCTGTCGGCACTGTTGCCGCAATTGAAGAGTAATCCACGAATACCGTCACAAAGGTAATAAAACCTCATGTTTAATCTAAAAACATAATTAAGACTGGTGGAGGAGTGATGTGACAAGACTTTAAACCGTTTGTTTCCCCATTCTGATAAGAAGGAAAAATTTTTTTTCCGTGTAATGATGATGATGTTGCAGAGTGTCTCAACGTTATCAAGATATCACATAGGATAGGAGTGGCACAGTTGAATTCAAACTCTGACACCGGTATTTATTAAATAACTACTTAATTAATTAATTTAATGAAAATCAAAGGGTAGAAATAAAAACTAAATTCATAAATTTTAATTCGGAGTTGAGAAAAACCTATCGCATTCGTTAGAAAATTCTATTAAACTTTCTATTAGTTTTTGGCTGATTTTATTGACATGCTCAATAGAAAACATTCAAGAGAAAAAGTCAACAAAATCGATTTTTCTGTATAACTTATTCTTTTCATACATTTCCTATAGAATTTGCTCGACTCAAATTTTCCGAGTTTTTTTCATTCTATTTTTGTTTTCTTCTCATCAAGAAAATGAAACGAAAAAACTTAGAAAATTTGAGCCGAGGACATTCGATAGAAAAAATCTCAATAGAATAAGTTACACAAAAAAATTGAATTCTGTTGACTTTTTCTACTGAATATTTTCTATTGAACATTACAATAGAATCGGCCAAAAACTAATAGAACATTTCAATAGAAATTCAATAGAATTTCCTAACGAATTCGGTAGATTTTTCTATTAAATTTTTTCGTCCGTGAATTATCATCAATCAATATTCATAATTAATTATGTTGTTATCATTAGTACCGATTAACAGCAATTAATCATCACTAATTGACCAATGTTAATCAATTAATTAGTTGACTAGTCAGTTGGTCATTTAATTGTTGAATTAATGAGAATTATATAAATGCGAAAAAGCAATTGATTCAAATTAATTCGTAGTAATATAAATAATTAATCATGGTTAATTAGTGAATAATTGATTATTAATTAGACTTCACCTTCCCAGAATACCAAAAAAATCCGGTTACATGAGTATTTCAAAGATAAAACACTTGTCATGAATGAAACGAGTTACGTGAGCAAAATTTTTTTCAGTATGAGTTCATCATAGGAAAACTATCAAGCGATCAATCGAAACGTCTCATTGTTAGTTCTGCATAAAAATGTGGAAAGTGAGTTTCCTCATGCTCCTCGCAGCAACATCCGTGTTATCGGCACCAGAACTTCAACTGGTTCATGTTGTAAGTGATAATTTTGATGGAATAAGTGGAATAGTCCGTGGATTTAAGGTATTTCGTGTGATAAGTCAAGATCATGAAAAATCATTGCAAAATTCATGGGGGATATATCTGAGCTTGCCGCCTCGCGGGGAATTTTTTCGAATTTTTTCTCCATCTCGGTCTCAAGAAAAAAAATTAATTTTGGATGGTTTCGTGACTACTCAGGCTGTACGGCCCGGGTTACCTCAATTTCAATCAGGGAAAGTTTAATATCTCTCAAAAATATAATGAAGTATTGAAAATAAAATTGAAAGTAATATAGAAATAGAATAAAAGTATTGCTGGATTTCGTGATAAAGTTATTTGAAAAATGATACGAGAAATTATGAGTTTCGGGATTCTATCCGTCGAGGCTCACGTGGCAACAATGTCTTCACCGTAAGTGGCGCGCAATTCAAATGTCAATATAATCGCTGGAACATCAAAAAATGGAAAAATTCGTGGCGGAATTATCAGAGTATTCTGCATCATGGGCAATTTTTTCGAATTTTTTCTCCATCTCGGTCTCGAGAAAAAAAATGAATTTTGGATGGTTTTGTGACTCCTCAGGTTGTACGGCCCGGGTTATCTCAATTTCAATCAGGGAAAGTTTAATATCTCTCAAAAATATAATGAAGTATTGAAAATAAAATTGAAAGTAATATAGAAATAGAATAAAAGTATTGCTGGATTTCGTGATAAAGTTATTTGAAAAATGATACGGGAAATTATGAGTTTCGGGAATTCTATCCGTCGAGGCTCACGTGGCAACAATGCCTTCACCGTGAGTGGCGTGCAATTCAAATGTCAATATAATCGCTGGAACATCAAAAAATGGAAAAATTCGTGGCGGAATTATCAGAGTATTCTGCATCATGGGGAACTTTTTCGAATTTTTTCTCGATCTCGGTCTCGAGAAAAAAAATGAATTTTGGATGGTTTTGTGACTCCTCAGGCTGTACGGCCCGGGTTACCTCAGTTTCAATCAGGGAAAGTTTAATATCTCCCAAAAAAATTATGTACTATTGAAAAAAAAAATAGTGAGCGATAAATCAAATATTGCCTGAAAGTACGCGTGAGTTCCTGAATTTTTCTGGAATTCGTGATAAAGTTATTTTAAAAAATTATACGGGAAATTATGAGTTTCGGGAAAAATTCTATCCGTTGAGGCTCACGCAAAGAGGATTGACTAAAGATCCTCTTTGGGCTCACGTGTGGCAACTACGCCTGCACTATGAGTGGCGCGCAATTCGAATTTCAATATAATCATTGGAGCATCACGGGAAAGGTATAGGTTAGACCATGGAGCTGAGAGAGAGAAAAAACTGTCCACAGGTTTACCAACTCAAAAAAATCATAGGAATGATCCATGCGGCATTGCCATGTCTCTGATGCATTTTAATATTGTTTGAATAATTAGAAAAACACCGAATAAAAATAATTTGACACTCGTAAGCGATGTGAAAAATTGAATTAATCTGGTTAAAAAAATTGATATTCGAGGAATGTTGAAATGCGCTCTGAAGTGGCTACTTGAAAATTGAAAATTTTCGCGTTCAGAGATTGAATCAGCGCTCGGGAACAGTGAGACTCCCCTTCAGTTTTGCCCCCTGGAGACAGACGAAATACCTTAACCGTTTGAAATATCCGGATTTGATTCAATTTGATCATTTGCATAATTCAACGCAGGTATTCTCGCATAAATTTTATGCCCCCGTGGAAACTACCAATGGCACCATATTCCCTGGAATACTGGATTATCAACATTTCCTGGAGCAAGCAGTTGACATGGATAATGTATGTTTTTTTTAGAAGAACAAGATTTTGGATTTTGTTTTTTGAAAATATCTTGGTAATGAGTAGATTCATGACAAAATGTGAAAAAAACAAAATTGTGGAGAATTCAATTTCCAACAGAAAATGTAGAATAATATTTTTTGATAAATGTTTAGTTTTGGTAGGTATTTGAGAATTAATAAAGTGAAAATTTCGAATTTTTTGGGAAAGATAAAAATTTTTCCACAAGTGGGGGGTCTAGACATAAATGTCGGAAGACATTTTTAGTTGTAAAAAAATTCATTTTCATCAGCAAATGTATTTTGTTTATAAATACGTTCATACTTCTCATGATAAACAAATATCAAAATATTATAATCTTGAAGATGTAACGAAAAATATTAAAATTGTTTTTTTTTTGTATTTTACATTTAGAAAATATCTTGGTGGTGATGAGAAAGTTTTTTTTTTTAATTTTGAAGATATTGAAATTTTCAACAGAATTTTTCAAATTTTCCAACTTTGCCAGAAATGTCAAGACGTTTCTTAATAGAAAATTGAATAAATAAATTTATTGTATAAATTAATTGAATTTCCAAGAATATTTTGATATTGCACACTCTCGTCACAAAAAATTATCAAAATCCTTATAGTTGTCAAGATATTTAACACAAAGTCAAAATTCCAAATATTTTCAAAATTATTCTCGATAAATATACCGACTACCATTGACCTTTGCAGAAAGCAAAAATGGACATGTTCAATTTAGGCGTATTTCTCCGTCAAAAATACGACCCCTTCCTCGGTAAGATCTACCACCCCGATTTTATGCAAATGCGGACAACTGAGTACGTGTTATCAATGATATCTGGGATGCTCGTTAATGCTGGACTGTGGCCGCCGGCTGAAGTGCAAAAGTGGAAGCAAGACCTCGACTGGCAGCCGATACCCACTGGTATATTCACATTATTTATTATTTCTTCTTTATTCATTACAGACTCAAGGCCAGAGTGCAATTACAGGGTCCAATAATTGCAGAATATTTTATAAAGCAAATTTACACTTATGTACATAACATACGACAAGTGGAAAATTGCTCTTGCATTGCATATAGTATAGTTATTGTTGCTAATAAATTAGCGATATGCTTCCGAATGGCCATTTTGCACATAATTGACTTCTATCATGTATAATTCATTGTTTATTTCATTTTATTAAATTGACTAAGATTTCTTTTCAACTAATTTTGTCAGATTTTCAACTTAGTTGAATGTTATCATCATCATTATTCTTATTATCCCTTTCTTCTATACAACCGATTGTCTTTTTTACAGTTCTATCTCTCCCCTCAGCCCTTCGATAAAATGTTAATAGAAAAATTTTATTTACACATGCTTGAATGAATTTGAAACGTCACATTTGAAGAAACCATCAGTAAGCTCACTTTCAGGGGAATTCATGAAGAATTCGAAATTTTCAACAATCATCATGAAAATCAAATCAACCAAAATAGCTATCGTAATCATCTTTTAACTTGGACTTAATGGCATTAAAACAAACATTTTAAGCTATGATTGAATTCATGTGAAGCATGATATTCAACGATATCGCCGGAATTCTGATTTTCAAAAAATAAAAAATTTTTGCAAATTTTCGAATAAATCAAAATAACGATTATTACTATCGCCTTCATCTTCGAACTCGGTGAAAGGGACATCCAAACAAATTTTTTAAGCCATCATTCAATCAATTCAGAACATTTTTTTTAGTTATCGTGAGACAACCGATTTTCGAAAAAATGGTAAAATTAAAAAATCTAATGGATGAATTGAATGTTAATTAATGGAAGGATTAAAATTTAATTAATCAATGTTAAAATTTAACTAATGGAGGCCCTCGGTTTCACCTCGGCCCTCCAACTTCACACTCGAGACAATTCCGTCGCACTCACATCGAAATATACTATTATTTACTATTATTAATCACAAAACGAACAGAATGAATCGATTGCTCTCCTTCCATTTCAGAATATGAACCTGCAGAGAGAGATACATTACTAATGGGCTATCTTTGCCCGACATTCAAAGCTGAGGAGGAAGAATTGAACGGTAATTTCTCATCAGTTAAAGCCGGGCACGAGGAGTTCTTTAAATACATAAATTCACATTATGAAAAGGAGCTGAAAACACCTTGGGAGATAGCCATGTTGTATTCGTGTCTTGAAACGATCGTAAGTGCACACCTTATCATTTACTGAATGACAGGAACAATTATGAATAAAATTATTCTATTACTTACAAAATAAGTTGACTATACTCAGCAATTTTTACATTATTATTTACCCTAGTTGGTCACTATATGGGATCTTGCGACTTGCTCATCTCCCCGGGGATTCCCCGCCGCGTCATTTAGTCTCGCACGTTGCCGAATTCACTCTCCACTGCCGGGCGCGTTTAGCGAGTTTCCGGCAACGTCGCACAACGGGCATTTTCACTGAACTTGGGAAACAATTATTCATCTGTTATTATTATTTTACTCAATTTCCCACTTGAAAAAATTTAATATAAAAATCTGGCGAATTCGATAGAAAATTTGAATCTATTGAATTTCCATTGAACTTTCTATTAGTTTTTGGTCGATTCCACTCAACAATTCCACAGCTAATCTGCACGTTTTTTCGTCAATAAGAATATTCAACGGAAAATATTGTATAGAAAAAATCAATAGAATTTGTTTTTTCTATTCAGATCCTTTCTGCAGAAAATTCCTGGGCTGAAGTCTTATAAATTTTATTGTTCTTCTTTTTCTTAATGAAAAAAGAAGAATAATACAGCAGAAAAAACTTAGAAAATTCATATTGTGAAATTCCGATAGAAAATGTCAATAGAAAGATGAAATTCTGCTGATTTTTTCCTGTAAAATGGTGTCTACCTGACATTTGTCATTAAAAAAAAATTAATAAAATTACGAAATTCTTCAGTTGAATCGGCCAAAAACTAATAGAATTATCAACAGAAATCAAATAGAATTTTCTAACGAATTCGGTAGATTTTTCTGCTGAGTCTTTCCTAGGATTTTTCGCGTGATTTCTTCGCCGATTAGTTAATTAATTAATTCAGTAGCGAAGTGGTAAAGCGGTTTAAGTCGATTTTGATTATCGGCCAGTTTTTAGTGAATATCTCGGAACTTAAGGGAGATAGCTAAATTTTCATTACGACCTTTTTTGTAGCACTCAATTTTCTCTAGAAAAAAGGTTATTACAAAAATTCCATTATCTCCTTTAGATTCGGAGATATTTTTCAAAAACTCAACTAAGAGATAAGTCGACTTAAACCACTTTACCACTTCGCTACTGAATTAATCAAGTGAATCATTCATTCCTTATATTTTTTTAATCATTCTTATATCAGGCAGCTCAGAATGTCACACTCCCTCCCTGGGCGAGCCACATCTTCCCCAACGGTGAAATGGAGAACGTAACTCTCGCAGCTTATGAGACCCTCTCAAAGACTCGTCTCCAAAAGACACTGAACGGTGGTCCATTATTGAAGAAAATTCTCAACGACTCACTGGCGCATCAGAACCGCAATGGGACGAGTAAATTGAAATTGTTGATGTACAGTGGGGAGGACAGAAACGTCATGGCATTGCTGCAGAATTTGGGGGCCTGGACACCTCACATTCTGAAGCAAGGAGCTTCAATCATCTTTGAAGTTCACAGAGACTCGAACTCGCCTGAATATACAATCAAGGTGAATCCTTTTTTTTTGTTTCCGAATGGAAGCTTTGTAATCGTTCAAATTTAAGCTTTGGATTTTTTGTGTTATATCGACCCAGAATGATTCAAAAAGTCCGATAATGCAATTTTTAGACGGTGTCCGTACAGTTTTTCTTCAATTGCTCACTAATGAATGGACAGAATTCAATCCTTTTTTTTCAAATGTAGGTATTGTTGAGCCCTGTCGATCGCCATTAATTAAAATTCAATTCATCGATCAGTTTTTTAATTTTCGAATTTTTTCCGAAATCGGTTGTCCTATGATAACTAAAAAAATGTCATGAATTGATTGAATGATGGCTTAAAAATTTGGTTTCGATGTCCTTTTGACCGAGTTCGAAGATGAAAGCGATAGCAATAATCGTTATTTTGATTTATTTGAAAATTTGCAATTTTTGTATTTTTTGAACATCAGAATTCCGGGGATATCTTTGAATATCATGCTTCAAATGAATTCAATCATAGCTTAAAATGTCTGTTTTAATGCCATTAAGTCGAAGTTAAAAGATGAGTACGATAGCTATATTGATTGATTTGATTTCTATGATGATTGTTGAAAATTTCGAATTTTTCATGAATTTCCCTGAAAGTGAGCTCTCTGACGGTTTCTTCAAATGTGATATTTCAAATTCATTCAAGTATGTGTAAATAAAATTTTTCTATTAACATTTTATCGAAGGGCTGAGGGGAGAGATAGAACTGTAAAAAAGACAATCGGTTGTATAGAAGAAAGGGATAATGAGAATAATGACGATGATATCATTCAACTAAGTGGAAAATCTCACATTAGTTGAAAAGAAATCTTATTCAATTTAATAAAATAAAATAATAAATAAATGATAAACAATGATTAACAATATCGTTTGTGTTCTCTTTTGCAGATGTCCTATCTCACTGACGTTGACTCCTACAAACTGGTTCCCCTCAAGTTGAATGATTGCGGAGAATACTGTCCATTAACCAAATTCGGTAGTATTCTGAAGGATATTCTTCCGACGGACGAAAAATTCATCTGTCATCAGAAACAAGTCCTTCCGACACAACCACCAACATCATCGCCCAACGATAATTCAGCGTCGAGATTGTCATTCGTGATTAGTGTCCCTGCGATACTAATGGGTCTGCTCTTGACTTAAATTGGATAATTATCTTCGACTCTTTTCCTGGTTTCCTACGCATCCGTGATGTGGAAATGATGGGAATAAATCACTCGATGATCGTCTTCCGATTATTTTTCGTGATTGCAAGGAGGAAAAAAGAAAAATTCAGGGAATTCTCAGTAGTAATACCACGAGACCTCCAAAATTATCGGATATTTCCCGATTGTTTTGTTGCGTAACAACGAGAGGGAGAAGTTTTGCAGATTAAAATCACGAGTGCGCAACGCGAGGGATTTTTGTGCAAAACTTATCCCGATGGTTGATACGCAGGAAAACATGAGGGAAATGTTCGATTAATTTTGGAGGTCGAGTGGTATTCAACGGATTATTTTTGGTAATTGGATCCTTCCCAAACCGACTCATTTTGACTTTCTTGATGACTTTCTTTCATTCCAGAGGATAATATTTGACAGTTATTTGGTTAGAGAAACAATTGCGGAGCTAGAGGGAAATTATCAAAAGCTAGGGGGAAACAACCGCTGTAATTTTAATTGGGGATTACTTCATGTTATTGAATACTGAACTCTGATTGGCCCAGGGAAGGCCAGATCCGATTACCAAAAATAATCTAATTAGTACTTAGTCGTGATTAAGAGGAGTTACAATTTAATTATACAAATTTATAATGAGTTATAATAATACGAATGAATAGAGATTATTCACAATTATGTAATCAACTAATTTACCTTATGTTAACGTAATTTAATCAGTAATTGAAGTAGTTTTCAATTTTCAATTCTATTTCCATGATTTATTCAAATTTCATATTGTTCTGGAAATCGAATCTTCAAATTACGAAAGAGATTCTTCAGAAATAACACTTTCAACTGAGGGAATTTAATAATTTAAAAAGACAAAAAGTCAAATAAATTGATGGAATTTTCTAATATTTAAAATTTAGTCGTTATAAAGAGAATTTACAAATTAATTATACAAATTGGTAGCGAATTATTACAATATGAATGAATAAAGTTTATTCACAATTATGTAGTCAACTAATTTACCTTACATTAAAGTAATTTAATCAGTAATTAAAGTATTTTTCAGTTTCCCATTCCATTCTTGTAATTTGTTCTAATTTCAAATTGTTTTGGAAATAGAATCTTCAAATTACGAAAGAGACTCTTCAGAAATGAAACTTTGAACTGATGGAATTCAATAATTTAAAAATACAAGAAGTCAAATAAATTCATGGAATTTTATAATATTAAAAATTTAGTCGTTTTAAAGAGCATTTACAAATTAATTATACAAATTGGTAGAGAATTATACCAATATAAATGAATAAAGATTATTCACAATTATGTAATCAGCTGATTTACCTTAAATTAACGTCATTTAATCAGTTATTCAAGTATTTTTCAGTTTTTTTGTTCAGTCTTAATTGAGAAATCGCCCATTGATGAATTGAATCAATTCCATTTCCGTAATTTATTTAAATTTGATTCCTTTCTTTCAACTGAGTCTTCAGATTGCAAAAGAGATTCTCCAGGAATAAAACTTTCCATGTACAAACTTCAAGATTTTTAGTAACAAAATTGTTCATATGGATCTCCCACGAGTTTAATAATTTCTCTGCTGGCTTAACGATCCCCACATGAAAAAAATCTAGGGATGGCTGCGCGGGGTCCGAGTTCATGATGCTGCGGTATTTTTCCAATGTCATGTAGAGAGTGTCCAGGATGAGACACATTTTCGATTGACTTGACACGATGAATGGGGATTCCTCTAGTGTTGAATCTTCGTCGGATAGTTTTGATAAGGACTGGAAGAGGTAGGAGATTATTTCTTCACAAATTGGTCGACAGTTGCAAAGCTCGAGGGTTGTTCTCAAGTGGTGATACCTTTTTACACCCTGAAACAATGAGAAAAATGAAAATTAATAGGAGAAAAACCATTGATTTCAATTTGATTTAGATAAAATATCTTCGCACATTAATTTCTGAATTTCCCAAATCATTAATTTTTAATTATGTCAAAAACTTGGAGATTAGAGAAAAATGAGGTCCAAATTTTTGTAAATAATTTAATTCTACACGAACATATATCTCTGTATTTTCTTCTAAACGTGAGAAGTTCCTGATATATTTTTCAAAATAATGCAATAAAAATTGAGACCTTCTGGTGGAAATTAGAAAACATTGAAAATTAATTCCTAAATATCTCCACAACTAGGTTTTGAGAAAAATACCAAATGAACAATTTATTCTATCTAAATAAAGAATTATTACATATTAATAAACTCATTCTATTTATTGTTAATCTCTATATATTATAAAATACCAAATAATCGACTTCTGGTGATAAAAATTTGGTACTCGAAGTTAAAATCCTACAATCAAGGATCACAAGGGTCAAAATAAGGATCACGAGGGCCCAATTAATGGTCATGAGGGTCAGAATGAGGGTCATAAGAGTCAGATTAAGGGTCACATAAGTCAGTATGAGGGTCACAAGGTTCAGAATCAGGGCCTTGAAGGTGAGAATAAGCGTCATGAGGGTCAAATTAAAGTTCACCGGAGTCAGATTAAGGGTCATGAGGGTCAGAATGAGGGTCATAAGGTTCAGAATAAGAGTCACGAGGGTTAGAATAAGGGTCACAAGTTTCAAAATCAGGGTCATGGGAGTCAGAATAAGGGTCACCGGGGTCAGAAAGAGGGTCATAAGGTTCAGAATCAGGGTCATGAGGGGTAGAATAAGGGTCACAAGTTTCAAAATAAGGGTCACGAAGGTCAGAATAAGGGTCATGAGGGTCGCAAGGTCCAGAAGCTGGGTCATGAAGGTTAGAATAAGGGTGATAAGGGTCAGAATAAGGGTTACAAGGTTCAAAATCAGGGCCTCAGGGCCATGAGGGTCAGAATAAGGGTCACCGGGGTCAGATTACGGCCCATGAGGGTCCATTAAGGGTCACAGGGGTCAGATTAAGGGTCATATGGGTCAGAACAAAGATGATGGGGGTCAAATGGGGGTTGGCGAGCGAAGTGAGCAGGGGACGTTGCTCCCTACTCTAATGCTATTATATTATTAGAACATTTCACAGAATGATTTGACCCCATAAGTCAAATTTTAAAAAATCACCCCGTAATTGGCCTTCTGCCATTAAGTCTTGACACATAAATAAATGAATGAATAAATAACTAAACAAATCACTTACCACGTGACTCTCCCCGGCATTCCTCTCGAAGACATTGACCACAGTCTGCACCGAGCACTTAACAAAGAAGTCCAAATACCCAGGATACTTGTACTCCTCCACAGCAACAGTATCAATAAATCCCAAAATCTCCTTGACCGCCCTCTGCACAATGCCGCCCTCCCTCCAGCAATACTCAACCGAGTCCTCAGCCTCCAGAGCCCTCAGTGCGTTCCTGACGATGCTCAAGGCAACCGAAATGACGGGCAAATCCTGGAGAATTCCAGACAACTCCACCGACGAGATGGCCTCGTCCTCCTCTTCCTCGATCTCCTGCACAAACTCACAGACTTCCTGGAGAACATCTTCAAGACCTGGAGGCAATGGCTCCGCGTCGCCCTCGAGACCGCTGTCCTTGGTGGAGTCATTCCACTCATAAGACCCCCCGAAACTCATGTCTGGGGTCATCTGACTCGCCTCTTCGTCACTGTCAGGGATCACTGTCTTCCTCGGATAATCCTGGGGTAAATCCCGATTGTCGGAGGCCCAGGTTCTGCTGGGGGATTCAGAGAGGACAACTGCACTGTCATTTTCCTCTAATTTCCTTCTTTTCACTTGACTTTGTGAGGATTCAGAGTTTTCCTGAGGCTTCCCCTGCCCTGAAGACGAGGATTTCTTCGGGTTCTCGTGCTCCCCAGGTCCTTTTGGCTTCTGGAAGCCTGCTGACACCTCCTGATCCGTCTTCTCCAGAACAATCGTGTTCTTGGCTCGATTTCCTGAAGATTCCGAGTCCTTCAGGTGTTCGTTTCCCCGTGAAGACGAGGATTCCTTCGGTTTCTCGTGTTCCCCAGATCCTTTTCGAGATTCCTGAGCACCTGGGGGCACCTCCAGGATCATCGTGAGGGTGGGGGGCAGGAGGGAAGGCTGTCTAGTCTCCGTAGATGACCCCCTTGGAACCTCCACCTGGGATGTGAGCCTCGGGGGCGTGTCTTCTTCGATCTCCACGAGGGCCTTGAGGATCCTCTTCACCTCGGTGATTGGGACAAGTGGGGAGGCTGTCATCAGGGACTTCGCCCAGACGATGGCGTTGATGAACTGGAGATGGGTCTGGCAGCTGTTCAAGGACGTCAGGAGGGGCGCTGGGGGGAGCTGCGGGAAGTGAGGGGTCAGAGGGGAGGTGCAGTGGGGACAGTGGGGGCAGCCGAAGGTTGAGGAGGAGGAAGGGTGCAAGCCTCGCCAGAGGTCGTAGATCGTGGGGGAGGAGGGGGATGCTGGAAATTAAGGGGTCCGAGGGGTTAGATGAGAGAATAGGAAAATGGGATCGGAAAATTGTTGTTAGTTTTTCTTGGGGTTTTCAGTTTCAGGCATCACGTAGGAATAGAAAATACCATGGAGAATTCGAACATTTCCTGTAGGATTTTTCAAATAGGATTTGCTAGAGGATTTCTTATGGGATTCTCTATCAGGTTTTTTTTATTGGATTTCGAACAGGATGTCTTATAAGATTTCATATGAAATTTAGGGTCATAAGGGCCAGAATGGGGGCCAAAACAGTCATAAGGATCATATAGGGTACGTGGAAGTAATATGGGGTTCATGTGGAGACATTTGGGGGTTATACAGAGGTCATAGGCGGCCCATATGAGGGTCAGATGAAGGTCATATGAGGATCAAAAAACCTTCATATGACCCCCATATAATCCCTCTATATGACCTCTATATGACCTCCATATAACCTCCATATAACCCCTATATGACCCTCATATTACCCTTACACTTCTGACCCTCATTGTGACCCTTACGACCCACTCAATTTTATAGGAAATTCTGTTCAGAATCTCAGATAAAAAACCTGATAAGGAATCCTACAGGAAATCTTATCTGGAAAATCCTATAGACAATGTTCGAATTCGCCATAGGATTTCCTACGGGAAATTCTGTAGCATATGCTATAGGAAATTCTATAGGATTTTTTCATACGTGATAAATTAGTCGAATTTGTTAGAAAATTCTATAAAATTTCTATTGAACTGTTCTATTAGTTTTTGGCCGATTCTATTGCAATGTTCAATAGAAAATATTCAGTAGAAAAAGTCAATAGAATTCAATTTTTCTATACAACTTATTCTATTGAGATATTTCCTATAGAATTTCCTCGGCTCCAATTTTCTAAGTTTTTTTGTCGGATTTTCTTGATGAGAAGAAAATGAAAATAGAATGAAAAAAAATTAAAAAATTCGAGTCGAGCAAATTCTATGGAAAATATATGAAAAGAATAAGTTATATATAAAAATCGAATTCTGTTGACTTTTTCTATTAAATGTTTTCTACTGAACATGTCAATAGAATCAGCCAAAAACTAATAGAAAGTTTGATAGAAATTCGATGAAATTTTCTCACGAATTCGATACCTAGGTTTTTCTATTAAATTTTTTCGTGCGTGAAAGGTTGCTTCGTCAGGAAATGTCGCCAACTCACGTATGAAAAAATTCAATAGAAAACCTAGTGGATTCGCTAAAAAATTCTGATGGAATTCTATAGGAGTTCTAATTGTATTTTACATGTTTTTTTCGCTGATTCTATTTCAGATTTGATAGAAGTCAATATATTTTGAATTTCTGTTCGAATTTTTCTATTAGATTTATTGGACACAAATTTTCCAAGTTTTTTCCACTGAATTGTGTTTTGTTTTTTTAGGCCGAGTGGTGTGCCGTAAGAAAAAGTTTCTGGCAAGAATTTTTTTTCGCGTTGGGAATGGGCTGTACTCACTCGGGAAATCCTTCTCAGATTGCTTCTGCTTCTTGGTGACTTCATCGAGCTTCTCGAGAAGCTGCTGGTAGATGGACGGTCCAAAATTCTTCCGACTATTCATGTTCAGTTTTGATTAATTTAGGTTGCAATTGAAATCTGGTGATTCGCACGTCAATCTTTGGGATTTATCGAGGTTTTTGTCCCTTCAATTTGCAGTATTTTTTGTCTAGTTACATGACATCAACTATTTGATGATATTTTCGGATCAACTGGGGATAATTCTACCAATTTAAGTCAAATTCATCCACCGATTGAATTCGAATCGTTCAATTCTTTGTTGTTCTTTGTCAGCATGTGATTTCTTGGAAGAAATCTTCGTCTGAAGTTGCATCAATGGTTTGAATTACTCAGTGAATTGTGACTAACTTCACTCTTCACCACTTCACAACATCAATATAGGGATATTTCATTTTTTCAAAGAAGAAATTCAAATGGATTGATTGGTCTACAAGAAGCTATATGAGAAATTCTTAAATTTTATTATTTCGTTCAATCATTTCGTGCAATCACCGCAGTAATTTGATTGATCAAAAGACGCAAATGCGATGATGGTGTTGACGGAACAGAGTTGGGATGTCATTCAAGGTCATCTTCGCATTTTGAATTACTCATTTCACATTCTTTTTTCATAAAAAAGACCAATTTGAAGTTTTATTTTGAATGTGTGATTGCTTCCATACCTTCACGAGGGTTTTAATTAGCAGGAAAAAATGATTTGAAATGATAATAACAAAACAAACAATAATTAAATTATGAAATAGTTGAATGCAGCCGAAAACCCTAATTTCTGGACGACTGGGCCATATTCTTGTTAAATTATCAAATGTCGATCAATAGAAAAATAATTGATCACATGATTATGCACGAATAATATCATTGAAAGTGAAATAATCAGTACAGTGTTCATTTTATTTATGAAATATTCAATGCAAGTTGAAATCGTCCAGAAATTTGTCTGTTTACCTTAGACTATTAGACATAAATTATGGAAAGATAAAAACAAAACTGAATTAAAATCCTTATTGGGTATATTGGGGTTTTTATTTTTAGGGAAATTTTTTTAGTGTAAACATTTTTAAGTAGATCGTTTGAGTTGTAAGAATTTGCATTAAAAAACTAGTGGAATTTTTTTTATGACAATTTGTGAACAAATAGTATTTTTTTATTATTTCCAGTCAATTCTCAATTCTTTATTATTCAGGCCTCAGGCTGATCGCCCACCGAGCCCACAAAACCAATTCAGTCAATCATCACTCTTTCAAACGGGAGCCAATCAACTCCGAATGAAGACTGTCCACCCCCAAAAATCAATGAATATAACGATCTTTCATCCTCGCCTGAGGACCATGCTTCACTTGAACATTCCGAATTTATTATTTTTTATTTAAAAAAAAACACTTGAAGATATCTTGAAATTGACATAATTCTATATGAACTGTCGAATAAAAGAAGAAAAGAATTGAATGAAAAATCTCTATTTTCATGAGAAAATTTGTCGAATTTTTTTTTTTGACAATGTGTGAAAAAATAGTATTTCCTTATTATTTACAATTCTCAATTCTTTATTATCCAGGCCTCAGGCTGATCGCCCACCGAACCCACAAAAATAATTCAGTCAATCATCACTTTTTCAAACAGAAGCCAATCAAGTCCGAATGAAGACTGTCCACCCCCAAAAATCAATGAATATAACGATCTTTCATCCTCGCCTGAGGACCATGCTTCACTTGAACATTCCGAATTTATTATTTTTTATTAAAAAAAAAACATTTGAAGATATCTTGAAATTGACATAATTCTATATGAACTGTCGAATAAAAGAAGAAAAGAATTGAATGAAAAATCTCTATTTTCATGAGAAAATTTGTCGAATTTTTTTTTTTGACAATGTGTGAAAAAATAGTATTTCCTTATTATTTACAATTCTCAATTCTTTATTCACAAAACCAATTCAGTCAATGATCACTCTTTCAAACGGGAGCCAATCAAGTCCGAATGAAGACTCCAAAAACCCCACCTCCACCCCAAAAATCAATGAATATAACGATCTTTCATCCTCGCCTCTCGTCGAACATTCTTCCCCCTGAGGACCATGTCATGACAGGGCGACTTGTGAACATCCTCAGTGGCTTCGTCATCGGCAGCCCTGATCTGCGCCAGGAACATCCTGCGCGGTCGCTCCGACAGGTTCAAATAAGACCCGTGCAGCAGGAGATACGAGAAAATAACGATCTCTCCCTTTTTAGCGGTCACTGGGGTGGCCTTGTCCAGGGGGTACCTCTCGGGATCCACGTAAAAGGTGGTTCCATTCTGCTCGTCGTGAGCTGTGTGAGGGGTCAGAGGCCCCAGCTTGTGACTTCCTGGGTAGACGGCGAGCCCCCCGTTCTCGGGGGTCGTGTCGTCCAGGTGGAGAAACACCGCGAGCATTGAGTGGTTCTTGAAGGGAAAGTACGGGTAGTCCTGGTGCATCAGGTAGGGAGCGCCTGTCTCGGGGGGTTTCAGGTGGGCCTTTGTGTGGTGCAGGAGAATGTCGGGGGTCTCCATTATGTCTTCGAGGGCGTCCAGGAGCTTCGGGTGCAGCAAGAGGCGGGTGAAGACTGCGCTGTGCAGCTGGAGGGCGTGAACTGCCTTCACCTGGGGGATTTCAGTTGTTTTTATTGCTTTCAGAGGGCTTTGAGGACATGGACTATCTCAGGGAAATCTACACGGAGAGAAATATTCAGTAGCAATACCACTAGTGCTTCAAAATTATCGGATATTTTCCGATAGATTCGTTGCCTACGAACGATTGTGTCAAATTTTGCAGGTTTAAAATCTCGAGTGCGAAGCACGAGGGATTTTTCTGCAAAATTTGACACGCTCGTTCCTAGGCTGGGAAGCTTGAGGAAAATATCCGATTAATTTTGAAGCACGAGTGGTATTTGACGGATTATTTTTCCACTCGGATTTATTTACAACCCACTCTTTGTTTATCTGTCACACAGAATATTAAACGTGAAATGCGTTGAAAGATGAGAAACATTTGAAAAACTGCTAGTGAATTTCCGTCGGAAATTTTTTAGAAATTTCCGAAATAAAACTGTTTGACAGCCGCAAATACGGCGCTCTGACTGGCTGAAATCCGAGTGAGAAAAATAATCAGTAAAAATTATGGAACAATTCACGTGATCCGCGGTGGGGAATCGTTTTCCGGAAATTTTTATGGGAACGGAAGAGAAGAAATCTGAAACGTTCAGTAAATTTTCAGGTTCATCACCGAACAAAGTACGAAATTGTCACGTGATTTTTTCCGAAGAAGTAAAATTTACAGAAACTTGCCGACTTATTGTGCCTCCAAAATCAAAAATTCTTGAACGTTCAACAATTTTTGTGAAGCTGGTGAGTTATTTCTACGTTCCCACGTATGAAAAAATTCTATGAAAAACCTAGTGAATTGGCTAGAAAATTCTATTGGAATTGTATGGGATTTCTAGAAGATTTCTATTGGAATTCTATTGAAAAAATCGATTTATTTTTTGCTCTGATTCTATTGGATATTCAATAAGAAAAAGTCAATAGATTTCAAATTTCTGTTAGAATTTTTCTCTCAGATTTTTTCTATTAGAATTATTGGGCACAAGTTTTTTCCACTGGATTTTGTTTTGTTTTGTATTACAGAATGCGAGTGGAAAAGTTTAGAAAATTGATGCCTAAGCATTCTTATAGAAAAAATCTCAAGAGAAAATTCCACACAGAAATTCGAAATCTATTGACTTTTTCTTATCGAATAGACTAGCGCAAGAAACAAATACAATTTTCCAATAGAATTCCTACAGATTTCCAACAGAATTTCCTGCCGAATTCCCTAGGTTTTCTATTGAATTTTTTCACGCATGCCGTTCCGTAAAATTGCTCAATCGTTGGGGAAAAATTACGGAACGACTCGTTGTCCCCGCAGCGGTGAGTCATTAGACGAGTGGTTAATTTTTACGGAACAAATCGTAGAATTTACGTGGTAATTTGTACAATTTCAATTCAAAATTGAACTCTAGGTGAATTTCCCTATTTTTGAAAGTCAAATAAACGGGAATATTGTAGCTACAGACAGTTTGGAAAAAAATATAGAGATGTTCATTTTTCCATACAACTCTTTTTATTAGGATTATTTCTATCAGACATCGCTACAATCATTAATTTCAAATCAAGTTGAATTTTGCATTAGTTAATTGTTAAAATTACCCAATATTTATTAAATTATTAAATTGATCATCAATTAAGTATTCAAATTCCGAATTATTTTATCAATCAATAATTGAATTCGGAAGATTGACGATTATTTGGCTCTTCGAAAAATCTTTTTAAGAAATTTAGAATTATTTAATCAATAGTCAATTGACAATACCATATTGTTAATTATTTAATTCGTAGTCAGTTGAAAAATTTAGACCATCAATTATTTTATTATTTTTCAAATTTCAATAAAGTTAAGTGAACCTTAATTATTTTAAGGTGCAACTTACCTCAATATTAATAATATAATCATTGATCTCGATCTGATTTCAATAAGAATTCCTAAGCAAGAATGTTCTGAGTTTTTTCTTGGTCTTTGTTATGAGAAACAAATAAAAATAAAACGGAAAGAACTCCAAAAAATTGTGCCTCAAAATTTCTGTAGAAAAATGAGAATCTATTGACCTTTTTCAAGCAATTTTTCAAACAAAATGACGGGAAAGTTGAATAGTCCTCGACAGAATTTTTTCAGAAAGTAAATAGAATGTGTTTAATAGAAGTCCAATAGAATTTCTATAGACTTCCAGCAGAAATTCAATAAAATTTCCAAAAGAAAGCGCTAGGTTTTTCTATAAACATGAATTAGAGTATTAATTACCGTATAATCTCTATTTTGCGCCAATTTCTTCATGTCAGTTCCACCCCACGAGCTCTCCAGCTCCGCCACATGTTCCCTCTGCTTCCGCGCGAAAATATCGTCATAAGCATCGGAAATCTCCTGGAACTCTTTGGGACTCAGAACATTCGACAGCTTCACGAACCCATTGTCTTCGTAGAATTTCTTCTGCGCGGGGGTGAGGAACTTCAGGACCATTTCAGGTTCCTTATTATTGAACTGAGTAAATCACTGATACTGTTTTCTCGCGGGAGCAAAACCAACTGACGAGTTTCAATGCCAAGAAGATTTTAAATGCTGCTATCATTCACGGAATTATCAATTCTTGACCCCAAACATTTTTTACGAAATCTCTAATATCATGGTGAGCATTATAATTATGCAAGTCAACAGCATTTGTGGAATTATTTGTTCTCGAGTGATCGATTGAATTTTCAACATTTCCATGACGCAAATTTGGGTCAATGGAGAGTGGGGCAGAATGGATTATTTTGTTGTTGGTTGTGAGTCGAAATTGAGTCCGTGGTTTTGAAAATTTAGAGGCGTTTGAGGGGATTGTTGTGAATTTTAAAATGAGATAAAAACTGTTGGTGTTTTATTGGGAATTCAAAAGGATGACAAGCATATAATTTTTACTATTACTGATTTATCTCGGTAATGAGTGGTTTTAGGACCAAATATGAAAAAATCATTTTTGTTTGAAATTTAATTCTCCACAAAAAATGTTCTTCAACAATTTTCTGTAAATCCACTCATTTTCGAGATTTTCACATAATTCTCATGGCAGATCTGAAAAAACTCAACAGTAAAAAATAAAAAAGGCTACTATTTCATTAAAAAATGTTAAAACATTCTTTGTAGAGAATTGTGTTCCAGAAGAATGTATCATTCTCGACATAAACCCTTGATAATTCAAAACAATAAAAACTGGTATTAAAAATCAAAATTGTAATCCAAAATTTATTGAGCGGATTTTTGGGAATTTATTTTTTTTAAGGGTAATTTGTATTTTAATTACAAGACATAAAATTTGTTGCCGTTTTACTATTAATTTAGAACATTAATAACCATATAAAACTATAAAAATTCAGTAACCGTAAAATTATCTCATAAATGATAGGATTTAACTAAAAATATCAAAGCACAATTTCTTTGGAACTTTAATTCTCTACAAAAAAAAATCAATTCAATTTTTTTCTCTAAATCCACTCATTCTCAAGCCATTTGCATAATCCTTATGTTAGATTAGAAAAAACTCAATAGTAACAAATGTAGAGTTCTCTATTAATGAGAGGTTTTAAGAAAAAGTATCAAAACATAATTTTGTTGGAAATTGTTTTGCGACAAAAAAATTCTGACATTTTCCTCTAATTCCACTCATTCCCGATGAATTTATGTAATCTTCATGTTAAATTAACAAAAAAACTCAATAGTAACAAATGAAAATGTCTGCCATGTTCATTTCTCCTATTAAAAACAAAAGTTTTATCAAGAAATTCCAGGACATTTAAAAAAGAAATTACATTCTCCGCAGGAAACGTTGTATTCCCAAAATGAACGCATAACAAGACAAAATGAAAAACCCCCTCAATTAAAAATCAAACATCTTCTCCATCAATTAAAAAAATACCCGGAAAAAACTGCATTAAATCTCTTTTTTCATTTTTCTAAAAACATTTTATTAGTTCTACTTCCTTCAATGTCCACAATGTCCACAAAGCAGACGCATCAATCAGTACGTCAAAAAAAAAATAATATGTTCAATCAACTTCAATCACTATTCCTTAAAACAAAGAAAAGTCTTAGTTCTCAGATATTTCAATAGCTCGAGAATTCTATTTAACAAATCTATCACGAGAGATTGCATCGACAGTGGGAATTTTTTACAGTCCTACAAATTACTTTCAGTAATAATCCAGTGTTATCTCTGGTACTTGAACCCCTTGACGACTTCCCTCGACTGGTACCAGAGGTAGGGGGCGACGATCTCCTGTTTCTCCTCGGCTATTTCCTCCGGCCGGTCCTTCGGGTTGTCGTAGTAAGGCCTGACAACACTGGAGCACTGACAGTCCTCGACGATCTCCTTGTGGTGGAGTCTTATGCAGAAACTTGAGGTCTGGCTGTTCGGGGAGTAGTGGGGCTTGGGGAGGAAAAAATCGGATTTTGGGTTCGAGTCGCTCTTCTGCAGGAGCACGAAGGTGTTCGTGGGACCCAGAGGAACTGTCATGGCTTCCTGGAACTCCTGACACTCGATTACAGTTCTGAAAAAATATAATTAGGGGATAGAAAGGTTTTGAGCTCCAAAAAATTGCGGATTTCTAAGGTTTATGACGATACTTTCGCATGAAACAGATTGATTGATTGATTGCAATTATTGTATGTACATTATGTTGTCCAAAATAAAATAATAAAGTCATACAGCAAGAATCAAGCAGAGGCCATAAATAGCTAAAGTAGAACAATAGGAAAATGCGTACACTGAGAGAAAAACAAACAAGTCTTGTTTGAGCCAACAAAATCGCGAGTTGAAAATTCAAAAAAAAAGAAATTGTCTGATTCGAATTTGAAAGTTTCAAACATGAATAATTGTTCTACTTTCGATATTTCAATGACTTTGATGACATTTCAATTGATGATACTGTGGTATAGTACTGTGACATGAAAAAATAGACGAAGAGAATAGTGAATTGAGAATTCAAAAAAGAGAACCCATTCGAAAGCAAATTTCTAATTCATTCGCAACAATAACTACTCATTTATTAAAAATTGAAAGTAAAATTGAAAGTAAATGAATAAAGCAGGTATCACTGCACTATTCGCCATCATCGACAAATAATGTAATTAAACCAGTTAATTTTTATTTTTAAGTACTTAACAAAAATGTATCATACACGCTATGAGTTCCATTATTGGCTAACGCTGTCGGACTCTTTATAAATAAAAAAAATAAAAAATGAAAAAAATAAAATAAATGAGTAAATGAATGAATGAATGAATAAATAAACGAATCAATGAATAAATAAATGCATCAACGAATAAATTAATGAATGAATGAATAAATAAATAGATTAATTAAATCATCAAATACCTCATCAACGTCAGCAGAGGTTTCCTATACGAATGCTGATACTCCATATGCCTCCGACTGCTCAAAATATTTCCTGGGATCTCCACCCTGACCAAGAACTTCGGAGATATCGTGGTGGCCCCAATGACGATCACCACCTCCTTAACATCGCACCCCCCGAGGTGCAGTTGCTCAGTCAACTCCCCCGAGATGCTCTCCAGGGCACTAAAAAGGTTCCTCGTGAACCCATAATTCCTGTCATTAGGCTTGAACCTCGTCTGGAGCTGCACCAGTGAGTCACACGAGAATGGAATCTGCTGCTTCTGGTACAGAACATACTTCATCAACTCGGTGATGATCTTCGCGCACGAATCACTGGTCAATTGTTCCTCGAGCTCGACGAGGATTGGAACTTCCTTGCACTTTGTCCTCCCGAACATTTTCACTGCATGAATTCACTTGTCCCTTTTATTTTGGAAAAAAATTTCCTTCAATTTTCCTCGGGGAAATCCACTTTAGAACTGTTTTGTCATGGGAAATTGATAGATCGCGTTAGTATTATTGGTAGAATGATGATTTCTGGTGATTATTGAGGGGATTATTTGATTTTTCAAGGTAATTAGAGAGTGGTTAGGGATTGGGAGTTACTTCTGATGAAAATAGAAGGATTAATTTGCTCGTTTTATTTTATTTTGTTGATTTATTATCAAAGTTTAACGTTCTTCATGTGTTTAGAACTGTTTTTTGCAGGGAATTGAGAGATCAAATGGCTATTTATTAGTTTAATGATGATTTCTTGGGATTATTTATAGAATTGTTTGATTTTTCGAGGTAATTAGAGAGTGGTTAGGGATTGGGAGGTACTTCTGATGTAAATAGAAGGATTAATTTCCTTATTTTTTTTTATTTTATTGATTTATTATCGAAGTTAGACCGTCCTCACGTGTTTAGAATAGTTTTTTGTGGGGAATTGATAGATCTGATGATTATTTCTTGTTTTAATGATGATTTCCTGTGATTATTAACAAGATTCTTCGATTTTTCGAGGTAATTAGAGAGTGGTTAGGGATTGGAAGTGACTTCTGATGGAAATGGAAGGATTAATTTGCTCGTTTTATTTTATTTTGTTGATTTATCATCAAAGTTTAACGTTCCTCATGTGTTTAGCACTGTTTTTTGTAGGGAATTGATAGATCAAATGGCTATTTATTAGTTTAATGATGATTTCTTGGGATTATTGATAAAATTGTTTGATTTTTCGAGGTAATTAGGGAGTGATTAGGGATTGAGAGTGACTTCTGATGGGAATGAAAGGATTAATAAAAATGAAAGAACGTTAAGAATATTTTTAATTGTTATAATAAGAATATTTTAATGTTAATTTAAGAATATTTTAATGAAAACATATTACTTCACTCGTACTTTATTTTTGTTGCTATTTATTAGTTTAAGAATGATTTCTTCTGATTATTCGCAGAATTATTTGATTTTTCGAGGTAATTGAAGAGGTTTTAAGAAATAGGAGTAGCTTTTAATGAGAAGTGAAGAGATTAATTCACTGATCCTTCATCTTTGTTGGTAATTATTAGTTTAATGATGATTTTTTGTGATTATTGACAGGATTCTTTGATTTTTCGAGGTAATTAGAGAGTGATTAGGGATTGGAAGTGACTTCTGATGGAAATGGAACGATTAATTCACTCGTTTTTTCTATTTTGTTAATTTACTATCAAAGTTTACCCTTCCCCACGTGCTTAGAACTGTTTTTCCATGGGGATTGATAGATCTGATGACTACTTATTAGGTTAATGATGATTTCTGGTGATTATTGACGGAATTAGTTGATTTTTCGAGGTAATTGAAGGGTTTTTAAGAATTAGGAGTGGCTTTTAATGGGAAATGAAGGGATTAATCCACTCGTCATTCATATTTTGTTAATTAATTATCGAAGTTTAACCTTTACTCACGTGTCCCAGGGAATTCCTTCGAGAAAATCGACTGTAGACCTGTTTTTTCATGAAGAACTAATAATTCTGATCACTTTATTGGTACAAATCATGATTTCTAATGATTATTGACGGGATTACTTGACTTTTTGAAGTAATTAGAGAGGGATTGGGAGTTATGAGTCACTCCGAGTGACTTTTCGTGGGAAATGAAAGGGTTGAGGATTCTCTAAGGGAGGTGGAGCCACTTGAGTCGTCAATGCGGGTGGAAGGCGAAATAGATCCGATCAATTAGCTCCTCATGTATAGATATTCCAAATTTTTATTTTTTTCCTCATTGAAGTAGTTTTGAAGAAAATTGCGAGCTAATAAAAAACATTTGCTAGCTAGTACTTTTTTAAAATAAATTTTTGAAAAATCACCCCTGAAAAAAAAGGCGTTATCCCCCCTATTTCATTATTTCCAAAAAATTTTATCACATGTAGTATGTATAGAACATTGGGGTCTAGGAGTCTCCCCTGGTTCAAAACCATCTTTAGAGGTCTTAGCACGCCATTTCTCGACCCACTCTTTCATTTGAGCCAAAAAAAACATTCATATCTTGTCTGACATCTCTGCTACAAATTCTGGTCATCAACTCTGGTTTTCAGTTGAAATTGGAATTGTTAATTTACACAATAATAG